TAAAATAAAAAATAAATGAAAATAAATATATAAAAATAAAATTTAATAATAGTAATCTCCTCTATCAATGGGTATCAAACATTGATAAATCCTTCATTTTTAGACGCGTTCGCTAAATAACATCCTCTTAAATTAATAGGTGAAACGGTTCCCTGTTTCCAACATTCTTGACAACATCCAAGATTCGCGTTGTCAACTCAAACTTTGAGCAAAGTTAATAAATACTTCTCGCCAATACTTGAGTAATCGTTAACGAAATGTATTCCAGCATTGTAATAGAATGTTTCTCATTAGCCCCTAAGAAGTATACCTAAGCTTACAAAGTCCACTCTATGAGTAAAGCCATCGATTCTAATATTTTCACTTACAATACGTTTGTCTTTCTCTAGCATCTTTCTCACCTGAAATCGACCAATCATAAATGAGCTTTTACACTTTTACACTAAGACTCCTTGCTCGTAGCTCGGCTCTGTTCCGTCATATAAAGTACACTTCCTCACATGAAACGCATTGCCGGTGTAGACCTCAAAATGTACCATAGGCGGGAGCAAATGAATATTATTAACCTTAAAAGCCGATTTAAAGACTTCCACGAAAGAGCGACCGCATATGCCGAGATGCGTTTCTCCGCATCTACAACATTACGTGCTTCTTGCATGCTCTTGGAGAGCGGAAGGATGTCGATGGAATGAACGAAGGGAAAAGAGAAAAGAAATGGATTATGAATGTTAGGCAGGCCAGTTCTAGTCATAAATCAGAACACTTAACACTATCAAGAGTCACTAATAGCCAAGAAGCAGAAAATTTGTGCTTGCAACTAACCTTCAATAAACGCAATTTTCAACGTGTATGTTGCGCGTAGGTAAAAGTTTCCCAACGAATAAACTGACAGATTTTTTTTCTTTAGTTTAACTATAATTTCGGGAGAGTTCTTCATAACTTTTAGTTGACACTAAACCACTGAAAAATAGTTTTGCCAAAGAAAGAGAGAGGGAGAGAGAAAACGATGTTACATAAAAAATGTACGGTGCTCCAAATACAAGAAAGCAGGTGCCCATTGCTTCCTTTCGGGAGTTCTGTTGCTTAGCAAGTGCAGTTTAAAGCTATGATGACAAATGATAAACGACCGATAATCGAGCCAGCAGTTTGATGGACGACTGAACGGACATGCTACTACTACTCGCTGACATGAATGCCAGTCCAGAGACAAACAAACCAACAGAGTAATTTTATAAGTAATCGGCACAAATCGAATAACGAAATTTCTGAGAGAGCTTTTCGGTACCTTCTTGGAACTTACCCGAGCTGTTCGGTAATTTAAAATAATTCGTGTCAAAAAAAAAAAATCATTTCTCTTGGTTAAAGACATCCACTTCACGCACTGATATCTATCTGTAAATGTAACTGTTTCTATGTTCACATCCATCCAGTAAAAGGAGAATTTTTCATGTCTAATAATTTGAAAAATTATAAAACATATAGGTATTCTTCCGTGCCGGTGTCTTGGGTCAAATGGAGGAGTTCCGTGATGAACGTTTGGGCAAAATTATGTCTTGGATGCAGGCCTGGGCTCGTGGTTACTTGGCTCGTAAAGGCTTCAAGAAATTGCAAGAACAACGTGTTGCTCTTAAAGTTGTGCAACGTAATTTGCGCAAATACATGCAATTGCGTACCTGGCCCTGGTACAAATTGTGGCAGAAGATCAAGCCTTTGCTCAACGTATCGCGCGTGGAGGATGAGATCGCTGTGAGTATTCGATGCTAAATGAAATAAAGAAAAAACGAAAAGCGAACGGAGCTGGTTCATACATAACTATATATATATATATATATATATATATATGTATGTATGCGACGGTGACATGGCAAACTGGTATTCGGCCCTCACATACCACGGATACATTTTTTTAATAATTTGTTGCCACTATTGCACGATGTTATTATTCTTCTGCTTATTAAAGCAGCAGCAACAGCAAGAACAACAACGGCAGCAGCAGCAGCAGCAGCAGCTGTTTTTTAATGTTTTTCACATACTGCAGCAACTGCCTTTTTCCTAATTATTAATACAATTCGTAATGAGACGTCAAATGTGTTTGTCCCAAAAAACTTATTAGTGTTGTAATCACATGTCACAGAATTAAAAAAAAAAAAAAATAATATTTTATACACTTCTAGATGTAATTAGAAAGGAAAATTATTGACCCACCCACTCTCTTATACGATCATCGTAATCATGATGTTCAATGATTTCGCTATGACGAATAACTTATTGATTTTCCTTCAATATGAAGTGAACACAAAAAAAGAAAACGAGAAAAAGGAAAAATTATTGTATAGCAAAAAAAAAAAAAAAAATTCGATCTAAATTTAGAAAACCCACTCATTTCACAAAACATGGAAATCTTTCAGTTCGTCATCACTCTATATTTATAGAGTATTTCTGATTAACAGCATACCTATCGTCCGCTTGTATACTACAAGATGCTTATCTGGAAAACAAAAGAAAGAAAAAGAAAACAGAAAGAAAAATATAATCAAAATTTTTGATTTCAAATGTTTAAGAATTAATGCGTTAAGGAAGTGTTGTAAGACTCATGCATGTAATTGAGGGGACAGGGGGACAAAGCAAATGAAGAACAGAAGTGAAGATGTGTATCAAACCGTACGCTGGCAGGCTCATTAATTCTTATGAAATGTATCATGGACGCCATTAATCCAAGATATTTTTATCAATGCTATGCTTAACGTTTTCAATACAAAAAAAAAAAAAATAAATAAAATCATTGGCAGCGCTATGCCCGTTAGCAGCAGCACAGAAGTATTCACGGTATTTGGCCTAACCTCACTCTGCTTTGCTCTATTTTTAATTACTTAATAAAAAAATTTTAAGAAAAAAGAAAAAAAAGCCGAAGCCGAAGCTGAAGAAAAAAGAAGAAAGAAGAAAATTCTTCTCTAACACGAAACAAAAACAAAAAGATAACGCGCTCGCGTAGGCAAGAAATTTTTATGTCCCTTCTAATTAATACGCAGACCTAGGCAATCGAAATGTTGTTGTTTTGCTACCTATCGTGATAGATTGTACATAGAAATGTTCTCATATACAGGTATATAGAGATATTTATTTGATTTGATTGAAGGCACTTTAAGCAAAACATCTACAAAACATAGGTGTGCGTGTACATGCTCGTGCATGCGGATGAGTAATAAAAAATTATGACTTTTCGTATATTTTTTTTATTTTGCTTATATTTTTCGGCTCACACCAGTTCAAATATCGAATTCTGATAGAATATTAAACATATCAAGCCTTTTTGATTAGGTTTAGGTGTCTTCTTTTTTGTTTTTTCAAGTGTATATGTTAAAATGAAATGCATATATAGAATGGCTACTCACTCGAATGGCACACCTGTGCCATATCGATCGGTAACGCTGCTGCTGATGCTGCAGTTGCCGTTGCTGCTGCTGTTATTTTCACGATGACGATAATTATGATGATGAAGAATACCAAGTGTTTTGTCAGATTGAAATGTCCGTCCCATGGATAGGCTGGCCTGGTAATGTATTAATTATGAATGGTTCATAGTTATACAGAGTGTTGAGCGCGCGCTAGTCATCTCATTTCATATTCGCGCAAGCAGTTGTAAAGTGCAATCATTCCAGTTGTTGACCAGTAGCTAAACAGACCTAGTTACCTGGGCTAGCGATATATATATATATATATATATACATATATATATCGAAACGATCAAACGAAAATTACAAAGAATTATTCGAACAAAGAAAGCATCGGTGCGTAACTGCAAAATAAAAAGATAAGATAAAAATATAAATAAATAAATAATTATCATTTATATCAATAAAAATCGATTCATTTGCTTTTCGCGGAAATATTTAAAAATCATCTTTTTAATTATTATAAAATTAAAAAGAAAAAAGTTTAAAAAATGGCTGATGAAAAAAAAGTAAAAAAATCGAAAAAATCAGAAAAAGCCTCCGCTTCTAACTCCGAGGAAGGCTCATCGGCGGCCACGCCAACATCAAACGAAACGCCGTCAAATGCAATCGAAAATGAAAATGCCGTTGAAGACAGTTCGCATATCAGTGAGCCACCAGCTCCGCAACGCAAAAATTCTGAACAAATTTCAGGGACTGAATTTGAAAGTAAAAATAAATCTCTTATTTCTGAAAACGATTTACAGCGCTTAGAAGAAAAGGCAAAGAAAGCTGAAGAGGCCCATGCCGCTGAAGTTAAGGTCCGCAAGGAATTGGAGGCCCTTAATGCCAAATTGTTAGCTGAAAAGACTGCATTGTTGGATTCCTTGTCCGGCGAGAAAGGTGCATTGCAAGACTATCAAGAAAGATGCGCCAAATTGCAAGCTCAGAAGAACGATCTCGAAAATCAGTTACGTGTAAGTATAACGAATTTTGATTGTAAAATGTCGACGTTTAAATAGTTGGCGGTGTATGCGAGGTTTCTTCACATTTTACATTTCATTTCGTTTAGGATATTCAAGATCGTTTGACTCAAGAGGAAGATGCTCGCAACCAATTGTTCCAACAGAAGAAAAAGGCTGATCAAGAAATTTCTGGCCTGAAAAAAGATATTGAAGACTTGGAATTGAATGTTCAAAAGTCTGAGCAAGACAAGGCCACCAAGGATCATCAAATTCGCAACTTGAACGATGAAATCGCCCATCAGGATGAGCTCATCAATAAATTGAATAAGGAGAAGAAGATGCAAGGTGAAGCTAACCAAAAGACTGGTGAAGAGTTGCAAGCTGCTGAAGACAAAATCAATCACTTGAACAAAGTTAAGGCTAAGCTCGAACAGACCCTAGACGAATTGGAAGATTCGTTGGAGCGTGAGAAGAAAATGCGTGGTGATGTTGAAAAGGGTAAGCGCAAGGTAGAGGGCGATTTGAAACTCACCCAAGAAGCTGTCGCTGATTTGGAGCGCAACAAGAAGGAATTAGAACAGACCATTCAACGTAAAGACAAGGAATTGTCGTCAATTACTGCCAAATTGGATGATGAACAAGTTGTTGTAAGCAAACATCAACGACAAATCAAGGAATTGCAGGCCCGTATTGAGGAATTGGAGGAAGAAGTCGAAGCTGAACGTCAAGCTCGTGCCAAGGCTGAGAAACAACGTGCTGACTTGGCCCGCGAATTGGAAGAATTGGGCGAACGTCTTGAGGAAGCCGGTGGTGCAACTTCGGCCCAAATTGAACTCAACAAGAAACGTGAAGCCGAACTCAGCAAATTGCGCCGCGACTTGGAAGAGGCCAATATCCAACACGAATCCACTTTGGCTAACTTGCGCAAGAAGCACAACGATGCTGTCGCTGAAATGGCTGAACAAGTTGATCAGCTCAACAAATTGAAGGCTAAGTAAGTATTGGATGTTTTAATAATTTTCTATATATTCTTCCCGATTTTATAGCTGCACACGATGATATGGATCGATTAATTGAATCTCCAATTCACTATGTTTGTGTTGTTTGTGTTTGAATGAGTTTGCTTTATAAATGATAATTACTTAAAAAACTTTTCCAATATAATTTAGGGCTGAACATGATCGCCAAACTTGTCATAATGAGTTGAACCAAACTCGTTCCGCCTGCGATCAACTTGCTCGTGAAAAGGTAATTTCTCTTTTTCTGGGCAAATTCGAATGTCCGCCCAAAAGACACCACCACACCTTTGTACAAATAATTTACACAAACACCTACATTCTATCCAAGAAATATTTAAACCTCAAATCGTTCTCTTTGTAATAATTTCCTGCGGCAAAAAGTTCTTGAATTATTTTATACAACAAACAGCTACAAAATGTGTGGTTTCAGTGATGCAGCACGCGTACCAGATATTTTATCCCTTACACAACATGTTAACATATTGCTAACCAAAAAAAAAAAAAAAAAAACACATTTCTACTTTATTATCAATCTAGGGCTGAAAAGGAGAAGAACGAATACTACGCGCAATTGAACGACCTCCGCAGTTGCGTCGATCACCTTACCAATGAGAAGGTATACAAATTGTATAATTACAATGCTATTCTATTGCCGAAAATGCCGCTGTAAATTTTTGCTGCTATATAAAATTTCTGAATTTCCATGGATACGTGAGATTTTCAAGTCGCTCCAAAGATTCGAGTCTTTGGAGATCTTGTTAAGCTCAAAAGGACTTGGTCAATTTTGAAAGTAGATTTCGAAGGCTTATCCAAACAAAAAAAAACAAATGATAATCTCAGTAGCTACACTTGTGAATATAACCCTACTAATACAGTGTATTTACCTTAAATATTTATCCTTTCAACCTCTAACAACTAAATGCCTACACTAAATGTACATAGTACACAATGTTGCATTACACATAAACGACTAAGAATGTCTACTGTTTTGAAAACTAATCGTTTGTGCTTATCGTGCTGTAGGCTGCCCAAGAGAAGATTGCCAAACAATTGCAACATACCTTGAACGAGGTGCAATCCAAATTGGATGAGACCAACAGAACTCTCAACGATTTCGATGCCGCCAAGAAGAAGCTCTCCATTGAGAATTCCGATCTGTTACGTCAATTGGAAGAAGCCGAATCACAAGTTTCGCAATTGTCCAAGATCAAAATCTCGCTTACTACTCAGCTTGAAGATACCAAACGCTTGGCCGATGAGGAAGCCCGCGAACGTGCCACCCTTTTGGGTAAGTTCCGTAACTTGGAACACGACTTGGATAACCTCCGAGAACAAGTTGAAGAAGAAGCCGAAGGAAAGGCCGATTTGCAACGTCAACTCAGCAAAGCAAACGCTGAAGCTCAATTATGGCGCAGCAAATACGAATCCGATGGTGTTGCCCGCTCCGAAGAATTAGAAGAAGCGAAGAGGAAGTTGCAAGCTCGTTTGGCTGAAGCTGAGGAAACCATCGAATCCCTCAACCAGAAATGCATCGGTCTCGAGAAGACCAAACAACGCCTATCCACCGAAGTTGAAGACTTGCAATTGGAAGTTGACCGTGCTAACGCAATTGCCAACGCTGCCGAGAAGAAACAAAAAGCCTTCGACAAAATCATTGGAGAATGGAAACTCAAAGTTGACGATTTAGCCGCTGAGCTTGATGCATCCCAGAAGGAATGCCGCAACTATTCCACTGAATTGTTCAGATTGAAGGGTGCTTATGAAGAAGGTCAAGAACAACTTGAAGCTGTCCGACGTGAAAATAAGAATTTGGCTGATGAAGTCAAGGATCTGCTCGATCAAATCGGTGAAGGTGGTCGCAACATCCACGAAATCGAAAAAGCTCGCAAGCGTTTGGAAGCCGAAAAGGATGAACTACAAGCCGCTCTAGAGGAAGCCGAAGCTGCTTTGGAACAAGAAGAAAACAAAGTATTGCGCGCTCAATTGGAATTGTCACAAGTACGTCAAGAAATCGATCGTCGCATTCAAGAAAAAGAAGAAGAATTCGAAAACACCCGCAAGAACCATCAACGTGCTCTCGATTCCATGCAAGCCTCGCTCGAAGCCGAAGCCAAGGGTAAGGCTGAGGCTCTACGCATGAAGAAGAAGTTGGAAGCCGACATCAACGAATTGGAAATTGCTTTGGATCACGCCAACAAGGTTAGTAATGCTTCATTAAGGAGTCAAATGCAATTTCAAGTGATTTTTTTTCTTTTCCGTTAGGCTAATGCCGAGGCCCAAAAGAATATCAAACGCTACCAACAACAACTCAAAGATCTACAAACCGCTCTTGAAGAAGAGCAGAGAGCCCGTGATGATGCTCGCGAACAATTGGGTATCTCCGAACGTCGTGCCAACGCTCTGCAAAACGAACTTGAGGAATCTCGTACTCTGCTTGAACAAGCCGATCGCGGCCGCCGTCAAGCTGAACAAGAATTGGCTGATGCTCATGAACAACTTAATGAAGTTTCTGCTCAAAATGCTTCCATCGCCGCTGCTAAGAGGAAATTGGAATCCGAACTGCAAACACTCCACTCCGATTTGGATGAACTATTGAATGAAGCTAAGAACTCTGAAGAAAAAGCCAAAAAGGCCATGGTTGATGCTGCCCGTCTAGCCGATGAACTCCGCGCTGAACAAGACCACGCCCAAACTCAAGAGAAACTAAGAAAAGCTCTTGAACAGCAAATTAAAGAATTGCAAGTTCGTTTGGATGAAGCTGAAGCCAACGCTCTCAAAGGCGGTAAGAAAGCCATTCAAAAATTGGAGCAACGTTGTCGCGAATTGGAGAACGAATTGGATGGTGAGCAAAGGAGACATGCCGATGCCCAAAAGAACCTTCGCAAATCAGAACGCCGTATTAAGGAATTGAGCTTCCAGTCCGAGGAGGACCGCAAGAATCACGAGCGCATGCAAGATCTAGTAGATAAACTTCAACAGAAGATTAAGACCTACAAGAGGCAAATTGAAGAAGCCGAAGAAATTGCCGCCCTCAATTTGGCCAAATTCCGTAAGGCCCAACAAGAGCTCGAAGAAGCCGAAGAACGTGCCGATTTAGCCGAACAGGCCATCAGCAAATTCCGCGCTAAGGGTCGCGGCGGTTCTGTCGGTCGTGGTGCCAGTCCAGCGGTAAGTGCCCATACGAATTTCCAGGCCTTCAATAGGAGCTTCTTAAGCGAACATTTCGAATAATTTGGAACCATTTCTTTTATTTTATCTTTCAAATCAACCAAAAAAACAAAAAAAAAAAAAACAAAATCAAAAATTTGAACATACCCACCAACCCTATCCACAGTTTTAAAAGATAATGGCACTGCAAAATTAACTCCGGTCCACAATGCGATGCAATTTCTTACCAAAGAGAGTCTTAGATCATAAGTAAAGCTTAATGCATTCAACATTCAATCATACGATACAACCAGCTTAAAAAATCCCACCATCTATCTCATCAATCTGCATCATAATCGAAAGAGTCATGCTATGGTTCAAAAATTATTGAATCATCGACAAGAAAAACAGCAACTAAGCCCAAAAAGAAACCTGAATTTCGTTTATGCTTACAATTATATTATTACTGTCTATCACAAATATCACCAATTATTTATATATGCATCTATATATTTAATTATTTAATTATATTATGTATGTGTGTGTACTGCAGCCGATAACGTCAAAAGGTGGCTTCAAGAATATGCTGGATCAGTAAATACTTTTCGTAACATTTGTAAGTGTTCTCTCTCTCACAATCTCGTTTCTAATTCGTTTTGCGTTTGCATAATAGACACACACGCACTCCCGTGAAAAATCTCCCCAACACCACTACCACCACTATCACCGCCAGTCACCAGTGTCAACTCGCAAATATAACGTGAAGTGATTGAAACTATATATCTCTCTTTCTATCCCTATCTCTCTCTCACTCTCGCTGTAACGCAAACATATTATCTTGCTCCTAATTTTGATTTCTCTTAGTTATTAGTGTTATACTCGTACTGTATAGTATACAGATATAGTACGGTATGTGCTCGTGTTTAGTCTTTTTTAGTGTCGTTCAGAAACCTCATTCTCTCCCCTATATATGTATATCTAGATATATAAAGATATCTATATCTATCTATATATATATATATACAGATATATATATAGATATATATATATATATATATAGATAGATAGATATAAACCGAGCATGCATTTGCATGCATGTATTCCATTATAGAGACATATTGTCTACATAAGTTCATACATACATATGTAATGAATATCTTTTTGTTCATATTAAATTTATTTGCCATTTTTTTTAATATTTATTGTTTTTTTTTTTCTTTTTTTATTTTTGGAATATTCTTCGGTATAGCCCCGAGCAATGTCCGTACGGCCACAATTGGACGGTATGGCTTTCCCACCTAGATTCGACCTTGCTCCAGAAAACGAATTCTAAATGTCATTAAAGCACATTTTCAACTAATTTTTTTTTTTTCTTAATTAAAAAATTTTTAATTTAAAAGAAAAAAAATAAAACAATGGAAACATAAAAATTTAAAAAAAAAAAAAAAAAATGAATGAAACCATAATATTAACAACTAATCGAACGACGGGAGGAAAATACACTTAGGCAATAAATGAATTTCCGTAAAAAAGAGAGAAAAAAACAAATGAAAAGAAACAAAAAAACAAAAAAAAAAATTATGTAATATCGACATAAGCCTTCTTATTGAATATGATTAGCGTATAGGACTTTTACAGCAGTGTTCTTTATTTATGTAGATGTAAAACACACATGGATATCTTGTCGTATATATAGAACAGAGATACTTTTGTATGTGTATTTAGGTTGTTTTTTTTTTCGATCATCAACTTTTTATGTGAACAACATATGAAAGGAAGAACGCAAGCGTTACCAACATTGCTGAATAGGCGACAATAATAATAATAACAACAACAACAACAACAACAACAAATTAATTTTATTTATATAAATTTTTACTTATATATATTTTGTATAAATCGCATCACAACCCACACATACTATAAAAATACATTGTGCACCCGAATATATACCACCAACTGACACACACACAGCCACACATACCATCCATCCTTACTTCACTGCATAATACTAAACGGTTTCTTAAATTAAATGCTAACTACAATTGAAATCACGACAACAATAACAACAACAAAATAATTAGTTGTGTATCGAATATCAAGAAGAAAACGATACTGTCGCTTAATATCCATTCGTCTCTTGTATTATGCATTATTAATTTAATTTTATTTTTCTTTTTTTTATATATTCTATTCTCTCTCATATAATCACGCTTGTGTTTATTTAAATATGATTTTTTATTTCATAATTTTATTTTTTAATTTATTTATTTAACTACAAACAAGTATATAAACGTAATTTAAATATACATTTAAACAAAAAAAGGAACAAGTATACAGAAAAAAGGAACAAAATAAATGTAAATCAATAAAAAAAAAAAAAACTGAAAAACTTTTATTCGCCTTCATGAGGTCCTAACGACTATTATCCCACTGTGTGCGTTTCCTAGAACATACATTGTTAAGTTTACGTAGAAGCAACGATTATCAACTAATAATACTCGCAAAGGCGTAGCGTTTGTCATAATGGTTGGCCTTAGAGTTATACAATTTTGGTAACACTAAACTTATCAAGAAAGGTGTCAAACACTTTACTGCAAAATAAGTCGTTATATGGGAAGTGGCCGAAAACATGGTCCGATCCGAACCATTCTTAACACCATTCGTTCTTTGGCCAAAAAATGTCGATGTATCAGATTTCATCAAAATCTCTCAAAAATTGCTGTAGATCGAACGGATGGGAGGACAGATAGACAGACTAGCTTAAAAAATGCTTCTGAGTCAATCGGTATAATAAAATGTGAGCCTAAGTCAAGTCCTTCTGGGTGTTACATACATCCGTACAAACGTAATATACTTTGTACTGCAACTGGTGTATGGTATAGCAAAAGAAACAAATATTTAAAAAATCATACGTAAATTTCCTTCTTCTTCGGCTTTCTCATTAATCTCAGTTCCAAGATCTCTTTCAACATCCACAGCAACCAATAATTAAATAGCAACCAATAGTTAAATCATGTGCATTAAATATAATAATGAAATTGTCGCGTGTATAAGGTAGACGTTGATGTTTTAATCAGCGCCAGCTTGCCGCTTTCCATTAAAGCATAAAAGCTTTATTGACGGAAGTAAGCTCGATGTCATCCGTCGAGGCTTGAAGCGATAATCAAGCTTGCTTGATTGAGCCGTTCCTTTGGACATGGAAAGCACAGATTTAAGAAATATTTTCTTAACATTTTAAAACACAAACTATTCACCTTTCCAATTCAGTCAAAAGGACTAACACACTTACCTTTTTTTTTGATAATTAAGAAGTAGAATTATAGGGCCAATGTATATGAAGTGTCGCATTGGCTCAACTCCCGTCAGAATCTACAATATAGGTGTCTCCCACACAAAATGATGGACCGAATGAAACCGTAGATATGACGGCGCATACAATCGCTCAGGGTCTAGCCTGATCCCAGGCGTTTTGGTCGTCTGTGTGTCTCCGTAGAGATTTTTGCGCGTGTTTTTCTTGAGTGTAACCTTCTATGGCGTGTTTGTTGGACAAAGAGGGAAATCCCCATATTGCCGAACTAGCTACCTTCCAAAAAAATACATCCATTTATCCGTTACATCCTCCGTTCGTCGAACCTTTTAAATATATTATTATAATGTATTATTCTATTACATAAAACTATCTGACTTTGACTAGACGATTGAAAATGTTACTTTCCGTTACAAACGGGTTTTTCCGTCATCTATAGTAGAAGTTTACCGTCTACGTTACTAACCCACCCCAATTTTCAGTTTTAGTTCTTTTCTAACACTATCTTCTATATGATAGTATATTTCTATTATCTCGCATTCGACTCTTGGCCTGAACGCTGGGCGCAGGTTATCTTGGAAAAGTTTTTCGTTAAGACATTGTGTAACATGTGATCCTCGGTATATCGATCGTTCAGTTTCCATACGCAATTAAAGTTGAGGTTGACTTGAGATTGATCTGGGGTCAATCATCGAAAATTCAAGTCGATGCAATCATACTTCATAATTACTTATAAAAATTCAAATCTTCTTCAAGTGGAGGCAAAAGTATATATCCAAAATGTAAATGCTTCGCGCAAAAAAGTAACAGGACTCTCTAGTTAATGTCAGACTCGTAATTGTAGTGGCAATGAAAACTTTAGATTTATGCTACAATCTTTGCTTATCTTCTTCTTTATTGTAAACGCGCCACATATTGTATCTTAGCCACACATTTACCCAATGCCTATAAGTCCGACATGACTGAAGGACCAATAGAATCATTTATCTGTACGACTATAGCGTTACAGGTTTGCGTAGAAGACTCGCTAAATTCAATTGGAAGGTCAGCTAGACTAGATGAAATGCTCGCCCACAATCATTGACAACCCATACATAAGTAAGATGAAAGATATAAGTATAGCTTTCAGTTTGTAAAATGACCTAAAATGTGCTGGAACATCAACCACAATATCAATTGCAATGCACTCGATCTTAAGACACACACAGCATACGATAAGCCTCAAGCAAATGGCTTTCGATTTATTTTCCACTCGAATATCGTACCTAATAATAAGATGACTGCGAGCGTCAACGCATTCGCTTAAAGTAATTACTTTATTAAATCAATGCAATGCAATTAACATACACTTATTTTCACATTAACCCTGGTGGCTTTAAATTCGATTTCACTCTTAATAATTGACGGTGTTGCCCAAGAATATGTTGAAAGTGATTATATTCCCGTAGTTGAGCTTTGAATTCATCTAAAGTTTCATAAAAGATGGGATATAATTCCGGTAAAATGCCGTGATCTAGTGTAGGAAATAAATGATGTAAGCAATGATCCCCGAAATGCGTCAGCACTAAGAATTGAGAGCTTTTCAAATCGACACGATCGATAATAGTGTCGACCTGAAATAAGCCCCAATCTCGATCATCACGAATTGCATCGCCTTCGTGGTATATTTTCGGATCATGGTGAGCAGCGTTCAGACCAATAACGCAAAAGGCGAAACTAGCCACCATTATAATGAATAGCCATTGACGTAAACACATAAATAATGTTAAGTCTGAGCACAAATACATCGACAAAGGTATAGTAAAAGTTAGTAAATCATGCCAGTACATGATGTTGGTGCATCGTATTGAGTAGAAAATTCTAAAAAGCCAATATAATGAATAATCCAAATGCAAAATTTTTAAAAATAGTTATAGCCAGCACTCATACCTGGTTAGAATATCTAATAAAAACGTCATTGCATAAACTAAGGGTTCTATGAGAAAAGATATGTAACGTAACGTCAGAGTTTTCACATGTTCATTGGGTATCCAGCATAGGAATGGTTCAAACATAGACAACTCCAAGTCCCAATAGGAGTTCGGATACATGTGATGTGACATGGCGTGCGATATACGCCAACCGCAAACATTCAGCATAGCCAAGTTAAAGGTGTACATGCGCCAATTGTCACGACGATGGAAATAATTATGAGCTGCTATTACAGTCCAGCAAAGTAAAGTGCCGGCCAAGACCAATAAAAGCAAGCTATTCCATCTTGCGGTAAACACGACGGTTAAAAATGTCGATAATAGAAGTGCCAAATGTATATTCTGTAGCATAGAAATTTGTTTTTTTTGTTTTTTGATTATTATGAATATTAAATGTCGAAGAAACTCACATCGCTGTTGCTTTTTCTTTTCACATCAATTGTTGGCAATTTGTCGCGCACTCGTCTTTTTAATGTTTTATAAAAACCATTCTCATGCATTGTAAGCGTATAAATTCTCTCATTGATCGCATCACGGACCTTATAACTTTCAATGAGAGAGGCCGGCATATTGCTTAAATGATGAGCTTCAAAAAGTTCGGTAATATCCGTGCCTTTTGTCTCCTTAAGCCAAAATGAGCCGCCCGGATGTTTATCAATGAAATTCGTAAAATCGTATAAAGTGTCACGGATACGCCAAAGGCCTTCAGCTTCGTCATCTTCGCGTTTGCTCACGAGCCAGCTAAGGAAAATTGTTAAACATAATAAATGATATTTGTAAAAATGTTCGGTCTTTAAAAACCAACCCGAACGCTGTAATTACTCTCGAATTTCGATAAGACGGAAACTTTTTCGAAATACAGCAATTTTTCCAATCTTCGATAACCATTGCGCGAAACAAAAATTTCTGACAATAAACTGCTTGAATAAATCGCCAACTGATAGCAAATCTAAACTGAAGCGTAAGCGATACTTTTACTCTTTATAACAGCCACTTTGTCTTCACCCTTATCACCAATTGTGGAATCTCTGTTGCATCGCCAACTTATCAATCAAATGCCAATAACATTTAAGTAATATAAATATAAGTATTCGTTTATATATATACTAAGTAGCTGCTTCAATGAACTAAATTGATAGCTACAGTTGAGCAGAAGCCGGCACTTGAATATTCCATTTGGCTTTGCTTAGTATAATTTTTCATATACCATCGCTGCAAAATGATAAAAACTTTACATTATTGGTGACTTACTTTCCATGCAAACCTTTGTATGAGAGGTGGATTAACATGGTCCACATTTAATTAAGTGGATATTCTTCTTAAAGAAGACGAGGAGAAAGTCTTCACCTATCTTCATTATATAAGATCAAAAATTAGAACTTGATGCGATATAAAGACCTCCTTTTGCTGCGAGAAGTCTTAATAGGGAGATTATCGAGAAAAAGGATCCAGTCCCATCAATATTTATTTCAAAATATCTCTTTCCGTGACTCTCGGAAAATGTCATGAATAGATTAAATTGCATTGAATGGAAGACTTTAGACCGCTTCTAATTATTAAGACGTGTATTTTAACTGCTCTGATCATTTTTTGTGTAAATTAGGTTTTAAATCCATAAAAATACGCATGGAAGAAAGGAGAACTATTACAAATCGATTAAGCAGATTTAGTCCTGTCTGTTTCTTCTGTGCTCATCTGTTTAAATTTTACCTTGTCCCAAGGCTCCAGTGAAAAATTAGCCAATTCGGACTAGGAATCGCCCACAATAGCCTGAAAATCGATCATTATTTTTCAACCCTAAAATTGTAAAATGCGATTTAAAACGATTTAAGTACCATTCTTATCAAATCAGCTACGTAGACCTGAGGTTTCGTTCGCACTTCGTATCGCGGCAGCAACTCAGAAAAGGGATTTCTCTGAAAGTGCAAAGACAACACTTGCGCTCTCAAAACAGTTAACAATTCGGCAACGAATTACGGGCGAGAATCTTGAGGAAATAATGATAGTTGAGTTTTATTATCCTTTCACTTCGTGAATAGACAATGGGCTAATTTTAGTGTACATAAAATGCTTATCCATAAAATAAAGCGGCCAAGGTTACGTTTATCAATCTGTAAGTAATCCTACCAGCAAACAATTGCTGCAAATTTAAATAAAAGTTTTAATCGAAAAGTGTCACCTATGCAATGAAAAGATATTATTATATAGGCCATAGCGCACATTTGCCTAAATGTATAGAAATCTCTGTAATTTCGCTTTGTAATCGTTTAGCTCAGTCTAATAGTTTAACGATAAAAATTATGAGAATAAAAAAGCAAGCAATTAAATGGCTGCTAATTAAAAGCGCTACCGCTGCTATTGATAACAGATGTAGCAAAAGTCCCTGAGAGTAGTCCCTGAGTAATTTTCATTTTAAAGATTCTGATTTTCTGCTTGGTGTTACGAAGGCAAAATTTAAGCGTATATGGGCGCACTCCGACGGAAGCTTGTGCATTGCCACCCGGAAAACGCATTGCGTAGAAGGTTCGAAAACTTGAGATCTGCATTCTCCATCTAAGACAGTCAAAAAGATGTCTTCAACTACAGTGACGTGTGCAATTTATTTCAAATAGGATTCATCTTTGGACTACATCTAATGACCAAAATTTTTGAAAAATCGTACTTATAGAACGCAAACAGACAGACAAACTGACATACACAAAGATATGTATGCATCGGTTGCAGAAATAATTCTGGATTAATTGATTTAACAAACGGTATAATAACACAAACTTTTCTGGACGTTACATAAATTCGCACGAAAGCTAATAAAACCTTACCGTGAGTAGTATAGAGTATAAACATTAGCGAAACGATTTATTAATTTAGACTAAAATATAATATGGAAGCTCAGATAAAATGTAAATCAAGGTAGTGTGTACTGTGCTGTATTGACACCAGGTTTCAGAGTGCAAAGTTTTACGATAGCTTAAATTTCGTTTCAAACATGTATATAAATAAAAAAATAAGGCGACTTCAAGCTTTTATAAGAAAAGCAAGTAAAAACAATATAGTGGGGCACGGGCCGCCAATGAGTACCCTATACCATTTCGCCTAATACATTTATTCATATAACAAGTTTTTAAAACCAGGTGATACATGGGAAGCCAATAGCCAATAACGTTTGTCCATGGGTCAAAACAATTTCATGAAAATATCTCAAAAATTCTCACCTATAAGTTGAGCACAAGAAAACAAGACGAACAAACGGATAGACAAGAGTCTGCCTCAATTCCTTTTTTCATTTTCCATTTAACTAACATAAAGAATATTTTATACGCGCGTGTTTTTCAAATCCGCCGAGAGGTTCTTGTGTTTAGTGACTTCCGTGGTAAACTGTGTGCTATTAATGTGTCCAGTTTTGTAAATGATAAGTAAAAAGTTTCCTTAGTTTAAAATGCAAGCGATATTCATAACTTTCTATCACTATTGATTTTTATGCCCTACATCACTTGCGGTACAAGATATATTAAGTTAGGGCGGTCGTACGTAACACATACGTAAGAAGGGCTTAAGAAAGACTCACCTTGCATTATGCCAATCGATTCGGAATCGTAATGTAAACTGATCTAAGCCGTCCGTCTGTCCATCCGATGTCTGTCAATGTAAATCTTTTTTGAATTGAAACTATTTTAACGAAATTTTGGTATAGTAACTTGTTTTGACTAAAGGACGAACTCTATTGAAAATGGTTCGGGTCGGTTCACACTTTCGACCACTCCCCATATAACGCTCTATTCTGAAAGGTCGTTATATGGGCAAAAATTGTAATTTTCCAAATTTTTTTTGGCAAAAGTGGCTAAGTAGTAATATTTCGTCATTCTGAATTGGTGTGAAAACTTTAAACCGGCTTTGGCAATCTTTTCATATAACGAAAACTGAAGTTCACACGACAAAAAGGTATAATTTTGCTGAAAAGTCCAAATTGTAATATGTAACGATGAAAATTGACCCATAATGCTACAGTAATTTCGTACACGAATGAATTCTACAAAATTTAGACCATCTACGTCTGTTATTAGATCGCACTTTATGTAAATATGCATTTGAAAAATATGCCGTTATATGAAAGCGAGATATAATATTTGTGTTCTGTAATAAAAATAATTGTGTTAGACAGTGTGGTATAGGGTATTTGATGAATGATCGGCTTTGCCCGACTATACTGTTCTTACTTGCTATTAATACAAAAGAATAAATATTAAATATGTAGATAAAATATTTATCTAAACCTGTTTATCTGTCTCCCGAATAGAATTTCCATCTGATTTTGAATTTTTTTTTTTATTTTTGTCATTCTATTAATATATTGTATGCATAATAAACTGTCAGAAACAATGACAGGCAAACAAGTTTAACGGTAAAGATTAATTAAAAGCAAATTTTTGCTCTGTTGTCTTCGTGTAAAGTTTAAAGCATTTTAATTATAATAAGCATTATTAATATGCTCCTCTACGGTATAATTATTAAAATGAAACGATTAAAAACCAACTTGAATTATAAGTGTGTGTGCATTGCTAACAAGCGATTATTTACTATAATCGTGAACAGGGGCGGGCAAAAGGGCTCTGATAAACGAAGAAGAGGGCACGACTTTTCAAACAAGAATCGAAGAAGGAAAGGTTTAAGTTTTCGCAAAGCCATGAAAGCCTATTAAAACGCATTGTAGTCTACGTAGTTGTGTCACTGATGCCTGAGCACTTTTGTATTGTAGAAGTTAATTGGGCCCTTCATATCATATTCTGTGAGTGCGCTCAAGTTCAAGAGCTTCAGACGGCTTCAGTTTTTTCATTCGATTCATTTAAGTTTTGTTGTGATATTGGCTCGTAAGCGTCAGCACAATAAGCAGCGCGTAGAGTGGAAATAAACAAGAAAATAATAAAATAAAAATTCATATTCATTAGTTAAATTATTGAAAACTTGTGCAAATTAATTTAATTCAAAGTAAAAAAAATTAATTATTTAATTCTTTATTCTGCGTCGAAAAGATAAAAGAAAACTATTTAAACATGTCAACATATTTAAAATCCGAATACGAGAAAGAGGATTGGAGAGAGTCCACTATATCACGAAAATATCCATCTTATCGAAGAAAATTAATTAAAACCAATCAGAGGTAAACGAAAGCAATTTAAAAATGTTTTTAAATAACCTTTGTCTACGTCGATTAAGGGGAATACTTCGTAACGTAACTCTAGCAATATATTTTCTACATTTTAAATGAAGAACGAGAAAAATGGTAGTCGAACGTCGGGCAACGTCTATGCATCAAAGTTTCCAAGCCAAGCTGCTTCAATTTTCATCGATCCATTGAAGATATGCTTCTTATTTGTTTAACCTTCTGACCTCGTCGGGTTGGACAACCCTGTTTTTCGCTTTATTTCAATTGCACGCTGTAATCGCCTTATTTGTTGACGCTGGAGAACGGAACTGACTCCTTGTGCCAATGATAAACTATTCTCTTTTACAATCTTTCTAGCAAGTTTTTCCATTTGTAACTAACCGTTCGTCGCCAGCAATCAGCCTCTGCGCTATTTCGTTTCGTTTCAACAGCGGTCGCCTGATGGAGATTCGGTTCATTGAATTTTTCACTTTCAATTCATGCGATATCCAAATTATTGATTGGTTCTATGACGAAGGTTTCCCTCAGTTTTTTGCAGAATTGTATGGACTTTATCAACGGCTAACTGGCTATCGAGTTGTCCACAACGGAAACGAGCGAATTTTTTGCATGATAAAGCATTTTCAACACAGAAACCAGGGATTTCTTCGCTAGCTTGCAGAACACTATCCCCTTGATTGAAGTCTACTGTAAAAAATCAGATTTTTTTTTTCGGAACTTTGGTTGGTTTTCGAAACTAATAAGAAGTTCAGGCCTACTGCTTAGCCAAGTAATTAAGCGCGCGACCATCAAATTTGGATCAATCCGGAAACCGAGAGACGACACGTTACCTACGATTGGTTTGCGATTGTAGGTCGGCTGCTAAAGATCTAACATTTGACGGTCGGTACATCTCCCAGAATGCCGTCGCTCTCTATCCTTCACCCTTTCCTTTCCATACCATGAAAAATTCGGCATAAAAATGGAAAAAATTGATGGGGAAAAACTTCATGAAGTTCTCATTTTACCTTAGTTAACAAAGATTCCAAGGCTTCTTTTCCTTATTAATTAGGGCCTGTCCACTTTCACACACACGATTGTCTAGCTTGTTATCGTTAGTATTGGCAAAGTTAGGCCACTGTAAGCAATGCAAAAGAACAGCAAATGGTTAATGTAAAATTTTGAAAGTGCTCAAGTCTAACTTTAATTATCTAGTTTTCATACCCTACAGCACTTGTGGTACACAATACATTAAATTTGTGGAGATTAATGCGAAAACTACAAGGATTTAAGATAAAACCGATTTTTATTATACCGATCGATACAGAATTATTTTCTCAATCGATTTAACTTTGTCTGTCCGTCTGTCGGTTTAATCCATAGTTTGGAATGTTTAAGATATTTAAACAAAATATGATGCAAAGAAATATATTTTGGATCTAAGACGAACCTTACTGAAAATGGATTACTTTTCCGATCACTCGCCATGTAACGCCTTATTTCGCAAAGGTTGCAGAAATATCTTGACAAAAATCGCAAGCTTGCTTGCTTGCTACGCTTGAAATAACATTTTTAAGAAGCACGAAAGAAGCCGCGGAAATCTTAGATGCTACCATTGCGTCGACATTACATTTGAATTTTGTTTGTATTTTACCATCATGCAAACTGATACCAAACATAAGTACGACGTCATATGTCTGGCGTCTTTAGTAGTTAATGTCGGCTTAGCTATCAAATGATGATCTGAATCATTTTTAAAATCTTAAGCGCGGTTTGATATCGTTTTGTGCTTTCTGTTGAGGTTTCGTATAACCCAAGTTTCAATGGCAAAGATTGCTGCATACCGTTAAACCACAAAATTGAAAACAAAGGTATAAAAAGCTTAGAGTCTTGCAACTCTTAGGTTTGATTATATTGTAAAATAAATTCTAGATGCATTTCTTAATTATATTCATTTTTTCTATTTCGTTTAACACGCTCTTAACACGGTGCAGTTGGTTAAAATACAAACAAATTGATGATGATGCTGAAGGCCTTTGGCGTATTCACGATAAACTCTACGATTTTTCATCTTTTATAAAACATCATCCAGGTGGTGCTTTTTGGTTGGAACAGACAAAGGGCACTGATATTACGGAAGCATTCGAAGCTCATCATATCACGGCTGCAGCAAGTAATTTGTTACCTGCATACGAAGTACGCAAAGCGGCAAGCCCTAGAAATTACGTATTTACATTTCACGATGATGGCTTCTATCGCACCCTTAAGCGTAAAGTAGCTCTTGCACTCAAGGATCTGGACTATCGCCCGAAGAGAAAATCTAATGTAATTGGAAAAAGCCAAACAAAGAGATCACTTCTAGTGACTATTCTCTTTTATTATTTATGGTTTTTATTCATTTTTTCATAAATTTATTTATGATTTTTGTTTTACGTTTTTTTTTTTTTTTATTTTTCACCTTTTTTTCCATTTATTTTTTTAGTTTATGTTTTATCGAAAATTTATCAAATGCATAAGAAGTAAATTTCAGAGACCCTACAGGGTGTATATATTCTTGATAAGTGTCACATAGACATAACCTTCTATCCGTCTGTGTAATGTCGGTGGTGAACGTTTTTACGGTCGCGTCGGATATCGCCTTTAAATTTAGCGAAAAACTCGCAACTTCTTGCAGGTAAGCTTGCCTTGCAAATGGGTTAAATCGGTCTGAGCACCAGCTGTTAGTGCATTACAAATTTGAATGCACCCCCTTTTAAAAAGCATTAGATAAATAATTTGTATTCTATATATTTTCACAGTCATTTGTTCATTTGTTAAGTTAGTATAAAGTCATAGGTCTATTACCTAGTTACATAAATATATTTCAAATGAGAAAAGAAAGTAGAACATATATGAGTATACGACCTAGCTAGCTAAGCTGCTAATGTACTCATCTTGCTTTAAACATTCTGTAAATCATCAATTCCTACCAGCAACAAAATATACATTAAGAGGTTAGAAAAGCGACATCGAAATATTTCAGACTCAGTGGTAAGGCAGTCCAATATCTAGCGATAGGAACCATAAAAGATCGTTCGACTGATGAGTTGGTCAAACGTGGTATTAATATGAAAGCGTTTCTATTCGATCTAGAGAGCTGCAGTCGTTCAATTAAAAGGCTTTGAGATCGAGTTTGAACAATTCCCTAGAGGCAGATAAGTATCGTAAAATTTATTTAATCGCGAAAGGAGAATTTTAAGAAGGCATGAACAAAGGAGGATCAATGGTTTGTAAGTTCGAGACTATAAACAAAACATGTTTAACCTTTAGAGGCAGAACTTTAGCAGAGACATTGTTGATTTTGCGATTATATATACAGATATGCATCATAACTATTATAAAATATGTATATATATATATATATATATATATATATATTTGTGTTATATATATTTTTTAATATGTGTATATATTGTATAATATGTATATTATATATTTATATATATAGACGGATAAACGGACATGCTTAAATCAATTCAGAATTTCATGCTAATCAAGAATTCTTTGTGGGGTCTCTGCAGCCTCCTTTTGGGTGTTGCAAACGTTTTGACAATACCTATACAAAGCCCTTATCCTTCGATGTTGGGTGTAAAAATGCGGGTTTTTGCTCATTCTACTATTTTCTATCGTGGGTAATTTCACAGAACCTGTACAAAAATGTAGAAAATCGTTCATGCCAACCCAATAAATTATGAAGTTTTGAAATTTAATTTTTTGATTTCTTTAAGGTTAAGGCAACTTATGTGAAAGATTCAGGCACAGCAGGCTATAATTTTTTGAAATAGTTGTATTGACCTTTTTTTAAAAGTTTATTTCATTTTTTAATTAGATTTTTTATTATGTTTTTTTTTTTTATGTTTATTTATATATGTATATATATATTTTTTCTTATTAACCTAGCATTTTATTCTCTCATTACAATGCGCACAACATTTTCTGTTTATTCAACAGCTGATACATATATTTCTACTATTTACTACATTGGGCTCATGCCTGACAGCACCTTTGCTGCAAAGATTTTCGAGCAAAATTTTAATGGAACTGATAGCGGCTGCATCGCTTTGTTCACTGGGTATAGCGGCCCATAATTATTTTCATCGCAAGGACAATTGGCAAATGTATACATTTAACTTAACTTTATTAAATTTCGCCGAATGGCGTATATCTCATGCTATGTCGCATCATATCTATACGAATTCTATGCAAGATCTGGAAATGTCACTGTTCGAGCCATTTCTTTGTTGGGTACCTAGCGAACGTTATGCTTCCAAACGACAACGCATTTTATCCCTTCTAATACAACCCATATTTTATGTCTTTGTATATCCTTATCAGTTGATCGAAAGGTAATTCCATATTTCTTACCATAAAAGGCTCACTTTTAAAATATATCTACATACATTCTCTTTGCTTATATTACAGAGCAATGCATTCGCTGTTCAGTAAAAACCGATTGCATTGGCATGATGTAATCGGTTTGAGTTTACCAGCATTAATGCTAATGGTCTCAAAGGGACCATTTTGGTCGGTGTTGATACAATGGTGGCGCATTATACATTTTAGTAGCTTTCTGTTCACTTTAATTGGCGTGAATGCGGGCCATCACTGCACTACCGCATACCATGAAGGGGATGCGAACCGTAAAGATCTTGATTGGGGTCTTTATCAATTGGACGCTTGCATAGATCGCAACGAAATCAAAGGCAGCCATTTTATGGTACTTATCAGTTTTGGAGAACATATTTTGCATCATCTATTCCCCACTTTAGACCATGGCATACTTCCACAATTGTATCCTTTACTATTTGAAACGCTAAAGCAATTTGAGGAGGAATTGAGAGAATTTTCATTCCCAAAACAAATCATTGAGCAAAATCGACAACTTTTACGTACAAAACCGAACCTTAGAATATCTGGTGGAAAAGTAAAATAATATATAAATGTATATATACATCCTATTACGCTTATCTTAGAGAAAAGGTGCAATTGTGCCAGTTTCGCCGACACAACAGTGCCGTAGAAAATAAATGAATAAATAAAGGGAATATATTGAAAATGATGAGCAAATTAAAAGCTATTTGTTGTTTTAAGACGTACACTTAAGAAAAAAGGTACAAAGCCAATGAAAGCGTATCGAAGTTCAAGGACAATAAACATTCTAATGATTCCTTTGATAAATGTTGAAGGTGGCTCGGCAGCTTGGCGATCGAGTAGCACAAGCTTAATCATCAGAACAAATACAAAGATTTTCTAAACGACTTATTGAGAAAACAATGAAATAATTTTATTTTAAAATAGGAATCTCTCGGAAACAGGACAAGACAATCCAAAAATTGTCAAGTATAGTTGAAATGCGAAAATACCTCAAAAATATGAATTCAATTCTATTTAATTAGTGAATTAATTAAATAACTATTATACCCTTCATCACTTGTGCACTTGTCGATGAATTTGTGTGTGCAACCAACAGCTTGTCATTTTTGAATATATTCATTGGTGCACGGACGTGTTTCGATTTCATAACGAACGCAATTGGAAATGGTTCGGATCGGATCGCTTTTTCGAGCAAGTCTCATATCATCTTTATTTTGAAAAGACATTACATATAATTATGAATAACTGTATTAAAGGAAGTAATGCGGGGTTTTTTTTTTAATTTCTATGAGCAAAAAACGCTGCTAAGAAAGGCAAAATTGTTCTCTATTTACTTTATAACATTTAAAATAACAGCAGTTGCTTATTGCTTGCTATGTTGAAGTGTTGCACGAAAACAATTTCTAATGCCATTAAGTTAGTAAAAAGAAATGGGTAGGGTGTGCAAGTTATCACTAACTCCATCGAAATAACTTATTACCTGCAAAGATAAATCAGTCCTCGCGAAGACTTGCGAGCGAAATTACTGAGTACTTCATTCATTAACAAAAAAGAGAAAGGAAAATAAAGCATCGGAAACATTGCAGTTGGCGGGCAATACAAATACAAAAAAGGCAAACGCTAAGAAATTTTGTGCAAAATTGTGCATAACGTTGTTTTACTCTAGAATTTTCATAGCAAAAGAAATTCGAAAATTTGATATTTGCCGTAAACGAACAGAAATAATAACACGACCTAGATTTGGTTAGAAAAAAAAATTCTATTAAAAAACATTTAAACTTCTTTTAGTTACCTTGTTTTCTCGTAAAGAACATATTGGATGCAAATATCTTTTTAAAATGCGACGTCGCTCGCATCAAATTCCGGTTGTTGTTCGATACTCCTCCCTTGATCGTCTCAGTTGCTGCATCTGTTCTTATTCAACGTGATCTCCCAGATCGCGGCTTAACTCATTACCGAATCGTCTTGGCCGAAATTTTAAACAAAACGTTCAAATCATTGATTCAGCCTCGCGTTCGTTTCGTGTTCAATCATTATCAATCATTCATTCTCTCGGCAATTGTGAATTTTTCCCTATCGCACTTACTGCAAAGGTGAATCTGTTTGGTGATCACAATATTTTTGTTGCAGTTTCTCGCACTAAGTGATTGGCAAGTTACATATAGAATTTTTATTCTCATAGGGCAGTTTACGAGTTGCAAAAGCTTCGAGACGGTACACTGTATGTGTTACTGAGAAGTTCATCTTTAGAAAAAATAACTGCGGTAGCACTGAAGGACTCAGTACAGTTTGCCGATATGAACAGCACAACTAATTGTCGAGCGAAGTGCGGTAATTTGTTAGTGTCAACTCACTATGTTTTTACTCAATGTCCAATCGGAACTGATACACAATTGCATAGGAAGCTTTATCGCTTATAAAAAATATTAATCCGTGGACAATGTAATTGCGGCCGAAGAATTCGTTTTTCTCCCAAAAATCTTTAATAAAGAGATGTGTTAATGTTTGGTATAGTGCAACTAAATATTGGCGTAATAGTGAGCGTAAAATTCTCCCAGATCGTCTAACTCCTTTTTCAAGCTCGAGATTTTTCGGAATTTATTTTGCTTATTGAATCAACCGATGAGGTAATCATTCGATAGTACGAAGAAGAGACAGAGAGAGAGCGAGAGAGAGAGACACACCCACAGAGAGAGTTAGAGAGAGTGTAAAGCAGGAAGAATGTAAATTTTATCATCTATTGCAAGAGATAGCTTAACTAACACTACCGCACAAGACTGTAAGCTTTCCATGGCAAAACGGTCCCGTTAAATTTCCCATCACAGTATTTATGACCTCACTGCAATGGTAAACGCATGTGCCGGCAATAGCTTCTTTTCTTATGTAATTTTTCGGAAAGTGCTGTTATATCGGACGGCAACAAATAGACCAAACATGATGCAGTAAAGCGCGCAAAAATAATAATGATGGTGACCAAACTAACCATCAACATGGCCAAAATATATTAGGATCTGAGCTCACTCACTCAGCGCCTGCTAAAATTACGTAACCTCACTTTATGACTTTATGAACGCTACTATAGGATTAAGCGGATCATTAAACTCATGTTAAGAGACTCAGTAAAGTGTTTTCTCAGATTGAGCAAGCTCGGTCCTTTGTTGCTAAAAAATTCGAACAAATGTTAGTAGCACTGAACTCTCTCCCGCTTTCTCTCAGAAATGCTGCCTACTTCTCCCACTACTCATTCTAACTAGTACTTGCCTCAATCGATGATTATTATTACTTTCGCTTCATGGAACATCGCTTTAGTTCCCATGATGTTACATAAAAAGTGGTCAGTGGCCAGTCATATCAAATTAAAATTTCAAAAAGCTTAATTTTTCTAAAATATGATTCAAAAGTTAATTGAAGTTAGAAACCTAAAATTACGCTGTGCAGTCAGCTTACGGTTGCTCGAAAGGGGATTATACTATCTGCCAAAGCAAGATAAGATAGTTTGTTTCCTATATACATTAGCCAAACTATATAGTTCTACTCATTTCCTCTTATCTGCGTTCCTAGTCACTATTGTTTTTGACAGATAATATATGAAGAGTAAAACATTTATGAAACATTTCAGCCAGTATATTATTACCATTGGTGCAAGTGTCATCATATTACGTGCTGGACTACTATCATTAATTATTTTGTTAATCGGTTATTTATCTCGATATGGTTCTGCAGCGGACGGTGCAAATATTTTGGGAGTATTTCTTACTCATACTCCCTCACACCTGATCGTACACATGTCTGTGGCTAAGGTTTTAGCTGAAGAAGGTCACAATGTAACGGTAGTAGTGACACAAGAACCTAAAGTCAACCATAAGAATATACATAAAATCTTAATACCGCCTGCTGAGAAACACATAGAGTTCTTAAATAAGGAATTCTCTGCACTTTTCAAAAAGAAGCCAAGTCTGTTGCGTACTTTAGCCAACGTTCTCGGCTCATTAAGTATGATTATTGATATGCAAAAGGATGTCTTAGAAGATAAACGCTTTGCCCAACTCTACGATAACCCGGATACAAAATTCGATTTAGTTATTGTTGGATATTTTTTTAACAGCTTTCAGCTTGGAGTGGCTGCAAAATTTAAAGTTCCAGTAATATTAAGCTGGATGTCCGACCCGGGGAACCTTGTGAATGAATACGTTGGGAATCCTAATGAAATCGCCTATGTACCCAATTCAAATATGGCGGTAGAGCTAGGCAGGAGAATGAATTTACTAGAAAGAGCTCAAAATCTCGTAACGTCCATCTTTTTCAAGATATTTAAGCTACTTTTAGATTATCGCAATCAAGGTTTCTACAAGTAAGCCTGTTTTCATGTTGATTATACCTAAACAAAATTTTTATTCTTTATTCCTTTCAAACACTAGCGAATTATTTCCAAGTGGTGACGGCATCTTTCCAACCTATCAAGAGATGAAACAAAATGTTTCTTTAGTTTTTTGTAATAGTCACTTTACTGAAGGCCACATCAGACCTAACGTTCCAGCCATAGTGGAAATCGGTGGCATTCAAGTCAAAGAGAAGCCAAATCCCCTTCCCGAAGTATACATATACATATATATATATATAAATAATCATGCATTTAGAATGTGTCTCATTTTGTTTTAACGAAATTCTCTTTTAAGGACATTTCATTATTTCTGAATGAGAACAAAATTGATGGCGCTATACTATTCTGCTTAGGCTCGAATTTGAAGAGTGAATTTATCAAACCGGAAGTAACCAAAACCATATTTCAAGTACTTTCAAGTCTAAAGCAAAATGTTATCTGGAAATGGGATGATCTGGCAAACACGCCGGGTATTTCTAAAAATATCATGTATAGGAAATGGATACCACAGGATGATATCTTAGCGCATCCCAATCTGAGATTGTTTATCACACATGCCGGCAGAGGTGGCGTTGCTGAAGCGCAATATCATGGCGTTCCAATGGTAGCTTTACCCGCTTTAGCAGATCAACAGGGCAACGCGGCCAAACTTATGAGCAGTGGTCATGGAATACAGCTGGATCTTTTAAATTTAACCGATGAGCAACTAAGGAAGGCTGTCAATGAGGTGCTGACAAATCCGTTTTATAAAGAAAAAATACGAAATTTTTCACGTTTGTACCGTGATCGACCTTTAACGGCTCGTCAATCTGTTGCTTTCTGGACGAACTATGTGTTACGCAACCATGGCGCTGCCCATATGCAAAGTCCTCTAGTTCATATGAATTTTATACAAAGTTTAAACATTGATGTTATAGGCTCCTTACTGATCTTAACCTACTTAGTTTATAAAGTCCTCAAACTGATGAGTTGTTATATATTTTCTAAGATTTCAAAACAATTCTCAAAACCCCAGCCAGGCTCAACAAAAAGACAAAAATCAATAAAAAAGAATAAATAAAATCGTAAATCTTCACTTATTACTTTGTCACGGGATTTGCTCATCAAGAGAGTCGAGTCAAGTTTCTTTTCATAACAGCGGTACCGTAAATAACAGCCATTTAGGAAATGCTACCAATCGCGCAACTTTTACGAAGATCAATCCGATCAGATCAAAGTTTTCGATTGCTGCTGACTCTCGTTTTAGGCAGACAACCGAAGTAAATATTGTTTAAAGCGAAATTTTCAATGGGTGAGAAAACTGCTTACTCTTAAACTTGCTATAGGGCCATCAATGAACAGATCAGTAAAAGTATTAGTAAAATTAATTTGCCAAAAGCACAATAGTGAGAAAGAACACAATCGGGGTCAGATATTAAATAATTTTCTTTAGTGCGTTCGTTTATTTTCCCACATCAAACTCATAAAGTACGTATCCTAATATTTATAACCTAAGCTTCGACAAAAAAATAAAACTTGGAAAGGAAAAAGAGAAAAAAGTTATCAAAAAAAAGTATTCTTTATGAAAGTAAACAACACACATACAAAATTCGCACTCTAAACTTCTTAGATTCTTCCGGATGTTACATAGAATCGCAAATATTTAATATACCACCGTACACCACGAGTTAGGCGGGGTATATAAGGAGGATTAAAATATTATTCTTATGACTGACTCCTAGGTTCCCATATAAAGTAACGGCGTCTCGAATATAAGAAATTATATGTATACATATGTAAAATAGTGTCCAAGTATCCAATTGTCAGTGACCATTAATTTTCATCATTATTTATTTGTGATTTAGCGAATCGCAAACAACAGGGATTTCTTCTTCCCTATCCAAAGATAGCCTCAGGTTTAGTAGCATGAATTGTATTTTCCGCCTTTTCGAATACTTCCAAACCTCTTGAAGACCTCTTTCTATCTCTTGAAGATGAACGCAGGAGCACAGGATTGCATTGTCATCAGCGGGAAGCTCACAACTGAAGGAATAATAAATATTGTAACAACAGTGCCCCAACACTGAACTCTGGAGAAGACCACCGGAAGTAGTTTGCTTATTTATATTAACATATCAGCATAAGAACCTTTTAATGATCTTTTTCAAATATTTTGAAAGGTTAAAAGTGAGTTACTTAACGACAAGTTCCTTGCGCCAGATGGTGTCAAAAGACTTTTAAATATCGAATTTAACCATGGCAATTGAGTTTTTAGTTTGAAATTCGCGTTCGGCATGTTCGGTTTAGTTGTCGGCGAATTTATTAGCGAAACAACGCAGCGAATTGCTTGATTTACTTAGGTTCCAGACCAGAAAATAGCCGGATATGAGAATTTTAAAAAGCTTTTCGAAAACACGTTTATTGACTTTTCTATTCAGTTGACAAGTTGAGCCTGGACGAATATCAGGAGATTATATAAAACTTAAGTTAATGTAAATTAGTGTAAATTTCCATCTAATCCATTGGAAAGAATAGCACTACCATACCAAGCTAAATAACATACATACCTTGTTTACGTTATATACATGCACATGTACATACATCTATTTGGTTGCCGCTTAAAGAGCGCATATCAAGAGAGAAATATTTGTTGACTGAAAATAACACTGAAAGCCACTACATATATACATATAGACTTAGCGCTTAATTCAGTGTATCGCGATCATCCGCAAAAGCATCATCATGCTACGCGCAGGAATATTAATATCAATTGTTCTATCCGCTGCGCATTTATCTCGTCATGGTTCTATAGTGTACGGTGCAAATATTTTGGGAGTATTTCTTACTCATAGTCCCTCACACCTGATCGTGCACATGTCTGTGGCTAAGGTTTTAGCTGAAGAAGGTCACAATGTAACGGTAATCGTGACACAAGAACCCAAAGTCAATCATCATAAAATACATACAATTTTAATACCACCTGCTGAGGAACACATCGAATTCCTACACAAGGAATTCTCCGATCTGACGAAGCAGAAGCCAACTTTGTTGCGTACTTTAACAAACCTAATTGGTTCATTACGTTTAATAATTGATATGCAAAGAGATGCTTTGGAAGACGAACGCTTTACTCAACTCTACGATAACCCGGACACGAGATACAATTTAGTTATTGTTGGATATTTTTTTAATAGCTTTCAACTTGGAGTGGCTGCAAAATTTAATGCTCCCCTTATCTTGAGCTGGGTAATCGCTCCAGTGCAATTTGTTGGTGATTACGTGGGAAATCCTAATGAAATCGCTTATGTACCCAATATGAATTTAGCTCTCGAACCTGGCGAGAAGATGAACTTTTTAAAACGGTTACAAAATTTCTTAACGTCTGCAATGATTGGTGTTTTCAAAGGCATTATAGATTATCGCAATCAACGCTTTTACAAGTAAATCTATTGGCATAATGTGGGCGATGGTTGTAATCCCGTTTTTTGTCATTTAGCGAATTATTTACAAATGACGCAGGTATCCGAAGCTATCATGATATGAAACAAAATGTTTCGTTAGTGTTTTGTAACAGCCACTTTACTGAAGGTTCAATTAGGCCCAACGTTCCAGCCGTAATAGAAATCGGAGGTATTCAGATCAAGGAAAAGCCAGATCTACTTCCTGAAGTAAGTACGCATTTACTGCTTTAAGATGCATTTCTTGTATTTTAATATGAAATTCTTCTCAAGGATATTTCGTCGTTTTTGAGTAAAAGCAAAGCCCATGGAGCAGTTCTGTTTTGCTTAGGTTCAAGTTTCAAAACGGAATACATGAAGCCAGAAATAACCGAAACAATATTCCGAGTGCTTTCAAATCTAAAGCAAAATGTTATCTGGAAATGGGATGATCTGACCAATACACCGGGCATAGCTAAAAATATCATGTACAAGCAGTGGATACCGCAGGACGATATCTTAGCGCATCCCAATCTGAAGTTATTTATTACACATGCTGGCAAAGGCGGCGTTGCTGAAGCTCAGTACCATGGTGTTCCAATGGTAGCTTTGCCCGCTTTTGCAGATCAACCTGGGAATGCAGCAAAAATGGTGGCTAGCGGCTACGGACTTCGATTAGATCTTTTAACCTTAACTGCCGATCAACTAAGAATGGCCATCGACGAAATTTTAACCAATCCCTCTTATAGAGAAAATGTGCGACGATTTTCGCGTTTATATCGCGATAGGCCTTTAACAGCTCGGCAATCTGTTGCCTTCTGGACAAATTATGTAATACGTAATCATGGTGCTGCTCACATGCAGAGTCCGTTAGTTCATATGAATTTTATGCAAAGTTTAAACATTGATGTTATTGTCTTCTTACTGATCGTATCTTATTTAATTTATAAAGTCCTCCAACTGACGACTTGTTATATATTTTCCAAAATTTCAAAAAATATTTCGATATCCAACTCAAATTCAGCAAGAAAAAAAAAAAACTTTAAAAGAGAATAAACAGAAAAGCAAAACCTCATTAATTACCGCGTTTCGGGTCTTGCTAATCGTATTGTCGATCGCCGAGATATTTGAAGAGAGTCGAGACAAGGTTCTCTTCACAACGGCGACACTAAGTAAGTAACACGACATGAACAGCTTTTTAGGAAATTTCACAAACCACACGCTCTATAAGAACGATATCGATATCAACCCAACAAGGCAAAACTTTCGATTACTTTTGACTCTCAATCTAAGTGGACATCTGAAATTAACTTTGTTTAGAACGACATTTTCAAAGTGTGAAGAAATTGCTTACTCTTAAACAAGTAACAATTTGTGGAATCAAGGCTTGGTATACGCATAAGAATTCATTCGAAACAGGACAAATAGAAGAAAGATAGAACGTTATCCGGTAATGGAAAGCAAAGAAATCGTTATAGATTCGTCGTAACAGTTCTCACAGCATAAATAAAGTTCGAAATGTCTGTGTAGCCATAATTAAATAATTTTTATTTATATATATCTTAGATGTGCTCATTTAACTTTTCTCTTTACATAATAATAAACATAATACAAGATTCGACAAAAAGGAAATAATTGAGAAAGAAAAAGAGAAAAAATAAAAAAATCTTTATGAAAATGAATAAAACGCAAACAACATGTGCGCAAACAAGCGATAACTATAATAGTAATAAAAAGAATTCAAAAATTCAATAAATAGAGAGAGATGTAATACTGTGTAACAAATCGACACCTGTTCACTTAATCGTTCATTTTCGTGACAATAGAGCAAGCGTGTTACTTTATTTTCATGTAAAGGCATGCTTTTCGCTATATGTATATATGTGTACTCACGCCTAGTCATGGTTTGCGCAAGTTCACTTATTCTCGGACTAGACCTTTCTCGCGCGTTATTCTCGTGCGACCGGTTGTTCGATTTCGTTTCGTTTCAGCAGCGATTGACAGATCGCAAATGGGAGTTTAGTCCATTACATAATTCACCATTCATTTTTGTGGTATTTACCTAACAAGTTTTCTTTTTTTTCATCTGTATGCAAATTCAGATTCAGAGCAGTACTTTTGATGAACGTTTAGCTCCACAGCGAGATCATAAAATGAAACGTTTTGGATTTCCTAAAATTTTGGAAAAAGTGCCATCGACTTTATCAATGATTAGTTGATAAGAGAGTGACGCGTTCAGCCCTTCTCCTAACATTGTATCCAGGAGAATATCGTATGGGCCCACCTTTTATTCTAATTTTCGACTTAGAAGCATTTTCTGAAACGATCCATGTTCACTTGTCCGTCTGACCTCTCCTTACGCTTATGTGCTTAACCCATACGTGGCAGTAATTCAGTTATTTTGACACAATTTGGCGCACTTACTTGCTTTGATTCAAGGATATACTCCACTACGCGAGACCACTGTTTCGACAACCTCCAAATATAAGGATTAAATTTAAAAGTCCGAAATCCCAAAAGTTGAACACTGATGGATAGTGAATGCTCTGTATTATTCAGTTCTTTAAATTGTCTATAATTGCTAGTAGCGTATAATTTTGAAGGAACTTGGGGATGTCAGGAGCACTCCGTTCAACAAAATCTAAGATTACATAAAGGGGTGAAAGAGGTACGAGACGATCGCTGTCATTGTACTAATCCGCTCATGGCAAGCGTATTGATCTCGAAGGCAAAATCGATCGATCGGCGATCATAACACCATAACATATATATCTAGTTTAATAAGATTAATATAAAAAAAATTTGCTTGAACTTTGGTGAAAGGACGCCACGAACTTTTTCGCGGCGTCCTGATATTTTAATTCCATATCAGACATAGGTTACGGGTTTCAGCTATTCTGGAAGTAATTTCTACGGCACTACGTCCATTTCAAGGTTACATTATGAAATTCAGTGGACAATGTAATAAATTTTCTATCATTTTTCTCTTCACAATTCAGCCGCAGAGTATAAATCCAATATAAGGAGATCATATAAAGACTAAGTTCATCCGCCTGAATAGCCGAAGGCGAGGAATCTCGACAAGCAAGTCAATGGTCGTGGTTTCGAGTGCGATAGAGTTTTTAATAAAAGCCGATAGCCTTAGATGCTAGTGCTTTTAAGGGTTTAGTCTTAGAATTTATTTCTCTGGCGAAATTAATAATAATAATAATAATAACAATAAAGACTAAGTTAGTGTAAATTAAATGGAAATTTTCATCTCGATTCCATTGTAAAGAATTACACTACCAAACAGAATTAGATAACATAGATATATAAGTTTACATGATTATAGCTCTGTTCGGTTCGGTTCGCCGCTTTGATTTAGTTAATCGTTATTATACATTGAAGAGAACGTGTAAAGAGAGTAATGTTTATTGTTTGAATATTACATTAAAAGCTAATAATATATATATGTATTTATTTAGTGCCTAATTCAGTGCAACGTTATAATCGGTATAAGCGTCATCATGCTACTCGCAGGAATATTAATATCAATTGTTCTATCCACTGCGCATTTATTTCGATATGGTTCTGTAGTATACGGTGCAAATATTTTGGGAGTATTTCTTACTCATACTCCCTCACACCTGATCGTACACATGTCTGTCGCTAAGGTTTTAGCTGAAGAAGGTCACAATGTAACTGTAGTAGTGACACAAGAACCTAAGGTCAACCATCAGAAAATACATACAATTTTAATACCGCCTGGTGAGGAACACATCGAATTCCTACACAAGGAATTCTCTGATCTTGCGAAGCAGAAGCCAAGCCTGCTGCGTACTTTAACAAACCTAATTGGTTCATTACGTTTAATAATTGATATGCAAAGAGATGCTTTGAAAGACGAACGCTTTACTCAACTCTACGATAATCCAGACACGAAATTCGATTTAGTTATTGTTGGATATTTCTTAAATAGCTTTCAATTTGGGGTAGCTGCAAAATTTAAAGCTCCTGTCATATTAAGTTGGATGTCTGCACCTGTACATATTATTAATGACTACGTTGGAAATCCTAACGGAGTTGCCTATGTACCCAATACGATGATGGCCACCAAGCTAGGCGAAAAGATGAACTTTCTAGAAAGAGTACAAAATTTCTTGACAGCCATTATGTTCGATACCTTTGGAAAGATTATGGACTATCGAAATCAATGTTTTTACAAGTAAGTTCCTTGTTCGTTCGCGCATTCCAATAATTTCATTCTTCGCTATTTTCGTACATTAGCGAACTATTTCCAAATGATGATGGGAAACTTCCTACCTATGAGGAGATGAAAAATAATGTTTCGTTAGTTTTTTGTAACAGCCATTTTACTGAAGGTCCCATCAGACCTAACGTCCCTGCCGTTATAGAAATCGGTGGTATCCAAGTCAAAGACCAGCCCAACCCGCTTCCTGAGGTATATCCATTAATCCTTTTAAAGTCTGTTTTTACGATGTTTTCACATAAAAATTTCTTACAGGATATATCGTCAGTTTTACATGAAAGTAAAGTTCATGGCGCCATACTTTTTTGTTTAGGCTCGAACTTAAGAAGCGATTACATTAAACCAGAAGTTATCAAAACCATATTTCAAGTACTTTCCAGTCTAAAGCAAAATGTTATCTGGAAATGGGATGATCTGACCAATACACCGGGCATAGCTAAAAATATCATGTACAAGCAGTGGATACCGCAGGACGATATCTTAGCGCATCCCAATCTGAAGTTATTTATTACACATGCTGGCAAAGGCGGCGTTGCTGAAGCTCAGTATCATGGTGTTCCAATGGTAGCTTTGCCCGCTTTTGCAGATCAACCTGGGAATGCAGCCAAAGTAGTGGTCAGTGGCTACGGACTTCAATTAGATCTTTTAACCTTAACTGCCGATCAACTAAGAATGGCCATCAACGAAATTTTAACCAATCCCTCTTATAGAGAAAATGTGCGACGATTTTCCCGTTTATATCGCGATAGGCCTTTAACAGCTCGGCAATCTGTTGCCTTCTGGACAAATTATGTAATACGTAATCATGGTGCTGCTCACATGCAGAGTCCGTTAGTTCATATGAATTTAATAGAAAGCTTAAACATTGATGTTATAGTCTTCTTACTGATCGTATCTTATTTAATTTATAAGATCTTCAAGTTAGTCGCTTGTTATATGTTTCGGAAAATTGCAAAAAAAAACACGAAATCCTGTTTAAGTTTAACAAAAAAGAAAAAAAGTTAGTAAAACAGATAAAATTAAGTATATTAAAATGCATTAATAACGTTCTTCGAATGTCATAAGACTTGAGTCAAATTTCTTTTTCTTAATTCCATTTTAAGTTAAGAAGTAGAATTTTTAAAGTAACAACCATAACCATTGTTAACATTGTTTTGAACTAACGACAACATCGTAAATAAAATTTCAGTTATTCTTGTTTTCGCTACGTCAGCTAGAGATTACAGCTATAGAGCTAACCTTTTCCAATCATTTCATAAAATTTTTTCAATTATTTTGCACTTTAAGCGAACGATCGATCGTCGATCATCGTGATTTTTAACCTAAAGAACCTTTAGCCTCTAATGTAACTTACGTTATGTTTATAATATTTTCACGTTCAACGCAATCCCACTTCAGTTCGAAATCGCAGTTACGAACGATATGTGCTAATAATGTTTACACAATTCTTTTTGTAATAATATATATCGGAAAAAGATCCGTCACGTGCGGTAATTAAAGCCTAAAAAGAAAAAAACTAAATGCATTTGTTTTCGTATTCGTATGATGAAGAGAACATCGATGGCACGAAGCATCGAGTAACGCATACGTTATTAATGTTTTCGATTCTCGATCGATATGAACGGTACTTAAATAAAAATTTGAAACATTTTTGACTTAAATCATATTTTCTCTTAAGCAAACTCGAAATCAGCAAAGTCAACGGCTAGTGTGTGGTCATCAACCGATCAGTAATAGTAATAACGAGCGAATTAATTGTTAATAACAAGTAATTAAGAAAGAACGAATGGTTTGAGGTAAGGAGAGGAAAAATAATTCTCACAACACACATCCAACATGAATCGATGGGTAGTATTCTCGCGACAAAAGCAAAAAACATATGCAATACCGCATCAGATAAGATAGAGGTGCAATTAAAAATTTCTTTCTATATTAAAAAAATATTTCTACAGTAAATGAAAAGTTAACCAATTCGCTGAAACGGCAAGATATTTATTTAGTGTACCGCGACCACTGACGTAAACGTTACCATGCTAAGTCAAGGAATATTATTATTAGTTTTTACACTTCTTGAATCTTTGTCTTGGCTTGGTTGCGGAGTGTTTGGTGGAAATATTTTGGGAGTATTCCTGACCCACAGGCCTTCACACCTAATCATTCACATGTCTGTGGCTAAGGTTTTAGCTGAAGAAGGTCACAATGTAACGGTCGTAGTGACGCAAATACCTAAAGTCAATCATAAAGGAATAAATATAGTTTTAATACCGCCTGTGGCAGAAAAAGAAGCGTCTTTGCATAAGCGAATCTCTGAACTGGCAAAGAAAAAAACCAATTTTTGGACTTCTGTTCAAAAGTACTTTTCTGTTATGCGTTTACTTAATGACATGGAAATGGATGCCTTGCAAGATGAACGGTTTGCGCAACTCTACGATAACCCAGACACGAAATTTGATTTAGTCCTTCTTGGATATTGCTTTAATAGCTTTCAGTTCGGTGTTGCTGCAAAATTTAACACTCCTCTTATACTCAGTTGGATGTTCGGTCCAGCGCTCTTTATTAATGGTTACGTTGGTAACCCTAATGAAATTGCCTATGTACCCCATATGGATATGGTTCTAGAGCCTGGCAAAAAGATGAACTTTCCAGAGCGGCTGAAACACTTCTTAGGGTCTATAATTATTGGCGCATTGAATGCGATTCTAGACTATTGCAATCAACACTATTACAAGTAAATCTATTTCCATAATGTCAGAATTATAGTCCTATCTTCTCTTTATTCTTCAATATTAGGCAGCTATTTCCTAATGATGGCATCTTCCCTACCTATCAAGAGATGACAAATAATGTTTCTTTAATTTTTTGTAACAATCACTTTACCGAAGGCCCCATCAGACCCAACGTTCCAGCGATAATAGAAATCGGCGGGATCCAAGTCAAAGATAAGCCGGAGCCACTACCTGAGGTACACAAATTTAATACAGTTAAAATCTGTTTCTGATATTTTAACGAAAAATATTCTCACAGGATATATCCTTCTTTTTAGACGAGAGTAAAATTCATGGCGCTATACTCTTCTGCTTAGGTTCAGGCTTAATAAGTGACTACATTAGACCAGAAGTAATCAAAACCATATTTCAAGTACTTTCCAGTCTAAAGCAAAATGTTATTTGGAAATGGGATGATCTGACCAATACACCAGGCATTTCTAAAAATATCATCTACAAGCAATGGATACCACAGGACGATATCTTAGCATATCCCAATCTAAAGTTATTTATTACACATGCCGGTAAGGGTGGCGTTGCTGAGGCTCAGTATCACGGCGTTCCAATGGTTGCCTTACCACTTTTCGGCGACCAAGGTAGCAATGCAGCTAAAGTGGTGGCCAGCGGCTACGGCCTTGAATTAGACGTTTTTAATTTAACCAATGATCAATTAGGATTTGCGATCAATGAAGTCTTAACCAATCCCTTTTATAGAGCAAATGTACAACAGTTTTCGCGCTTGTACCGCGACAGGCCTTTAACCGCTCGGCAATCTGTTGCTTTCTGGACAAATTATGTAATACGTAATCATGGCGCTGCTCATATGCAAAGTCCTTTAGTTCATATGAATTTTATTCAAAGTTTAAACATTGATGTTATAGCCTCCTTAGGGATCGTATCCTATCTATTCTATAAGATCTTCATATTACTTGCTTGTTATATACTTTCCAAAATTCTAAAAAAAATTCCCAAATCCAATTTGAGTTCAAGGAAGACGAAGAAAAATCAATAAATAAGATTAATTGAATATTTTAATGTCGGCTAATTGGGTTTTTTTTTAAAGCATGTGCAAAACCTTGCCATTAGAGCGAATATTAATTATCGGAATTAATTTAAAAAATAAATCATTTCAAAACATTTTGGCCAACAAAAACATACATTTAAAAAATGTTGCTTAGAACTCACAACAAAGCATTGTAAAATCTGTTAGCGCATTTTATTCTCGACCCCGTAAGCCACCGTATTGAGAGCACTAACACTTAAACAATTAAACAAAAAATGGTTTAAACCATGTTTGTTCTAAAAATGCCAAAGCGTGAAGCTATCAAACAAATAATAATAATAATAGTAAAGCAAGTAAAAATACAACCTTGCAGACGTTCATGTAAAGACGTTTCAAAATAAGGCGTTATATGTTACGTGTTCGATCCTCATTATTTTCAAGAGCCTTCGTCCTTGGACCAAACCACGTTAGAGTATCAAATTTCACGGAAATATTTCGAAAATAGCAACCAAGAGATTGTATATAAGAAAACAAGATGGACAGATGGACAGAAACTCTTCAATCGATACAAAAAGTGATTCAAAGGTGAGCCCACCTCAAGTCCTTCTGTTTGTTGTGCCACCCAAGTGCTGTAGAGTGTAAAAATGAACTAATTGTTATTGCATGTAATAATAATCCATAATTCCGTCCGTAGGGATGTAAACCAATGTTATTAATTTAATGTGCTAGCAAAAAAGAGGAACACATCGAACCTCAATGAAAGAGTACTTTTGTTGTTGTTTTGTTGTGAGTTGAATGAGTCAAGGCCGATAAGATACAAGCAATTAAAACATTTATTGTTTTCTGTGTGTTATTCATACTGTTGTTACTCCTCTTCCAGATTATGAATTCATTTAAATAAAAAAAAATATAATGCATAAACTTGAGTTCATACATGATTATGAGTTCATGTAGATAAAAGAAAATATAAGGCATGAACTTTTCTTGCATGAATGGGAAAAATAAAAAATTATTTATATTTATTTTATCACGATCACTAATGTAAATGTCATGTCACGTTATCTCAAGGAATATTATTATTCAGTGTTTTTCTTATTAAATTTTTATCTTGGCATCGATCCGGAGTTTTTGGTGAAAATATTTTGGAGTATTCCTTACTTATAGGTCTTCACATCTAATCATTCACAGATCTGTGGCCCAGATTTTGACTAAAGAAAGTCGCTACTTAACGGTAATTGTAACACAAGAGGCTAAAGTCAGTCATGATTATCTTAATAATATAAAATATAAAGGAGTATTTTTGCCTCTTTAAATTCACTTGCCGATATAGCAAAAGATGCCTTGCAAGACAACTCTACGATGACCCATTCGATCTAGTTATTTATTATTGGATATAGCTTTAATTATTATTATATTGTTGGATATAGCTTTAATACTTTCCCATTCGGGGTCCCTGTGAAATTTAATGCGTCCCTTTTACTAAGTTGGTCAACGGAACATGAGCAACATATTAACAGTTACATTGGATTGCCTATGTACCCAATATAAATATGGTTGTTGAACCCGACAAGAACGTGAGCTTTCTTATTACATCAAACCCAAACTAACCCGAATAATATTTCACGTACTTTCTCACAATCTAAAGGACATTGTTGTTTGGAAATGAGATAATCTAACAAATGCACTGCTCGTAAAGGCGGCATTGCGGAAGCTCAATATCACTGGATCCGAACGCTGGAGTTACCTGCTTTCGGCGATCAGCACGCCAATGCAGCCAAAATTATGGTAAGCAGATACGGCCTTGCTTTGGAACTTTTTAATTTAAGCAATCCGTCTTATAGAGAAAATGTGTGAAACTGAATGTTCAGATGATTCGTGAAACAGTAATACAGGGCAATCTGGCAAGATCTGTATGATCATCCAGAAATATGAACCATAAAACAAAATAAGTGTAAGGTAATAATTATCTCTACCAATACTCTCTTACTTACTGTTTGATTTTTCTTTACAAGTTTAGAGGGGGATAACACCATCGACAAGTTTATATGAATGCATAATTAGATATTAATTTGTTAGCTTCAGAGGCAATAGTTATTGCCAATAATCACTTCGAAAGCTGCGTAACGTACTTGGGCAATTATTTCGCATGAATTCTGATACCTTATTCTACTCTTTATCAGAGCTGTCAATATTGACGGAGTGTTCTTCTACATCAACATAGACGCCGACCTCTTGACCACCTACTTGGTAATAACGTTTCTGTAGACCGTTCTTTGTTTTCGTTAATATATAAAAAATATGTGTTGCCAGCGAAAAAAAATCGCCCTAAATTATCTCGTGCTCTGTGTAATGCATGCGGTATGAATTGTTTCTATTTCGTTCATAATGGATGAAATCATAGGAGATAATTAATAATTATAAAACATAAGATGGAAGAAACAACAACAACAATATATTTATTTTTTTGTTTATTTATTTAATTATTGAGTGCTTATTATTATTATTATTATTATTATTATAAATTTAGCCAGAGAATAAATTCTAAGACTAAAGTCTTAAAGCACTAGCGTCTAAGGCTTTCGGCTTTTATTAAAAACTCTATCGCACTTGAGATTTGATGAGTACTTATAAGTCGGGCTTGTTAACAATTTATATAACTTTGTGGATAATAAACGATAAAATACAAATTTAACGCTCACTGTTTGAAAGCAACAACAAGGCGAGATTTACAAACTTTGGATAAGTTAAATGAAATCTAAAGCGCATAAAAATTAAAATTATAAAATAAGATTATTTAAATGAATAATGTTGTAGAAATTTATATAAAATTAAAATTGTAAAATAAGATTATTTAAATGAATAATGTTGTAGAAATTTATATAAAATAATTGAAGCATGAATGCAGATTACTGCAAACCTTGAAAAGATCACTTAAACACTTTTATTTACTCACATTCATGCTATCAATTTTTATTGAATGTTTCGCAATAGTTTGCAAAATTGTCTTTAACATCACGCATAAAACCTATAAAAATGTTTATAAATATACTTGCAACATGTATTCAAATATTGGCAATTCTTCTTTCTCGTGCCATATTTATTATGTGCAGTTTAATTTATCCTGCCTATGCTACGCTTGCATGTATACGCTTGAAGCACTTAGTCAAGTTTTTAACGTGGACAAATTATTGGATTATGCTTGCATGCTGCGAAATGTGTACGAACGTTTTCCTATACTGGTTGCCGTACTACTACGGATGGAAGATATTGGCAATTCTTTGGCTATTACCCAATGTGGGAAACGGCAGTACCTGCTTGTATAAAAAATTTATATACCCATTAGTGCAATTACGTTTCGCTTATCCGATCCCAAAAACAAACAAAGAATTGTTGACCTTCATAGAGAAAATGTAAGGTAATAAAAAATAAAATTAATAATTTCCTATTCAACTGAATACTAAAACGAAAATTGCATTTGCATTTCATTCACACTTGATACAACACGTTATCTCTGCAAACGGCAGCTGAATAATTTTTGTGTTTAGCGGTGTTAATGAAAAAAAAGGAAAAAAAAAAAAGAAGAAATTTTAAATATTTGAAAAAAAGAAAATAGGTTTAATAAAGTAATAAAATAACCAAAGAAAACAATTTCAAAGGAAGAAAAGGAGGGAAGGAAGAGGAATCTCTCGTGAGAGAAAAATTAAGAAGCAATACATATATTCAATTTTTTGTTTTTTCGTTGTGATTTTTTCCTTTTTTTGTGTTCCCCGTGACAACAACCAGAACAACATTAGCCCATCTCCATAATATTCTTTTATCTGCTAACGGAGAAGCTAACGCAAACGTTTTAATTGCGCTTAGTAAACAGACTCTCGACAAGCCCTCTGATTTGGGTGCCACAGCCGCCCCAAATCGCGAGATCAATTTGTACGATTGCATTTCCTCGTTTTTGTCGAAACGTGCGCAGACGCAGAAGGAAATCGCATCAATATTAACTCCAACCTCTATTTTTATGATTACTTGAAGGATTTCAATATTTACGGCTTAAAAGAATTAAAAGTTGTCAGCAGGGGCAGAGCCAAACTGCTTTTCAGCTCTGCTGCCAATGCCAACAATTTTGTTACGAATAATGAATTTACTAAAAAGAATTTAAAGGCGTACATACCGAGGTCTTTCACTGAGAGATTTGGAGTCATTCGAAACATCCCATGCAAATATAGTGTCGAAATCCCAACAACAAAGATGAGTGGATTCCCACAATCAGCATCAAAATTGGCTTCAAAGGGAGAACCCTCCCTAAGTCAATAAAATTTAATTATTGTTTTCTGTCGGTTGAGTACTTTGTACCTACTTTAAAGCAGTGCTTTAAGTGCGGTAGATACGGTAAATTGTTTTGAAGTTAAAGTTTCGAATTATGCCTCAGCCACCAAATGCCGAAATGATGGCTATGGTGGTGTTAGTATATTAGTTAAGAAAGGTGTCAATTTCAGACGTATTCCCTATAACTCTGCTGTTGACATTATCATCATCAAAACCATGAACCTGAAACGGAATCTTTTCATAGCATCATGCTACTTTCCACGAACGAATTTAAAGAAATCGCGCGCTTTAAATCCAATCGCCTTTTCTATAAATTAAATCCCACATTTCAATTCAAACCCTTTTCTGTAACTTGTTTTAATTCCTGGGAAATCAAAATTCTTTATAGACTCATGAGTAGTCATACTTATGACAAAGTTTATTTAAAAATGATTCGCGCTATACCATGTGATGTTTGTGAAGTTTGCAATGTTGTTGAGTCTGCTGAGCATCTAATTAGAGATCCCTTTAGCTTCTTCAAGTTATATGGCTGTGTCCTCGATGTCTTTGCAGCAAAAAATGTACGTCATCTCGGGGAAGTAACTTGCTTTATTGCAAAAGCTAATTTATCCTTTTAAAATTTTTTTTTTTCTTCTTCTTTCCCCTTTTTTCTTTCGTTTTTGCGTTTAATCATCTTCTATTACCATAGCATTCCTTTTCGTTTTCAGCCAAAGTTTGCAACACTGTCTAACTTTCAAGAACTCAACAAGCACAATTGCACACACATACACAATTACACTTAACATGCTGGCTCCAGTTATTAGGGCCGCTTTTTTTTTGTTACGTTTTGTACATAATTGTGACCAAAAATTACGACAGTTTATTATCTGGACATATAAGCCACAAAGCTTAGTCCATCTCCATTCAACATACCAAAAAATAAAAATAAAACGAAACTTTGAAAACATATTACTAAAAGAAATAAAAAAGAAAGAAAAAACAAATTTATTCATCTGTTTGTAGCATTGATGCATTTAATTTATAACCTAGAGTTTTAATAAATCCTTCGATTATTTCTGTAATTCATTTATAATCACTTGGATTGCAATCAAATTCCATATTGATACGAATGAAGAGTGGAATGCGTTCTAAATGAAGAAACGTTATCGCATGACGGGAGCGAAATGGTAATTACAGTAGCTAACAATACTTCTTTGACGCATATGTGGAAAACTTCTATCCATGAATAATTTGGGAAACTAAACATAAAATGACTTGTTCTACATACTGCCAGCTACGAACCTTAATTTTTACCCCTTTCTATGTACATGCCAACATGAATTTTACTTTGCAATTTGATCATGAAAAAAATGAATAAAAAAATTTATAAAACCCGAGATTGAACAATAATAATCCATTTATTTTTTTATTTATTTATATATTTTTGGTTTCTATTTTTTTAAGATGTTCTTGACATTGTCTACGTTGACGATATCAATAAATGATAATGCAACGCACAGTAGAGAATTACAAGCTTCAGACAATTAAAATGAACGTAATATACTTAAGAAGTAAAAATATAAAACAGATTTCAGTTAAAAGCAGAGTTATTCAAAATAATAATGTCAAAACTTCCTAATAAAGGAAGTTAGTTCTTGAGATGAGGAACACACACTGTGGGCGTAGAAAAGATCATCTAATTCTTTACATATTCATTCTTTGCTATCAATTTTAAGTGAATGTTTAACAATAGTTTGCCGATTTGGCTTCAGCGCCGTTTACAATACTGATAAAATGTTAGCAATATTTCTTTTGCGTTTCATCTTTCTTTCGATCGGATTAATTTATCCCGCAGTTGCTTCGTTATTATCTAAAAACCTAGACGATTTTCTCAATTGGGTACTTTATGGGATTGTGCTTGCATGCTGGGAAGTACTTACAAATGTCTTCTTTTGTTGGTTTCCATTTTATTATGGATGGAAGATTTTAACGATTCTTTGGTTGCTACCCACTGTGGGAAATGGCAGTTCTTTTTTATATAAAATTTTTATACATCCTCTATTACAAGCTGAATGTGATTTCCCGTTCTCAAATACAAGCCACGGACTTCGTGTTTTACTAATAGAAAACTGGATAAGGAAAATAAAAAGAGATGCAATGGAGAAGAAGATTTTTGAAGAAGTGTCGGTCTTCCTCGGTGTTGGCATGGTCGCAGCCGCCGCTCTGATTGGGGCAAGAATCTAAAATGGAATTTCATATGCTCCCCATTGTTTGTAGCATTTATGCATTTAGTTTATTAAAGTATTTTTTTAATAAATTTCCGTCGATTTATTTCTATGCACTTCAGGCAATGTTGTCCATATATAGCCGCCTGGCTGTGAATCAAATTCCATATCACCGGGAAGAGGAAAGGGTGTAGTGCGATCCAAGTAGTAATTACTAGGCGCATGCATCACAAATTATAAGCAGGGTAATTTGCGTGACAATTCCTCGTCGGGGCCTAAAACAGAAATATATACAAGCAATCTATTAGCTATTAGCTTTTGCCTGCAGCAGATAATTCTGAAAGTGTCTACCAATTAAATAAGTCGCAGCGTCAAACCCATCCCTGGGATCGGGACTTTCTTGCGTAGGTATTAACCAGGTTAAAAATGCCGACATTTCAGAATAGCTGTCTAAGAGCAGTTCGCGTATTTGGGCATAATATACATTATTTTCGCTATCCACTAAAGATACAATATTCCCTACTTGCAGATAGGACCCCTACAAAAATGAACGTAAATATATGAACGCAAGATAATTTATGTATGTTTACTTTATGGAATACGCTTTCCACAGAATATGTTGTAGCTTGAGCCAAAAGCGTCTTGAAAGGAGTCCGCTTAAATAAACTACGTCTGTTACGCCCCTTACACGAGATCTTCGTACTGGCGCCACTTGATCCTGTTTTTTCCCCGCTGCCGTTCGTATTGGCACTGCTTAATTTAGCTTTAAATCTCGTGGCTCTGGTGGCTTTTTCTTAATCGTTTCTCCTCAACTGCGTTATTTTTATTTTCGCCCGCTGTTTCTTTATTATCTTTTTCTTTACTTGTCTTAATTTTATTATCCTCATTGATCTCCACAATTTTGTTTTCTGGAAGCTCTTTATCTTTGCTTTCGCGTAATTGAAAACAATCTTGACAGATTTGCCCTTGGTCGGCCGTACGCCAGAGCAGAGACTCCACATTTTTACAAACAATACAAACTGGATTTGACTTGGGCATTAATTGTGTTGTTTCTGTGGTGTTGTTAATAATTAAATAATAAACCTCTCTCAAATTTTTTTCCACAAATTTTGTAAAACAACTTTGTATACAAACAACTTGCTTTGATCAACCAATTGTTTTGTTTTACACCAACAAACAGCCGACGACATGTGTCGCACAATTGCATTTAAACAAAAAAAATACTGAGTGTAACCCTGTTGGAAATTGCAAAGGGTTTATTTACAAAATGAAAACATTTTTCTATTATCTATGTCTGACGTGTAGTTGTGCCTCAGTTAGGGCATAGAAATAAAAGTTATTTATGGTAAAAGGCTTTATAGAGGGCTTTAGTGAAGGCCATTAGGATTAGCTTAGGAATAAAAACATTTATACGATTGATGAATGCTATTTAAGATCATTTAATATGCTCGGTTCTCGACTAATATTAAAGTTGAGATTCCTATAAATAAGGTTATTCAGGTTATTCAGTGACTTTACGGCAGACTGCATACGGAGAAAAAAACATGAATATCAGTAAATTTTAAGTTGGCAACACTGTGGATTGTTCTGCCGCTAACCTTTAATAAATAAAACATTGTAAATAAAAAGGTTTAATTGATTTATACAATTACTTTTGGAGCTGTAGAATTATTAACAAACCTTGCATAAATCTTATGGCTGATAAACAGAAAGTAAGAGATTTATCATTAAAGATAGTCGTACTTGTCATATTCACGCATGCATTTAGTCAGGTAGTAATGATGGCAAAGAGAAGCGACGGAAAGAATCTATACTGGACTTATCCAAATATTTGGAAAAACAAATTCGCGTAAAATTTGCTGGTGGCCGTGAAGCTTCGGGAGTTCTAAAAGGTTATGATGCCCTGCTAAATTTGGTGTTGGACAATACCATCGAATATTTACGAGACCCCGATGAGCCGTTTAAACCTTCAGAAGAGACGCGTAATTTGGGACTAGTAGTTTGTCGCGGTACAGCTTTAGTATTAATATGTCCGCAAGATGGTGTGGAAGCCATACCCAATCCCTTTATAACGCAGTAACTTGAATTCCGGTATTCACCTTTTAATTTAAAGAAGAAAGAGTGTTTTTAATAGTTTATTTATCAAATAATAAAAGTAAAACTTTCCATAGTAATTAACCTTAAATGAAACGTGATTAAATAGGTGATGAATGGATTAACGACGAATGGGTTAACTAAGCCTATTTTTTTTAATCTAAACCGAACTCATTACGTATCCAAGGATATTGCGCCGGGCACTCTTTGCACGTGTGAAAATAACGATCTTGTTGCAGGACCCGACTGCGTAACTTGCAAGTGTTCGCTATTTGACAAGCGAGCTCATGGGGCTCCAACTTTTTTGGCTTACAATTCCAGGATTCAATCTGATGCAGTTGATTGCTAGCTATTGGATGTCTCATCCACTGTATGGCTTGTTGATTAGTTACAAAATAAACGTCCGGAAATTTTTTTAAATCATCCAGAAATTTCTGTAAAATATAAGCATTCAATGATGAAATGAAAAGCATCATGAACTTTGTTCACTTACTAGGAAAGCGTTTAAATATTCTGTTTTCTTAAACCAAAGGGCATGAAAGTATAACCCAAACGGCGCGCGATTGCTCAAATAATGGCGTTTAAAATTGTGGGTTAGCATACGATAAATATCGTCTCCATTTAAATAAACGGGACAGTTATCAATCATACTGCAAGTATAATCGCCAAATTCCAATTGATTTATAACTAATTCCCACAAGCCGGAATAACTGCGAGATGGACAATTTTGTTGCATACCGGTGCAAGTATGAGGCATTTTATAATCCAATGTATAAGGCCATAGAGGAGTATTAGAAAAAGGCGCAACCATGGAAGAATCATACACAAAACCAAACTCCTTCATCATTAGAAATTGACGATTCCAACCAACTCTTAAAAAAGGAACACGCATACCCCTAATCTCTTCCATACGTACGCTAGCAAAACGATTTAGTATATTAGCTTGCCCTACCATCTCATCAAACCAATCCTCAATAGTGGCATTCTTTGACCACCAAATCTCTGGACTACGCTGCCTGAAATAAAACCACACAAAGACTATTATCAATTGTAGTTATGGCTTTTATACCGTTTATACTGTTTACGTACGTAACAGACTGCACTGCTACTTCATGACCGTTATTCCAAAGCTTTTGAACGTATTGATAATTTGTGTAAGAATGTGGCACAAAAAATGTAGCTTTAATGGGACAATTGTTAGGATTCCGCCTATTACCCTTAAAAAGAGTTTGTGAAAATAACTCCCAATTTTCAAAGTTCACGGGACCATCAAATGTTAACAGAATCATTTGGGGCACTGATCGAACATCCAAAAATCCTGGTATGTGAGTACCATCTTTAGAGCAAAAACAATCCGGTAGACGACAATAACGGAGATCACACGGTCCGGCGGCATTGGGATCGTTTTCAACATCACACCAACCTTCGTCAGACTCATCAGGGCAGTCTAGCGAACCATCGCAAAAATATTCAGTTGGTAAGCAGGTGCCGTCAGCACAACCCCAATAGTCCAACTCTGCGCAAGTAGCCTTATCCAAAAGCGGCTTAGGTATAGGAGTTTCTAATTTAATAATAAACTGATTTAAATATGTACTTTTGTGGATATATGTATATTTTTTTATTTTGCTCGCATACCAGCCGTAATGTGACAATTTTCAACGTTTTGCTTAAAATCACATATTTGACGAATCACATCGAAATTAAGGCCTTCTGAACACTTAAAATGAAATACTTCACCTTCCAAACACAAGTAATATTTGGAGCACTCCGTATTCGTCCAGATTTTGTGGACCGGGCGATTAGGATCCCGATAGAAGTGAGAACCTTCCAAACACTGCACTTGGCTCTTTTGCGTTTCATTTCGAATTGCATCTATGAGAAAAAGCGATTAACTATTTAACAAGTTGCAAAATGTGTAAAATGTTAGAATTTTCATAGGAACGTGGAACATCAGTGCTAAGATAAGTCAGAAGGTACATGTATTTTTGAAGTCATCTATAGGAACGGTCATGCAAAAACCTAGATGGTATTTTGATCACAATTTATGCAAAAATTGTTGTTTTTTTTGTAAACAATGTAAAAGAAAGAAACCGCTAATGGATTTCAAAGAGAAATCAAAGCAAATAAAACATTGTACAAGTGTGTTTGACAAATTTAAAAATTACCAAAAAAATAGCAATACTTATTAAAAAAGTAAAATTATAAAAATTAAAAAAAAATTGTATAAATATTGTTTATGTAGTGCAAAGAAATGTCCAACAGAACAAAGCATTAATAATTTTTACTGTTTTAAATAAAGTTAACATTTAGAAATTAGGCATATAAGAGACGAACTTTAAAAAACATAAGAAAATTGTAAGAAATTAACAGTAAGTACATTTTATTGATGTTTTTATTATGTATACGGTAAAAAGAACACTAGGCAGTGTTTCAAAATTTTGCTTTGAAAAAATAATTTTTTTCTCGTATAAGGAGGATGTATGCTTATTTGCTGATTGATCGAATTAAACTTCATAATAAGGTAAACCATTTCTTTTGTTTTTTTTGGAAAATTCATCCTTTCTAATGCATGTATGATGCAATGTGATATAAGTACTTCCTTCATAAATGTCAGCGTGCTATGGAATTCGGAAAAATGGCGTTATTACACTGTCAACATGTTTATGTATACGATAAAAACACTACGCGGTGTTTCAGAATTTTAATAATTTTTTCTCGCGTAAGGAGGAAATGTGCTTATTTGCTGTTTGATGATGCGTGTTGATACATATTGGCGGCTTATAGCATACTTATTTTGCCATGATCTTTGCAACACCCAAAAGAAAACTTTAGAGAACCTGTAAAGTGAATATATTTTTGATTAGCGTTCAATTTTAGTTATGCCCGCCTGTCCGCCAGCTTGGTCCCAGACATTAAAATATCAACTTCGAATTTATTAAAAACATAGAAAGTTTTTGCATGCCGGTTGGTATTGAAAATGGGCGAAATTGGCTCGCTCACAGTGAAGAGCAAGCTGAAAGCATGTCTGTTTGCATAAGTAAAAATTTTCGAGATTTTGCTCGTTACTCACAAATTATGAAAGACAGAATAAAGATAAAGTTTTCTAAATTTATTTTATGGAAATGATCAAATATTAATTTTTTTCACTTCTTGACTTTTTCCACTTATTCGGCGTAAGGTAAATAGAGCAGAATGATGGCGATTACTTTGAAAATTCTATACATAAAGATGCATTGTCTTTAATTCGAAAAAATTGAACACATTACTTAGTATAATAGGGTTAAGTTCATTTAGTTTCTCATGTTTTCATTATTAAGTTACAGTGGAAAGAAAATTGTACAATGCGTTGATTTTGAATACACGACCTCGCCCGGTTTAAACTTATGGTGGCAACGCAACATTCGACTCTGTCTTTTACTTGTTTCATTATCGCGGATATCTGACTGGGTTTGGCCTTGAATTGTTTGAGTTTTCTTGGAATGCTAGAAATCATAAATAACATGTCGCACTATGGTGCCGGTATTAGGCTGAAAAAGAAAATCCTCACTTTTTTAGGTTCATTTTTTTTGTTTTTGCAGAAAAACTCAAACAGTCAATCCTAAAGACAAATTTGAAAATGACCTATTTTAAAAAATGATAAGTACAGCACCTGTTTTGCTGGGTAGCAATAATTTATTATAACACTTTCTTTCTATTCTCAGGATTACGCTGTGAAAATAATCGACGATTTGGAAAAACAATCGGATTACATTTTGAATTGATTCGGACAAGCGCATGTATCTGTTAGACCCGGGAAAAAATATTTCCAAAATTATTTGTAGTTTTTCGTTATGAATTTAATTTATTGAAAAATAAGCGCGGTAGAATTTATTTTCAATAAAGTCGATGGCCGTAGACGCCGGAGCTTTAAGACATCAGCGTTTGAATTTATTTCTACAGGTAAATTAATAAAAGCAATAACAACTTCAAACATATAGCGGGTTAGCTTAAGTGTATTTTCTACTTAAATAGTTTTAGCTAATCAGTACTTAAAAAAGACTAATCTTTACTAACAGATCGCAGGATAAGAATTAAAAAAACAAAAAAAAAAAAAAAAATTGGTAAAATAAAAGCGACTTTTCACCGATCTTCGACTAAATGAAAAAGTTATGCAAGCGGCTTTCATAACAAGTTTAGAGAGTCCATTCAAAGCAAACCAGTTAAATCGCTGCCCCAAAATGACTTTTATGTCATGCAATAAGCCTACCAATATAGCTACAATACCAAAAGTGCTTTTCTCTCTCAAAAGGCAGCGTATGGTAAATCGACACAAGATGCGCATTATTAAGAAGAGTTTTGATGATATTGGAGAAGAATTTGGAAGCTATTCTTAACTTTCCACATAAGCCTAAGAAAAATTTGCGCGGCATATTCGATACTTGCTGCAGAATTGAATCTGAAATTTGCATACACCGTTTCAGGCGTCCATTCTTCTGGAAAAATCTCAATGGGTAGATAAGTACAACTTATTATTTTATGAAATCGAATCTTCTTGGTGTGATCTTCAATCCAGTCCATATTCAAATTATTAAAATCTTAAGTATGTAACTACATTTGTTGTTTTCCAAACCCGTTGTGAGAAGTCTGTACACATCGACTGAATTCGATTTTATGTTTTTAATTTTATTTTTCAATCACAAAATCATTTAGACATGTGCTTTCCTGACCTATCGTAATTTTAAAAGCCGACAGTTCTTTTCAACAAAATTTCAATATTGTCTGTTAAATGCGCATTGCTCGCACATGCTATATAAAATCAGAGTTATTTCGAAGGCTGCGAATTCAAGAATATTTACGTATAGCCTTTCGATGAAATTTAATTCTTTTTAATTTGATTTTACAGAAAGAGTATGAGAATGAGATAGTGCGGTAAGCGCACGTCCGTCCTATAATGGTGAATGTAAAAATGTCTTCTCAATTTTCAAACATTTTATCTTTGATATGATTGCGTGCAAAATAAAAAAAAAATGAAGCGAAGCAATTTCATTAAAATGCAACACAAATCCTATAAAGAAAGCAAATTGCAATATACGCGTGTGTGTTTTAAGAGAAATTACCAATTGTAAGCGCACTCATTATTAAAATCAGAAGCACTGCAAGCACTAGCGTATCAATAAATCTGAATGAACGTTGTTGTCTATTAAAACACTGTAAAAGGGTGCATGTGTTACACGGTTTCGCTTTCAATTGTTTATATCTATAGGAAAACTGTTGGAGGTGACAATCGCCGACCTTGACTGTAAAAGCCAAACTTTCTGCAATTTTCTCATGACGGTTATAAGACATTCTATGCTGCCGATTGTAAAAGGTAATACAAGTCAAACCAGTTGCGCGCAGATGTTTTAACTAAACGTTTGTGTTATTATAATTTTCCTTCACTCAGCACACAAAATTACGAGACTTGATTTCACGAGTTGAACGATTTGAAACTAAATTTGCAACTGAAACCTTTTTTAAACCATCACAATACTTTTATATTGACTCTCTTTGATAACATCGAAGCAGGCGTAGCAGTGAAAATTTCAATGAAAGCATTCCCCAGGAAAAGCTTGAAATGTTATGAAAGTAATTAAAAGCTTTCGCTTGATCATGTAGAACTCCGATGATTGAAAACAATTTCTGTTAATCTGGACATTAATTTTCTTTCCGCAAATTCTTGCAAGAATTTTTCCAAACAAGTTCGCGTTTAATAGGTTGGCCATTCGTTGCTTTAATTCAGTTTTCACGAACTTGTAACGTATTTAACAATAGATTTGGTAACCCAAATCTATAGTTTTTCAATTTAAATTTGCCGTAGTATAATATCATGGGATTTTTATTACGTCTCCTTTTATATTTGTGTTTACTTTTTTCCACGGACCTTTCATAATACTAAATTAAACATTTCCTTTAAAACGCATAGAAGCGAATCTCCTATTATTACAAATGTTGGAGAGGAAGAAATTGCAACGACGGACTTCTTCTTCGAAGTGATATAACTACTTAATTTTTTCCTAAATATAACGACTGTCAATAATTTGATACGATCTTCAACTCATAAAAAATCAGATCTGGTCTCAACACTCCTTTTTCAATCTATTCTTTATCATCAACATTGTCTTTTTAAGTCTCTTAAGCAACACTTTGAAAAATACACAATGGTTTTGAATTTTATCCGCTATTAACTACATTTGTTTTTAGATACAACTCTGTGAACGAGTAGGCTTTGAAAATATTGGCGAAGATGAAAATACGAATAAACAAAGCAAAGAGAAAAAGTAATCATTGCACATGTAACGATTACACACAATTCCCGACCGCTGGAAAACAAATATATCGCAAAAAAGTGAATATTTAGTTTTTCGGCAATTACACTCTAAGCTGCAAAATAATTTCATCAAAGTAGAATGACAAACGAAATGGCAGCATAATTTTAAGCGGCCGTCTTCATCTGATTCCCAAGTACATATTCGTGTGGCTGCGTGTGGTAAGGCTCATTAAAAAAATTATATATTGTGTGATTAGAAAAAAACATGGCTTAGTTTTTTTCCGACGGCGACGCTTGCCTTTGATAATATAAAGTTGAAAAAAAAAGAAACAGCGTGGAAGCAGAAATTAAATCTTGAGAAGGCCGTGCAACGAAAACTTCTATACTTTGTAATTTTAAGAAAAGAATGGGGTTTACGAATATAATAAAAGAAAAAATATTGGATAAACTTCTGCGGAATCAATATCTCTGTCGTTGAAATATGTGTGTTGCTGCGCATTTGCCAGCGAAAGTTGAGAAGTTTGAAAGGAAAAAACAGGGAAAACGAAACGACGTCGCTTATTTTCCAGGCAAACAGCTGTCAAACAGCTGAACCTGCGTTGCCACAATTAATGAAAACCTTATGTGTATTTATGAAACAACGACTACTCTAACAAGTCCGACTGCGTATTTCAGCGCTTTTCAGTTAGGAATTTTTGTATTTTAAATATTTTTGTGTTGTTTCCTTTGAAAGCAGCTGCTTTTTTTCATTTTTTCGTATGTTGCTTTAGATCTGTGTCGCTAACGCCCGATAATAAGATTTAGCTCGGCATAGATTCCTTTCACAATGCCTTTAGACGAAATACCGAATTATTCAGAAAAAATGCCAAAGCCTTCGGCTCCGATATCATCCATTAGCAATAATTCTTATAAAGCAAGTATTAACTCTTCCGAGCTACATGAAGATTTTGAAATCCTACCTTCGGGCAGCCATGTGCTGGCAAGATATCAAGGACAAAAGTGGAATCAATTCTTCGATTTTGATAAGATTTTAAAGCAGATACGTTTAGCTGAAAAGATACACCTTAAAGGCAAAAATAACACGGGCAGTGGTCAAAGCGACAGCAGTTCGCACTGTAAAAGCTCTATCACTGGTAATGGTAGTAATTCATCTCCTAGCAAATCACGTAAACATCAAGTTCGACAAGTGCAACGATTAAATGGCATTGACATGCATTATTATGGGATAGTGCCAAAGCAGACAGCTTTAGATGTAGTGGTTTGCAACATTTGCATGGGCATATATACAAAAATAGGTTTCAATAACCATATGCAGTTGCAGCACGCATCTGTGTGGACTGGTGTGTCAACCAAAATATTACCAGTTACCGACTTGTGTTGTGTTTTTAATGATAATAGCCAAGATAGTATGAAGGCTGAAAGCTCAGCAGTTGGCACTGAAGTTTTAGATTCACCGTCGGATCTTTCTGGCACTATGTCCACCTGTTCAAATGCTTCTTCTTGTTCAGTTTCAACTGTCTCATCAGCAACCACCTATATTGCCCCACCGAGTTCTAGTTCGCGTCAGAAAAGCATCACAAAGGCTGGGAGTAGCTCAGGTGGTAGCAGCAGCGGTGGGCGATCTCGCAGCAAAAGTAAACACCACAACTCCTCTGTCATCACGCCGTCTAATGCCAATACGGGAGTGTCGCATTCTAATTCAACCATACAATCCTCTAAAAAGGGTGCTTCCAAGAAAAGCTCTTCCAACCATGTTAACATCGGTAGCGTCATCAACAGCAATAACAACAACCACAACAACGCAAACTCAATGTCAACAATTGGAGGAGCAGCATCCATTTCTTGCGCCCTATCGGCGAAAACTAAGGAACCATCCGAATCAAAAATAATAGCCAAAATAGCGGTCAATGATGTGATACCTAGCGGCCGCAATTTAAAGATACACACAACAACCACCATTGGCAATACTCCGGAAACAGTAATGCAAACATCTAATAATTTATTTGGTTCATCCACTTCTTCATCTTCATTATCATCGTCATCGTCTTCCTCATCGTCATCATCATCGTCAAGCTCATCAAATTCGTCTTACTCTTTGCCACCGACACCTAAAATGCCTACGTCAAATCAAGATTCATTGATGATTGGCCAAATGCCCAGCTTAGCAGCTCTAACAGAATCAACGTATTCACCATTGGCTCTTAACAATAAAGAGAAATTAAATGTTGTGACCAGCAACAGAAATTCTTCCATAATTGAACATTCTTCTGGAAATAAGAAAAGGGTAAAAAAATTACAGTTTTTCAATATATAGAAATATATGTTTATATATGTTATTTTTTTTAGAATAAAATTCAATCGCACTTTGGTCTCCACGATGCTGTAGAAAACGCTTCAGTAGATATAATGAATCTTAAAGCCTCATCCGCTCAAGCTACACAGATGATAACAGCGGATCAACAGCAGCATCGTCGTTTAAATCAATATCAGGCACCAATTAGTGAATTGGATCAAGCGGTGTCATCAATTACGGGTGAGCAAATAAAAAATCATTAATCTTGTTCTCACAGAAAACTATAATGTAAAAATTGCTTTACAGGTATCAAAATGGAACCAGTAGCGGCAGTCAACCAGGTCGATTGCACTCTTTTAAACAATGACAGCACAAATGCCGCCACTTTGGAAATACCACAAAGTACGATCAACGATGACGGTCACATAATGCATAATACATCGGATGACAGTGCCATGTTAAAGCATGTTCTGGAAGAGTTCAATATGCTTGATAGTAAATTAATTAACGAAATTCTTAATGCTGAGACTGATTTGAATTTTGATGTCAATGACTTAAACGACAACACTGGTAGTAATAATCATCATCAACAGCAACAACAACAGGTCGCCGTTTATCTCGATCAGCCTGCTACAAAACGTATGCGCTTTGATGAAACGGTCCATGTTGGACAACAACAATTGCCTCAAGCGACGACAGATGCACAAAACATTTCAGCGGAGTTTACAATGTTTTCTCAACAAAATCAACAGCCGCAACAACAATATGCCCAGTATGACAACTCGAACATAACGTTGGGTGCGCAATATCAAACACCCATTGATGCCATGCAATTGCAACAACTAATTTATCAACAGCAGCAGCAGCAACAGCAGCAACAACAACATGCACAACATCAAATAACGGCCAACGCTTACGATAATGTTGTGAGTGCCATGAATATTGCAGCTATACAGCAGAATCCACAATCGCAACAGCCGCAACAAATGTACAACGCAAATACCACTTTAATGGACACCAAACAAATAATTGAGCTATGTGGTGAAGGTTTAGCGAATCAATCCAATACAGGTTTGGTTGCTAATCTTCAAAATAAGCTTAAACAAGAAGATTACGTTACCCTGCCCGCTGATGTTACGGCCCAATTTCAAATTTTTAATGTTCCATCTCTGACGGATGATGTCGACCCTCCTCAACCTGCTATGGGCCATCATCATCATATAGTTGAACGCCAATATATGATGCCTGCTCATGACGAACAGGAACAATTAATATACGAAATAACAACGAACGAAGCGACAACTGTAATGAGTCAACAACATCAGCAACAAGTTATAGCAGAATTTCTCAATCAAGCAGCATCAACTTATGAACAGCAACAACACCGTCAGACAGAATCAATAGTAGCTCCCAAGACTCCAACATCTTGTGTAAAGACTGACACGTTTTGGGATGAATTATTAGATTTCGATTACAACTTGGTGGAAAGCGTTAAGCCTTTAGGTAACGTCAACCCTCCAACAATTAAAAACGAGCGGGAATCAACAACGCCTGTTTTTAAATATCACGAAGACTTCTTTTTCAATGTGTTCTTGTACGCGGGCATACCGCGTCCTCTTGCCATTAATACATTTGGTCTCATCAAACTACCTCAGGGAGTTGCGGTCACTTTTCGCAAACATTTACTTACCACTCGCAAAGCTAACAACAGCTTAACAGGCTTAGTATCTCTAGCCACTGGAAGCTTGAATGGTATTGTAAGCCAAGGGTCGACGGGCCCATCGTTGACAGGTGCCGCAGCCGGACGTTTCACCCATTCCAAACTTCCGATTTATTTTGCAGCTTTAGCCAATGCTAACAGTTGTGGTAGTAATAGTAACACTGGCAACGAATTCTCAATAGGCAGTATAACCATTACGAACGCATCATCAAATTCAAATAATCTGCAACACCAAAATTGCAACAATTCACAACAGCAGCAAAAACAAGATATAAATGTGAGTTGGACCAATGGTAGCACACCAGCGATGCCGGCTATGATACGAAGTCGTACTAAATCTGGTGGAGGTGCGGTAGCAGGCCCATTTGGTAATGCTTGTGGTAGCGGTTTGAAACACAAATTTGGTCCTGGCTTCGCTACAGCAGCGCATGTGAGCATGGGCACGGTAGGTCCTCAGAATGTAAAGACAATCATTGTGAGTGGAGCTGCGCTTACGTCAGATCGTAATTTGAAATTCATCAAACGCAGTCTTATATCTAAAATAAATATTACTAAGACTCAACAACAAAATTTAACAAATACACAAATTACTACAAAAAAATTGTCAGAAATCCTGAATGGCAAGAGGCAAACATTAGAGATGGCTGTCAATGATCTGATTACCGAAGACCACGCCGAACGTCAATCGAAACTGAATCGAATAAGCAGCTTCTACGAAAGACGACGAAAGTTAGCGACAAGTGGTCGCCGCCACCAACACCAGCCACAACAATGTAAGCCATGTCAAACTTCTAACCTCCTTCAACAGCAACAGCCGCAATCACAAAAGTTTCTAAAACACCATGCACTCATACGTAGCTTTCCCGATTGCAGCGTTCACACTTCATCCAACATAACTACTCATACAACCGCCGATGCCAGTGTTATGCGTGTTTATATTTAATTCTTGTATTTTTTTTTTTTTTTTTTTTTGTGATTTGAGTACCAATTCTAATTATTGTTTCATTTATAAATATTTGAAAAAATGCTTTCTTGGAACAAGGCGTATAGCTCAACCAGAATATGATCCAGTGTCGTTCAAATTATTATTGTCGATTCTGAATATACAAGTTAAAAATACAAATTGAAAAACGACATCATCTTGGATCACCTTGGTTAAGCCATTTTGCCACATTGTTCTGCAAGCAAATCGCTTGAATGCAACAACAATAAACAGTATTTGTAATATTTCATGTTTTTTACTTTATGCATAATTGTTAAGTCTTCGCCTAATTATAACATTATTTAGTTACAAATTATATTAATTCTATTTCTATGCGGTACGGTCTTCTAACTGAGATATGTGAAGCAGTGGTATGCGATACGAGATTTTTAGTAAACACTGCACAGTCGGAAATAAACAACTAAGTATGTTTGTACAAATATATTCAAATTTAAAAAATAGCTATGCTTTAAACGTTGCCAATGTTGTCTTACCTTATAACCTGAGTATGGTATGATTCTTTAAATCTTCGTTGAACGAATTTATGCGAAAAACCAAACATGGTTTATCTATCGAAATCTTTTAAAAACGTGTAAAAATATTACATTACACATTCACTTCGCCAAGTGCAATTCTTCATTTATTTTTCTAATGAACTGTCCTTTCCACGGAGTCTCTTATACGGGAGGCGACCGAAACGAAAAGCGGCATTGCCCGAATTTGACAAAATTGATAAAAACTTTGCCATATAACTACGTATTTTCCATAAGAGGGCTTACATGGGATTGGGTCCAGAAAATAGGTTTTCATAGTCCAGATATGGTATGCTTAACTTTGCCGTCGACCTAACTGCAAAAATGAAGCTTTTTTGCTATATATCAGTGGACATATTCTACTAACAGTTTAATGTGAGACTCAAAAAATTTGCCAATTCAATCCAAACTTTTCACATCAATTTAGTACGCTCAAGTATTATAATCCAACATCTTTCGCAGATCGATTATTAAAATTGAAAATTCTTTTCAGGTAATTTCTTCAAAATAAGGCACAATTTTGGTCGAATTTGGTCAAAACGGGCCGGTGTATCATATTTTGTCAAAATAAGATGGACGATGATTTCAAATTGATTGATATAATAAAAAACTAGTTTATCGTGAGTCCATCTGGATGTTACAAATATCCGCGAAAGCCTAAAATATTTTTTACTGCAAGTGGTGCAGGATACAACGATTTCGAACAGATCAATATAACAGAAAGCGGAATAGATCACTGTAACGAAAAGAGATTGTCACACAAACTGGTATAAAATAATTTGTGTTATAAATGCCGTCGATATAACCAGGTATTTATCTTTATAAAGATTTTAGTGAGAACTAAATGACAATTACTAATTGGATATTTCCAATATATATATATATATATATAGAACACTCACCTTACTTAAAAGGCGCGCAAAGGTTTTAGGGCACGTGTAATTTTTTCATGACGAAATTTACTGCTCAAAGCACGTAAATATTAAATGCAGCAATTTTACCAGAAATGGTCCAAGTGCTACGGCTAAAAGCCAAGTATATATCGTAAAAAACTTATAGAAGCTGCTATAGAAAATTGTGAAGTCTATCGTTGCGAATACATGTTACACAAACCTCGTTCACAATGTTGCATAGAACAAGTGATTAAAGGATCATCATCTCGTTGAGATTTCGAACTGTTACATATTCTATCATTCTTCATTAATTCAAATTTAGAGTGACTAAATACTATTTTCTTAATTTATTCGTATCTCGTTAACAATTTTCATGTTTGAATGTGTAGTCAATATTACGACTCAAATACGGTTTTCCACGCCACCCATGAGGTACCGTGATAGGCGCATTGCTAATTGTTTGAAATGGCTGGCTACCCTGTAGGCCTACACCATTGATATATTTACTTTAAAATTATATTAATCATATTAAATATGACATGCATTATATTTACAATATTATATACTTATCAATAAGCTATATGTACATCAAATATATAAAATAAATATTAAAAATTATATTAATTATTACATTAGTTTAAGTATATATCACATTATTTGTATCAAATATAACATTCATTATATTTACAATATTATATACTTAAGAGATATAGTATATACAAAGCCCCGCTCATTAACATAATATAATATAATATAATATAAATATAAAGCAGGAGTTCTATCGCTGTAAAAGCTGATGAAGTCGGGAAACTCCCGTGGTACGACAATTGACGGTACGACCCCTCTATTTAGCCAGAAATCACAAACGGCGTTGTTTGCCTCCTTCAGATACTCGTCTTTTAATTTTATTGGGATAGCGTGGTCGAAGAGCCCGTGTCATGCCATCCTTCCTTCTTTTCATGTACACCCCGCTTCTAAATCTTTCCACTGTCTTCCGGTTTTCGCTGGCTCTATCGCATACGATGCCCTTTACGTCGAGACCGCTTTGTTCGCCCAGATCGATGTTCGCGTCTAACAATGTTTTTTTACCGCGGGATTTGATGAAAGGATGTGTGCTGAACGCCGTCAACGCACTCTGAAGATGACGACTTCCCTGTCCTTCGTAGTGTTAGCTTTAGTGCAAAAATTGTAATAAAACAAAATGTAAAATACAAAAGCAATGATTTTTTGTATTATCTAAACTTGCAAATACGTAATGAAATCTATAAATATATTTGCCTCTTTTTGATACATACCGAGTTGATTTTCGATCACCGTGAAGGCACTGCAGATATACTCCATAGCTGATATGAATGTTCCGCAAAATGTCCTTTGTCCTGTTTTAAGCTGGCAACAAAAGTATTATATATGTTATATATTATTCCAATTCAAAGCATGCGTTTATACTTATGTACCTTTTCTGTAAAGTCAATACAACTTATAAATATATAATTCTTTTTGTGGGTGGTGATGGATGAATCAAGATTCATCAAGAAATTTAAATGGCGAAAATGGACTTTTATCTTTCGTATTAAAATATGCAAATAAATAAATACATTAATATACAATAGTGATTGTCTTCTTACATGAAAGTTGGGCACTGCCCCAAATAAACGGTATAAATTGATAGTCATCTAAAGACCAAACACGCCAGGTGGAAGCTATATTCCCCGTCATCGAATGCCAGGGATGTAGCTAATTGTTCGGAGTTAATATATAGTGGAAAATCTTCTATCATAGAGCAAGTCCAAGTTTAGAAAACAAGTCAAAATAGTTAACCATAATTAGTTAGATTCGAAGGCAAATCGAGCCAAATTCTTTGATTGTGTCTGTTTGTGTAAAAACATAGAGATTACAATAAAATATAGAATTAACGTTAACGTAATAAATTAAAAATATAGGATAGGAAAAACTATAGTTAGCTAAAAAAGAAGATGTGCTTTTTTAATAAGATCAGTTGACTTCCGATAGAGTATCGCACTCCGCTGAAGCGATACGGCGTATGTTTTTTTTTTTAAACTAAAATGAAATAAAAACAAATGAAGTTATTTTACATAATCATATGTAAAGATAAATGCAAACTTATCTTTGCATACAGTGAGTCTTCATCTGTACGAGGCGATGAGCGGAGAGTTGGACTTCATTTTTTTCTTATCTAAAATAGAAGAAATAAATAAGTTATATAATATAAATAAATAATAATATTGTAAGGAAGTGTTTTGCTTCTTTACTGATAGCAAGTCCGTCCGCACAAATGTCTACCCGTAGATCCCAAGCAGTCAGTCTGGTTTGTCTCCTACGTGTCTTTTTTTTTACTGATTATCATACGATCATCCTTCTCCCGCACAAACCGTGACAACTCAATGTTTATAAAAGAAAAAAAAAGACAAAAATTGTATACGCCAGTCAGCATTTGCTAGGTGAAAATGTGCCCAGCAATAAAATATATACATAAGTAGAACACATACAAACAATATACGTAAGTTTTTGAATAAGGAAACATGTTGTAATCCGTTGAGCAACATACTAATAGTTGTTTTCAATTGCCTGTAGCATTGAATTATCCACATTTTGCACGGTTTGCAAAATCAAGCAAGCAGCATTGCGAAAGAGGAAAAAAAGAAGAGCTTATAAAATTATGCATGTTGATATGATACCATACCATATGAAGACAGGCATAACGGTTTGTAAAATCATACAATTTGGTATCTAAACTAACACTAGCGACAAGATCACACGAGTCATACTTAAGGTAGTATTAGTAGATGCAGGCAAATATGTTCGACCAGACCTAAGGCCGTATACGTAAGAATAGGTACAGAAGAATATCATGGTAACACACATACAAGTCCAAGCATGTAACCGGACAGCGCTGGTGACCGCGACTATAAAAGGGCGCCTTTCGGTTAGGGAGGGACGAGTGGCCCTACAGGCCGAGGTTGGCTGCTATAACACCCGCGGCGTATTCCTTTTCTTTTGCAGAAGCTCGCGATACCGTTAAAACGTGAAAACTAATCTTACGAAATGAACAGAAAGCATTGAAAACAAGGGTCGAGTCAACACGCTGGTTTTTTTTCTGTCACTCCCCTTAAAAATCGCTCATCGAGTTATAATAAACCCAACTAACAAGAAAAAAATCCGGAAATGCAAGTTATTTTTTTTTATTTATATAAATTTCTTGGAAGGAGTTCTGGGAAGCCTTGAGCTTACCCTGCCAAAGAAGACTCGTTACAATATATTTACTTTCACTTAACCAATTTAACCCTTTGCACTCAAAGTTTTTTTTCATTCGTATGACAATCCGCGACCGTTATTTGTCATCAAAAGCGAGACACCCGCTTTATACGATTTGTTCTTGTTTTTATATTAAGAACTGCAAATTATTTACAATGTCTCCGTAGCGGAGCCTCGAGTTTGAAGACCGATTTTAAATGGCTCCGCTTCGGAGCCCTCGAGTGCAAAGGGTTAATATACATTCTCTCCTTCTCTTTCTACGTATGGTGAACCTTTTGTATTCTAAAATAGAAGAAATCAGATAGTAACTTATAAATATTAATTACACAATACTTCATTTACCTTAACGTTTTGCATTTGTGAAATGGCTTTGATTTTTCACTAAAAACCGTTAGCTGATTTTTTCCATCGACAGAACAAAGTTGCATTCAATAAATGATGGAAATGCACCGTAATAGTTCTATTAAATGAGAATAAATCGTGGAAAAGTATCGAAAAACATCGTAGAGAATATTCGAAGCAACCACTGAGATCTTGAAACATTTTTAAGTATTTTATTTATTTATTTGAATATAAACTAGAGAGGAAATACTGTTTTTTCTGAATATAACTGTTCTCTGGTTACCTGGTCATTTCGCTGCTTCCTTTCGTGGTACCGTAATTAAAAAAATGGTAACGTTGTTAAGAGATGAATTATATTGATTAGGTAGTACTTTCCTTTCCTCTGCTTATTCTTTTCATTTTTCCCTCGTCTCAGGATGATCTTACGTAATAATCATTATTATGAACAAACACACTGACTAGCGATTGAGACACCAAACTCACAATTGCTAATACGCGGCCTCATTTTGCGCCCGACTTTCTCATGTCCAAATTTACAGTCAATTATTGAAATGCCAACACTGTAAGTTCAAGTCCAAGTACCAAAAAAGAATTTAGCTAGGCTTCAACTTTTATTAAGACTTTTGAGTCACCCACATCTACGCATTTACTCAGGATATCCACTTTTCACGGCTGCCAAACGGATTCTAAACTTAAGATATCTCAGTTTCATTCACAGCAATTTTTTCTGACGAACAATCGCTATTTCTAACGATTTGAGTGCGAAGCTTTCGCAAATAAATTCATACAATTCTACTAGTTACAAAATTTGTAAAAAATACATTTACAACGACAACAATAACGGCGGAAAAATTTAAAATATTCAAAAACTTGTATATGCAAAATGGTCAAAATTACTAAATACTAAAATGTTGTTATTGGTAACAATGTTTTAAATATTCTAGAAAAATTGTGGTAATGATTTACCGTAAGTTACATTTTCTGTCAGGTGGTGCCGGTTGAAAATTCGGTACTAAAATCAGCTGATTTCTTGTTTACGTTTACAAATGACAAAAATAAAAACGGCCAAGAAGGGCATATATGAGAGTAATTCAAAAATAATTTGGTCATATCTGAGAGTCTTGGACATATAAACCACAAATCTATTGGCTTAGTCCATCTCTGTTCAAGATACCAAAAAAAAAAAAAATATCTGAGAGTAAGCGTCTGAATTTGGTCATATTTGTTTACAATTAAAAATAATTTAAAGGTTTAATCTGTATTGGTTAACAGCTGTTGCATTTGCCGGTTTATGGTGAAAAGAGCAGGAGAGAAGGATCATTACTAAATATTAAATTATTAGCTGTAGAAAAATTTTAAAAATAATGTTTAAAAGGGTGGTACTTCACTTTACGTTATTAGTTTTGTTTATTTGCGCAGCATTAAGTACAATTGCACCGGGAAACAAAGCAAAAGGCAAATCAAAACAATTGAAAATAAAGTCTGGCGCTCAAAATGAAAGTGTTCACGATTTAAATTTGATCGATGTGGAGCCTTCAGCTAAAGAGATACTCATAAATTGTCAAGCCTATTTTAAGGATACATCGATCCGTAACTTTAACAATACTGTTTTAGGCTATACAACACCAGTGAGTAAGTTTGGTTTAAAATCGATGAAAGAGATAAATTTCGAATTATATTATTCAGTGGAATTCACATGGTTATAATGTGGCTAAAATATTTAGCAAAAAATTTGATATCGTCTCTCCTGTGTGGTTTCAACTGATTAAACAAAATGGCAAATATACCATAGCTGGTGAACAAGATATCGATTCTAATTGGCTAAATGAGTTCAGGCGTCAGGATAATGCCAGTAAGTTAAAGATAGATTTATTCAATTCAATTTATTTCAATATTTGGTCAACGTGATGGAATTTGAAAAATTTGTGATTCTTTAAGTTTTGCCTCGTTTCGTCTTCGAGAAATTCAGTGATCGGGATTTTTCATTGATGCTGAGTAAATCAACGGAACGGACGAAAGTCAGCAAAGTTATTATTAATCTTTGTTTACAACATGGATTTGAAGGAATCGTCTTGGAGTACTGGTCGCAATTGACTGGGCGCGTAGATAACAAGTTCTTGGTTAATTTAGCTGTGGACATAAGTAAAGCTCTTCAGGAACGTAATTTGAAGCTTGTACTAGTCATACCACCAATGCGTAAAGAATTACCTAATGCCTTCACTGATAAAGAATTGGATCAGTTGTATACATATGTTTACGCTTTCTCCTTAATGACGTACGATTATTCAAGCGTACATCGACCAGGTGCAAATGCTCCGCTCTATTGGATTAGACAAACAGTTGAGAATCTCACTCCTGCAAATAGTCGTGATTTTGATGAGAAACGTCGGAAAATTCTACTAGGTATCAATATGTATGGCAACGATTACACGCCAGACGGCGGAGGTCCTATAGTGGCTCATCAGTATTTGGAATTGTTGGGACACGTTAAAAAACGTTTATCTTACGATGAGCATGATGAGGAAAATTTCTTCGAAATTAGGTAATACAAATGAACTAGATTGCAAAAAATGTAGCTAATGTACTCCTTTTTGCTACTAAACAGGACAAGCTCTGGTCGACACTACGTGTTTTATCCTACTTTGTATTCTATTAATGAACGTATTAAGCTGGCGCAAGAAATGAGAGTTGGGATTTCAATATGGGAGTTAGGACAAGGTTTAGATTATTTTTATGATTTATTTTGAATTATTCCTATAAGAAACGAAAGGAAACACACATTCCAACAATAAATCTTATAAAACTTTAAAAGTCTTATTAGATGAGAAAATAACTGCTTTCAACTGTTCTGCTGGCATCCAAAAACCAACAAATTTCGTCTCAAATATGATGCTTACATCGATTAAAATCATAAGGGTTTGGGAATAAAACCAAAATTTTATCATTACGAATGTGAGATACCTCGTGTTTTTAGTAAATCTATGAACATAAATATATGAACATATGAAGTAACCATGTATGCGTTGTTTATCCACTTAAAATGAAAGCGTGGGCAGATAAAATCCAATGTAACTATCAAAGATACCTACCAAATCTGTTAACAAACCTGTGTTAACGCCTTAACAAAACTCGTTAAATAATTAAAATTCAGATATAGTTGGATTTGAAGGCCTACTCCGTCCATATTAAAAAATGTGAAATATTTTTGTGTACATCATTTGCGGAATCTATATAAAAATACCTTCCAAACAAACTACACAAATTCAAATTCTGCTTATTGGAACTATTTTCAACAATTTTTTGAAATTTGGTATGTTAGCGAAAACTGTTTGAAGTCAGCACAGTTTGTCGAAATTGGTTTTTCCAAAGAGGATAAGATTTTATATAATTTTGGTTTTATGCTGTGTCTGTGTATAAAATAAGCCGACAAATTAATGAGTAAACGGTATTAAAATGGTCTGGATTTAATGACTTGGTTGCACTTTCTTTCGTTTTTTGATTTCCTCTTCTATAAATTTTTGTGCCCGGGTTTGTCTACATTGCAGCAAAATAATAATGTATAGTTTTTGAGAATTCTACAAATTGGCAGCACTGCTTCTGCTTATACAAACGATAGCATTTTACACAAGCCGACAAGAGGACGAACACGCGAATCTCCTTAAATTTGTGCAGATTTTCCAAAAAAATTGTAAAAGAGTGGATTTAAGACAATATAAAACATCTAGTGATAAAATTATCGGTAAGATTTCTTAAAAATCATTTTAAAGTTTAATTCTGAAAATTGGTGCTATTAGAGAAAAGGTCAGTGATATTTGTCTAACCTCAATTTTTAAAAATGGCGTCCATGTCGGCTATTAAACCTTGAAAAAATGAAAGAGTAGTATCTAAACAATTTTAACCCACTATAAAATTTGCAACAAATTTAATTATGTATAATAGTATATTGTGTTCTGGTTTCAGTTCTTTTTTGCTACTCTCAAACGATTTAGTGAGTTTAGAACGCTAAACCAATATGGCGGACAATGATGATTTGTTAGATTACGAGGACGAAGAGCAGCCTGAAACTACCGCTACCGAAACACAGGAGGCTCCTAAGAAAGACCTAAAGGGTACTTACGTATCAATACATAGTTCAGGTTTCCGAGATTTCCTGCTGAAACCAGAAATTCTTCGAGCTATTGTTGACTGTGGTTTTGAGCATCCCTCAGAAGGTAAAAAAGATAAAGCAAGTGTATATTTTCGTAAGTAATGTATATGATGCTTGCAGTGCAACATGAATGCATACCTCAGGCCGTTTTGGGCATGGACATCCTTTGTCAAGCCAAATCTGGTATGGGAAAAACGGCTGTCTTTGTCCTTGCCACTTTGCAACAACTAGAACCCATTGAGAATGTCGTCTACGTGTTGGTTATGTGTCATACTCGCGAGCTTGCATTCCAAATTAGCAAAGAATATGAGCGCTTCTCAAAGTACATGCCTTCAGTAAAGGTAAACACGAAATTATAGTTTGGGATTTTTATCTCTTATTTTTATATTTTGTTTGAAAAGGTTGGTGTGTTTTTTGGAGGTTTGGCAATTCAGAAAGACGAAGAAACTTTGAAGAATGTAACGCCACATATAGTGGTAGGAACTCCCGGTCGTATCTTGGCTCTAATACGTAATAAAAAATTAAACTTGAAGCATTTGAAACATTTTATCCTTGACGAATGTGATAAAATGTTGGAACAATTGGGTTAGTTTGAAAAATTTTTCGCAAGAATAATTTAATGGCTTTTGTTTGTATTGCAGATATGCGTCGCGATGTTCAGGAGATATTCCGCAGTACACCGCATGGAAAGCAAGTTATGATGTTTTCCGCTACACTTAGCAAGGACATTCGTCCAATATGCAAAAAATTTATGCAAGATGTAAATATCATGATGTCCATTATAAATCTTCTACTACTACTACTACAACTTGTACAACAAAAAATTCATAGTTATACCACCACTAAGCGTTATCTCGGCTCAGTCATTTCTCCTGACATGACATCAAGCAAAGCATTGTTTTCATTCTCACTTTTCCCATGTTGACTGTGGATTTCGCCGCCAAAATCGTGCAATGCAGATAAATTGTTTCCTATTATCAAATATTAATAATTAAACGGGATTTCAAACGTTCAACAGCATTTGAATGCTTATAAAGTAATAAGACTACGGTTTTGTAATATAAAATAATAATCTGCGAGCATTCGTGTTATAATTAAATTAAATGGAATAAATTACATGAAAATAATAAGCAAAGTGCGGCAGCTGCATTAATGCAATATTAAGGAGAATCCTATCCAATTATCCAACATTTCATATTTATACGTAAAAGTTCTCCTTTGGAAATGAAAGACCGAGTTTGCCCCAAAACAATTATCGGACTTTTACAGTGTGTGCAACACTCGCATTCCTAGGCTTATGTGGTTGGATATTAATTGAGTGCTAAACTCGTTTGAGTGAACACTTGTGTTTGAGAGCAGTTGGTGGTAGTGTGGTCGTATGTAGAATATCTATAAGTGTGTGTTTACGTTATGGGTTCTATTTGAAAGCCATTGTTTACATATTATTACATATCAGATGAAATTTAAAATTGTGTTTATATATTCTTCTATTCTTTATATTCATATCTAACATAGCCTATGGAAGTTTACGTAGACGACGAAGCCAAACTGACTTTGCACGGCCTGCAACAGCATTATGTTAAATTAAAAGAAAATGAAAAGAATAAGAAGCTTTTTGAACTCTTGGATGTCCTGGAATTTAACCAGGTAAATATTAAAATCTATTACATATACATAAATGATGTTCTCCTCATTTTGATCTTCTTTGCAGGTTGTAATTTTTTTAAAGTCTGTACAACGCTGTATGGCGTTGGCTCAATTGCTAACCGAACAAAATTTCCCAGCTATAGGAATACACCGTGGGATGACGCAAGAAGAGCGCCTAAATCGTTATCAGCAATTTAAGGATTTCCAGAAACGCATTTTAGTCGCTACCAATTTATTTGGTCGTGGCATGGATATTGAGCGTGTTAATATCGTTTTTAATTATGATATGCCGGAAGATTCTGACACGTACTTGCATCGTGTGGCACGTGCTGGACGCTTTGGTACTAAGGGTTTAGCTATAACCTTTGTCTCCGACGAAGCTGATGCTAAAATCTTAAATGAAGTTCAAGACAGATTTGACGTCAACATCACGGAATTGCCAGACGAAATTGACTTGTCTTCATACAGTAAGGAATAACAATTTTTGTAATCACCACTTGCCAACAGCCAATCTTTTTTTTATAAGAAAATAACGGCCGATTAAAAGCTTCCGTGCTTTATTTGTCGACCGAATATAAAAAGTCTTTTGGGAATTAAGTGGTGGCTACTTTAAAAGTTGCAAATTTAACAATTCCTTTCATTTTTTTCTTTCTTTTAATAGTTGAAGGCCGATAAAGAGGTTGTTTTATACGCAAAGGAAAGATAATTTCTCTTTTCTTCCATCAACACCGTATCGAAGACCACAAGTTTTCTTTTTCATTTTATTTGAAATAATTACTTTAAAAAATTATGTTAAGGAAGTTCCAATTTTTTTTTTTATAATAAATTAAAATCGAAAGCAAATTGTAAAATTCATTAGGTTTGGTAACAAATTTATGCAAATTAAATGGCTAATAATTATTCCTATTAGAGAAACTTTTGTGGCATTTTATTTTTAGAGTTCAATATTAAAATTACTTGCTAGTGTGATTTGTACTTGCAATCTTTTCCTTGAGATCAGTTTTAATAGTTACCTTGGCATTAACGCTTTTAAAAGGCCAACCGGAATTTGGATGGTTCATTTGCAAAATCGATTAACTCCGTTTTTAAAATTTTACTAAATATTAATATCAATGCACTTCATTTGCTCCTAACTGTACATATTCAAATAGATTTTCTCTAATATTATTATTGTTATATCTTTAATGTTGAGCCGATAGCCTGTGTTGCTAGTGCTCAATGTTTTTTTTTTTAGTCTAAGAATTCAATTAATTAAAATTAAAATAATAATAATAATATCTTTAATGTTAATAATAATAATATTATATCTTTTTAATATTAATAATAATAAATAATACAAAAAATAATAAATTCGTTTTGAATATGTGCAGTTAGGAGCTAATGAAGTGCTTTGATATACAAATTTAATAAAATTAAAAATGGAGGTAATTGATTTGGCACGTGAAGCATCCATTTATGAGAACACTAGATAAATGAAATATATTTCGTCGAAAAGCAAGGTATGTAAACATATTCATACAAATTTTGGAAGAAGTAAGTATTGTCAAACGAAGCGAAGCGAAGAGTTCCTATCCGTTCTTGAAATGTAGAATGTTATTTTTGAAAAGTTGCACCCATCGTTGCTTCATTGTCTGAAAGAAGAAAAATAGTTCTCAATTTTTTTTCAAGCTTATCCATACATTGAAATCGCGACAAAAGTGACACAGTGAATGTATGGGATCACTGTAAACCGTTTTTTAAGTCTTGAAGTTTTCCGATATATGCAGATGCCGTAGGTAAAGTCGACCGGCAGTAAAACCAGAAGCGGTAATTGGAAATTGATTCCGGAATAAATGTAGGCAAACAATATGTAGTTACGAGGAAAACCAGAAAAAGGAAAGTTAATAAATTAGTTATTCATAAATGTACCGAACAGTTATTTACTTCGTTGTTGTGTCTTTTATCCCTAAAGGCATGTAAACCTCATATTATCCGCCAGAGTGGCCGTGTAGACAAAAGTCTCGACTAGCAAATCAATGATCGTGGTTTCAAATCTCAAATGCGGCAGAGTTTTTATAAAAGCCAATAGCCTTAGATGCTAGTGCTTTAAGACTTTAGTCTTAGAATTTATTCTCTGGCTAAATTTATAACAATAATAATAATAATAATAATAATAAAATCCATATTGTTCATTTAGTAATAGTTTCAGAATCAATTAAGTTGAGAACTGCAAATATTGGCATTAACAGCTGTGCAGATATGTTGAAAATTCAAATGTAGTGTGCCTTTCCGGAATGTATATGCTGGAAATCATATATGAAATATGGGCACAATGGTGCAAGTTTACAAAAAGCAACCCGTCACGTTTGAACTTTCTAATATTAAGAAAGAAGCATAAAATTTTTATAGAAAAATTTTTTTTGTATAGTATCTTATTATTATATCAATAAGTTTAGAAAAAAAAGGACAAAAGAGAGTGGCGAAGTACAGTAGATTAGAAGCCTAAGTGTTTTCTACTCACATTAGAAAGCTTTCAAAGTGTCGTCTCAAGACGCATATGTCCGTCCTATTTGTTTTGAGATGTATGATCCATAATTAGTTTTAACTCTTTTCAACTCCTTCCTCTAAAATTTGAGTTCCTTTGACATTCGTTATCGTATCATATACATCGATTGAACGCTTCATTGGGTTTGATCTTGAGTCTATTTTATTTAGCGTTACCCTCGGATTGAATTTTTAAGTTTTGCAGAGCGAAAAAAGCCGCTGGGGATGTTTAATTTAAAAGCGACGCAATCATCAAGCAACGTAAAGCTAATAGAATTATTGACGCAATACTGAAAATTATATGTCGAAAGATCATAAAGAGTAAGGTAGTTATAAAAAGAGATTTTACTTTAAACTTTCTTATAGCTAATCTTTTTAGAGTAATAAAATCTGTTATAATATTAAATACAGAGTTATTGAACGTATTGCAGCGCTCATAATGGAAATCAAAAAATCTTTTACGCAGCAAAAGAGTAAAAAGTTGCGATATGCAAGCGAATATTTTTGTTATTTGAAATATATGATGTTTTTAATGTCAATAATCTTGTGATATATAAAAGATTGTCTCTTCTCCTTATTTATGACAGTCCTGCAGCTGTCCACATAAATAAGGTTGGCAACACTCTTATACGGATTCGAAATTTTGAAGTTTTTCGCGGAATAACGGAAATAGTGAAAAGAAAATACGCAAGAAATTTTAGTTAACTATAAGTACTCATAAGTTATTTTTGGAGTGTTCTTACTACGTGAATTTTTTGTAACTACGTTATTCAATGGAAAACAAAGAGGAGCAAATAAAAACAATGCACTTAATGTGTCAAAAAGAAGTAGAACAATTATTTAGTAACTTAGGCAAATTCTTGATTGATAGCGAACGATCGCAGAAACTGCTCCTTGGTTGTCGGTCGAATGGGTCGAAGGATGCAAGGGACGATGGAGCTAGTGCATTTGCTTTAATAGCTTTTGATCGATACATGTCTCAGATGGGCACAATATTAAATATGGCCAGAAAGCTCAATATACATTTGCAACTGCATACGTTGGGTAATAGCATGTTTAATACCGCTGAAGTTTCTGGGGGAATTAGTCAAACCCGATTGATTGAGGATTTTTTTCAATGGAGTAACATTTGGATGGGTCAAGAACTTGATCGTTATGTGGCGTGCTGCAATAACCGTAAACTGAAAGGTTCCAACGAAACGAGCCACGATTTGGATAAAATCGCGAGTACTAAGGGGAAGGCAATTAAAGCTGCAACTCCGAATGCCAGCAGTCCTGGAAGTACTGTTAGCACGAACCACCTCAAGCCGCTACATAAAATACAATTTCAGTCGCATAATACTTCTCTGGAAGATGTGTTAAGCATAATGCTGCCTAAAAAAAAATCTTGATCATTTCAAAGCCGGCCTTGAATTTGAGGCTTCAATAACATACGTTCAAAATTACAAAAAGCTGGTGTTTTATATTTGTGAATTGAGCGATTACCAGATATTATTTGAGCTGAGTGGTGCTATAGAATTACAACCCATTAAACGTCCTCTTGTTGCAAACAATGTATTTTGTATAACGCAAAACAAGAAAGGCACTGAAGAACGAAAAGAATGTGTATGGCGAGCGGTAATGGCGCCTAATAAAAGCCCTGACCAAAGTGATTGCGCATTATTGATCGATTTTGGTGAGATTGTTTCCTTAAATGAGCACACTACATTCTATAGCTTGCCGCCGAAGTACCAACACATTCCGCCCATGGCAATTAAATGCATATTGGAGGGCACTTCTGATATGAATGGTTATTTTAATGCTCATCAAGAGTATTGTGAAATGATTTTGAGATCCAATGAATTTAAAATTGTACAATTTCGGATGTCATGCCGAATCGATCAAGTTCTACATTTAGTTTTCTTAGAACCATTAGCTAATAAATTGGATTCTCGGGTTTATAGTAGTGTAACAGCAAATCCATTTGATAACTTATCTATCGAAAATGAGCTTGATGACCGGGATCCATTGCCATTACCGATTTCGGTGTTGAAATCTTTAAATAGGGATTACGAGGAAAGATCGGATCAATTGATGCTTAAAGGATACAGTTTACAAATAACAGTTACTCATGTTATCAGTCCGGTCAGCTTTTACGCCATAATCGGAGATCCTAACGCAATAAAACGTGACTGTCTTTCCTGGCCCGATAATGAAGTTCCCGCATTACAAAAACAAATTATTCCACCTAATATAAATGATCTGCTGCTATCTCAATACATAAAAGACGGTTATTGGTACCGAGCCAAAGTGATTGATATTGATCAGGAAAGACAAATGTACAAGGTAACTAAAAGAATTGGAAATGTGAGGAATTTGAAACTGAAAACTATTTATTAATTTCTTTAATTTATTTAAAGGTTTTTTATATAGATTTCGGAAACACAGAAACCGTACCGCTTTGCTGTCTAGCTAAGTGCACTGAACAGGTAATGCAAAGCTACCCAGCGCGTGCGGTGCGTTTTCGTTTAGCAAATTTGATCGATAATACCGCCAGCGATGAAATGCGTCGTCGAAAGGCAACAGACACGATTGCGGTTATAGTTTTAAATCAGACCGTGAACGTCGAGGTAATCGGCCGAAATGATGAGGAAATAATTGTGCGCTTTATCGATAGTCAATTTGCAGATATACCACATATCTTACTTAGTTTGGGTGTTGTCGAAGAAACTTAACTTTTGTTTCTTTTGGAACCTCTAATGAAATGAAATTTTTCTTTCTTGATTAAATTAAAATTAAACAAAGCTATGTTTGAATTTAATATGCATTTCCTATTGAAGTAGAAGATTAATCGCGTTTTGCTTCGTGAATAATTAATTAACTTTCGTTTAAATGCAAAAATTGAAAGAAAGATTATTGTCAGTCTTTTACCCTCTTAGGAGAAATCATTATTATTTATTTTATTTTTTTCATTAAAAATCTGTTCATCGGATTTTAAGATAAATACTTAGCGTAAATAAAATTTTGGTTTTTGCAAATCTGTACCCTTTTATTACCCGAGTCAAAAGTCACAGCAGAAAAGTGTAGGGATACATACATAGAAGTTAACGAAGTGTCGCCAGGTTCATATAAATAAAAAGTATCGAAATACGAAAAAATAAAACTGCAACATGATGTAAATTCATACAATTAATATGTATTATGCTGTATGCCTTTCTTTGCTTATAAGAAAATATCTTACATATATCAGAGAAGCCGGTTTTTTCTTTTATCAGATTCTCGAGTCAGCGATAAATGTGTAAGGCAGTAGAGGGGACAAATTTCTAATTACAAGGCCCATCATTGTCATTCTTCGTGTTTTCGTGTCTTATGATTTAGCTCCTAAATATACAGATCAACATTGGCTCCGTTAACACAAAAAATTGCATATAGCGATTGTAGCTACACACTTCCTTAATAAGGCTAAAATTACCCAGCCAACAACCAAGGGTATGCACAAAATGTCATTGTTCTTTGAATACCTTCTGCTGCATTTGAAGTGTTGCAAGGTAAAGCAGGCGCCTTCTGCATGGAAACAAAATTTATTCATATTTGAAACAGTTTCGATTTAAATGTCACTGACGTCCAAGTAGATGAAAATGGACAGAGGATTGCTATGGCGCAGGTCAACTTGCATCCCATTGGACTCATAGCAGTTAATACGGTAAAACAGCCGAAATTCAGACTAATTGCCTCAATATAGCTTCTGCTAGTAACAAACCAAATTACCAAAGAGGGTTAGCTGCTATGTTTACTTTGGTGACGCTTATCCAACCACTCTTTTCATCTCTTATTTAACCCATTTTTATTGCATCTGTATACTTATATAGCGCCTTGCTCCATTTTAGTAAAACAGCCTTACGCCATTTGGACTATCTGTGCTCCTATTAAATACGCAAACTAGCTTTAAGAAGCATTGCAAATTCCTCATATGAGGAATAAAGGGAAGATTTTCAAACAGTGCAATTGCCAAAGACAAGCAACTACGATTTTGAGGTAACTTCGGTTTTCTGACAAGATTTTCAATTTGTAGGCGTGTCCTTTGAAAAGATCACTTCCAAGGTTTTTTTCCAAACTTATAGGCGATACCTTTACTTTTGCTTGCCATAGGTACTACGCAATTGGGCAGAGGGACAACTTATGGGGTTTATTGAGGCTTCTTTCTGCATTGTCAAGATATTGAAAAAAAAAATTAGATTTTGTTACATTATAACAATGGGTTGGCGGGGTCAATTTTTTCTATATTTGTCCAAAGTACGAACGTTCTTTTCATTTGCATGCTATAGCTTTGGAGTAATGAACAAACAACCAATCCTTTGTTCCTTTTGAAAAACAGAGATGTTCTCAGTTTATTTGGTGCTGTGGGCGTGTTCTTCGACCGATTTGACACATTTCCAATAGCAACCTGCGTGCAAGAACTTCCAACGCTTCTGTCAAAGTTGAAGTCAACAACGCTTTGAATGAATGAATACAACCCTCGCTCTTCGATGACGGGTATAAAAACTAATTCATTTTCTACACAAGATTCTTCTGCTTAACGGACCTATATTTATCAAGAAGTGTCCTAAGAACACAAACGAACAGTTGCAACCACAAATAGCTACCGCTGATGGTCAACCAATAATGCAATTAGCTCCCACGTGTATACGTGTATACCACCAAAACAGAAAAGATCTTTCTCTGTCTTTTGCTCGTTGCTCATAAACTACGGCAGATAAACGATATAAATTTCGATTAAGTTATTTTGCAAGAATAACGAAAATCACCACACACACCCACTTAAGTATGCAAATTTATTTTATTCCTTTTCTTCATTCGTTTATAGAATAATGGTTGTGGGTATTGCGATAATGTTTGATATGGTATGATGTGTTTAGATTATCTGTTTAGGCCCTAAGCTGTTCGGCTGCAGTACGCCAAGTCTTTCCGTCTTTTATAATGCCAAAGTGTCTCGGCATAAGACGGTCACTAATTTTAATAGTTCAGGCGGATTTGAACGCCTAGTGTTCTTAGCGAGTAAAACGCTTGGTTGAGTTGCTCTATGAGCACTGATTTTCTTTATTTTTTTCGGCACTATTTATACTAAATTTTTACACTAAATTATTCTTATCTTATTCTAAACAGGATTGTAATTGCTTACTTAATTATCCTTATCATACACTAGATTATTCTTATATAAACAGAATTATCACTGTTTACATGCGAAGTGAAGTGTGACATTTTATTTTATCAAAAGGGTTATGCTGAAGTGGCATAATTTTGTCACACTTCAAGTGGTTCACTACAGTATAAATGACTTGGGTCGCAACAGATATAATTTTCTGACTTGCTAGTTAAGCAATCGATTTCTTCAATTGCATTACATTCATATTTATCGAATGTAGAACGACACATACAATATTTCCCATCGTAAAATGTCCAACATATACTATCCATGCCAGGGCAACATGCTATGAAGCTTCGCTTATATTCCCACATCTGACAGCCACATTCAACTTATTTACTTACTTATATATAAGTATAAAAATTTATAATTGAAAGCAATAAGAACATTATAGACGGGCAAGGCCGATCATTCAATACACGATATTGTCTAAAACAATTCTTATTTTTATTAAAGAACATAAAAATGTGGAAGTTGACCGATCCGAATCATTTGCAATAGCGTTCGTCTTTGGGTCAAAATACGCTATTATACCAATCTTTAACAAATTATCTTAAAAATTTAGATGTGTAACTTGAACACAAAATTACATGGACAGACATCACACGGACGGACAAACATACAAGCGTACATCAAATCAGAATCGATCGGTATAATAAAAGTTGGGTTAATCTTAAGCCCTTCCGCGTGTTACATACGAAGACACTAACTTAATATACCCTGTGCCATAAGTGGTGTAGTGTGTATAATTATGTTATTACACGACCAAGTTAAGCTGTCCAACTCAGCAAGAAACTTTTTGTATATCTTTAATCCCTCGGCAATAATCTCTTGCCTCTTATGCCACCATGTCCACTACGTCTAAACACGTTAGCACTGTAGGATGAGATTGGGTATTTCAAATAATAATAACAGATTTTTGCACTGCAAAAACAAAATAAATAAACTAAAATTTTTTCTTTTTTTTTTTTTTTTGTTAAGATTAGCATTAGTTGTCGAAAATTCTGATTTATTTTCAAATTCATTTTTGATATTTGTTTATTAGAAAAATATATTGTTGTTTATTTAATAACAATTTAAAATTGAAATTTTTATTCGATATTGATATAAAAAAATTTAGATGGTAAATATTCGGCAAGTCCAGATTAATGATTTATATTATAAATTATTTATTTTAACGAAAATTGCTTTTAGGATGATCTGGTTAATTTCAGTTCGTTTCGCTTCCATTGGGCCGATTATGTGGTTTGCATAGCGCTTGTTTTGTTATCAACTGGAACCGGATTTTATATCGCCAAATTTTACAAGTATTCGACGCACGATTCATATTATAATTATTTTGTTTTTTTTTGATAGAATAAAACTCTTATATAAACTGCAATTTTATAGAGGCAAGGAACGAGTAAGTGATGTTGAGCAAATTGATTATGGTTCAACGAAAATGAATGAATATCTCCTTGGTTCACGAACACTAAGCGTTTTGCCAGTCGCCATGAGTTTAGTTGGCAGGTAAGTGCAATTAATTATCTACGCATTCTTTAGTTGATGATTTTCAAAAATAATAACGTTACAGCTATGTCTCTGGCGTCACTATATTGGGTACGGTATCAGAAATTTATTATTATGGCACTCAGTATTCGCTGATTGCTGTTGCTATAATTGCAATGGCATTTCCCGTGGCATACATCTATGTACCCGTTTTTTATGTACTCGGCGTGCATTCGTCTTACGAGGTTTGTCCGTTGAATTCCGCGTGTTTTTTGCAATTGTCTTTCTTAATATCATTCGTAGTACCTGGGAATGCGATTTAATAACGCTGTACGAACCCTTTGTTCCGTATTCTTTATATTGGACGAGGTGAGAACGTATTCAACTTAATTTTAACTCTAATAGGTTCGGTACAATGCATAAGTTTACACTTTTCTTGCTTACGTGACTCTTAAACAAATTTGGCCCCTTAATTGTTATCAGGTTAAACCGTCAGAGAATTATTAGAAATTTGTAAATGCACACACAAAATTGCCCTAATATATATGATAGGTAATATTTTACCCCTAACGTAGAATGTTTTGTTGCGATGAACGGCGAAGCCGTGATTATCATGTTGGCGCTTCACAGCAGCTGCCTTATGCTCGAAAGAGTTGCGATAACGTCGCCTTCTCTTTAATAAAGACGTCATCCAAAATATTTACATATATATATACACATATACATAATTTCAAATCTAAATTTATTTGCAAAAGAGAAACGGAGAATAGGGAAGTGGCGGCGATCACAGCTCCCATCTATGTCAAATTCGTTTCTATATTATTTTTCATCATTTATATACGCTAAGAGGCTTGTAGTAGCAAATATGTTACTTTGGACGGACGTATGCGACATCTCGAATTACTTGAGACATCTGTAAATCTGAATTAAAGCCTGATTGTCTGTCCTTCCGACCGATACCAATCGATTGATGTTCGTTTTATGTTCAACTTGAATTATTTCGATTACATCTCGCGGACTGGCATGTTTTCGTTCAAGGACAAATCGAATCGGAAATGGTTTAAATGGAAGCATTTTTCTGTACTTTGAGCAAGTCTTTGTGAAGTGGTCTAGATAGAATATTAAATGGCTGACCTCATCGCATTACAACATTTCAACTTGTTTGATTTTCTATTTATAGATATTCTTCCTACCGATGGTTGTCCATGTTCCATCTATAACTTTCCAGCAAGGTAATCAATTATATCGTGACCCGAGAAAGTTTTCATTTCATTTCTTTTCCTTAATTTTAGTAACTGGTGTTCATGCACTCATTGTTAGTACGATAATGTGTGCGTTGTGTGTCGCGTATACTCTTGTTGTAAGTTCTTTGAATGTTTGCAGTAATTGGTCGCGAATAGTACTAACATCATCCCCACATGCATCTGCAGGGTGGCATAAAAGCCGTTGTTTACACTGACGCTTGGCAAGTTTTTGTTATGTTTTGGACTGTTATAACTGTAGTGATTATTGGAATCGTTTATGGAGGTGGTTTCGGCCCGATTGGTGAAGCTGCTTCTGAAGGTGGTCGCCTCATATTTGCTAAGTACGTATAAAGGGACACAAAGGCTAAGGCTAAGGTTAGGTAATTAGTTTTATATTATTAATATTAGTGTTAATCCATCGTTGCTGGAGAGGCAAACACTATGGGCCGTGTTAATTGGAGGCTTTTCTTATTGGACTTCCTTCAATTCGGTTAACCAAACAATGGTGCAAAGATATCTATCACTATCCTCGCTAAAAAAAGCTCGTCTAAGTATTCTAGTATTTACGGCAAGCATTGTTTTTTTCATCATTTTTTTATGCATTGGTGGATTGTTAGTATACCAGGCTTATGCACACTGCGATCCCCTTTCAGCGAAATTAATAGAGGTAAGTTTGTTTTGCTAAAGTCCAACGAGTTTACAGTAAACATTTCATAATGCGTTCGTGTAGCAAGACGATCAAATCTTCCCAATTTATGTAATACAAACGGTCGGAAATTTACCCGGCATGCCAGGTTTATTTGTAGCTGGTGTCTTTGGAGCTGCTTTAAGCTCCCTATCGACTGTTCTAAATTCCACTGCTTTGGTCATAATGGAGGATATCGTGAAGAATGTCATAAAAATAGAATTGTCTCCTAAAACGGCAAATCGCCTAGTCAAAGGCTCTGTACTTATTTTAGGTCTTGTCGGCCTTGCATTGTCTTTCCTCTTTCAACATTTGGAGGGTATTTTAAGCGTAGCCACGTCGCTGACCGGTCTCGCTTCAAGTGCCCAATTCGGTATGTTCACACTCGGAATGTTATTCCCTTGGACGAACAGTATAGGCGCATTAACCGGCGGAATAATTGGTTATTTAATGGGCGGTTGGATTGTCTTTGGTATACAGATTGCCTCTTACATGGATTTACTCGTACGCGACAAACTCCCTCTTAGCGTCTCGGAATGTCCTTTTAATGCTACTCTAATGGAACCTCAAGAACAAACCGACATAAATCCGGTTTTTTTTAATGTCATACCACTGGACAAATCCTATTGGAGTGGGCACTACCCTTCTCGTTGGAGCAATTGTATCATTGGCAACAAAACCAACGAAATTAGAAGAAATCAATATGGACTATCTGGCACCTTTTACCCACAGGTAACTTGAAGCACTTCAAACGGAATAATTTCAATCAATTTGATTCCCTATATTTCTACATTATTAAATGCCGACTTACATTTTAAAAGACCGACAATTGCAAGACTTATCAAAGATCTTTTAGAAATGAACAATTATCAGTGTTATTTCGGTAAATTTTTCGACGATGTTTGACAGAAAAATATTATTTAGCAGATTATTGAAAAGGTAATAAACGCAAATTAACAATTTTTGGTAAAGAGAAGAAATAACACACAAAAGAACAGTAACAAGAATAGAGGGAATTAAAGATTTGATCACTGGACATATTCACATGTCTCCAACTTCAAAAGAGGGTGAATATGAACGTCTGAATGTTATATTCGCATGTTCCCTTTATACGCACATGCCATAGTGCATATCGCAAAAATAATTGTGTAACTTAAAGGTGCCTCATACATGAGCCCAGTCAAATAAATAGCTTAATTTCATTTGAGATTTATCACGAATGCAAAAAATCTTCGCTCATTTTAAAATATGCTTCAAAATATCGAGAAATATTGTTAAACTTGATTCGGTCACAGCTTCTTAGTAACCAATTATTGGCAAAACATTTAGAGACAGGACATTTTATATTTAAAGACATCTTCCCTGACTCTTTCATTATTGTTTGTTTGAAGCTAAAGCGTAAAATCTTCACTTCCTAAGATGCCCAATTATGCATGACCGACAATAGATTTGTTGGGAAGAAACGCAAAAAGGGATTCCTTGGTCATTGTTTTACATTTTATGGCAAAGAGTAATACCATATAGCATTTCAAAGGGCTTTGAAATATGTAGTAAATATTTTTCCGATTACGAGGATCGAAATGTGTAGTAGCCACCATGTATTTAAATTGTCATAAACGAATAACTACGTAATTAAATAAATTTTTCCTCAAAGATTTTTGAAAGAACCTCTGAAGGCTTTGCAAATATTTTCAGATTCTTTCGCAAGTTTATGGCAAAACCGCAAGATAACACTGAGCCTGTTACTTGAAACTGCCTCTATTGCTGTCGACAGAAGGTATTATGAATAAAAGGCATTGCATTGAATGTGAAAGACATGCGCAACTTGAAGTGTCCTGTCATTCCTATTCTATTTTATTTTTTATTTTTTTTTGCTTTATATGAATAAAATAAATACAACGAGGGAGAATTTTTGTTCTAAAGGAGCTTAATTTTCTGAAGAAACCACCTGTGAGTATCTCTCACCAATCCAACGGTAAGGAGAAAAATTGCGCATAAATACACATTGACAACAGTTTCCTGTTTTAGCATATTACACTTGGAAACCCAATGATTTTCCGAAGTTAAGGTAGCCTAAAATTAAAAATTGGAAATGTTAGAGTCAAAAGCAAATTAATCGCATTGTAAATAACCATTAGGAAACTTGGATTAATTTTATTGCGCCAATTAAATGAGGCTAAGGTATATTCATCCACGCCCCAACGATTGATTGAATGACAATAATGGTGACTATGGCCCGCAAATGATAAACGAGGTTGCAGCAGTTCCCCTGTCAATACAGACGATTGTATTTGGATTAAATTAAATTGGCATGTATGTATACCCAACCAGTCTGTGGAATTCCTCGATAAAACTTCCCATTTTTCCCGGTACTCTTCTATTTCTAAGGAATCATGTTCTGTACACGACTTATCCGATATACGATATGTTGGGAAATGTTGCATAATTATAGGTCGGCTATAATAGTGGTGATTTTGAATCGTTTCCATGTCCGAGCAAGTGTGTACATTTCGTAAACAATCCAACTTATCTAAAAAAGGACATGTTGAAATATTATTTTTTCACATGCTATATAGCAATGTCTTTCATATCAATACCTTTTATATTATGCAGGTCTTTTAGGGCATTTTTGCAGAAACTGCAACCATCGTTTTCCATAGCCATTGAGTTGATTAAGATAAAATGTACTTTGTTTACGGTATATAAGTGGATTCCGGTATAATTGAGATGCCTTTTGAAACGATTTACGACATAGGGCTGCATCCTACAAATTCAAACTTTAATATCCACACACAACGACCTTCATATGTACATGAATTACACCTATAATGAAAACCAATATCATGGTTCCCGGCTATACTTATCAATCGTATATGTTGAGGTGTATGAAAGTAGCTACGAAAGCGTCGAATATATTCTCGAAAATAATGTTGGTTGACAAAATAACCTTCATCAAACAGATCTCCTAAAATGAAAACAACATCGGGATAATGTATAGTTAAAGACGCTTGAAACGCCCGTCTCATATGCCATTCACGATACAATTTATCTAACCAATGGCCGTTTACAGGTCCTAGTAAGTGAACATCGGCTAAAATCATAGCCCTTAAACTTGGGACATCTTTATCTTGTGGAAGTGGTGGCCATTCACATTTCCACAACGTAATATAATCGGCCAGAAATTCACAATAAAATATCGAACCGAACACAATGAGAAAATAAATGTACAATTTTTTCCTTCGCAAACCCATTTTGTTTTTTATTATATTTTCGTAGAGTACTCGGCAAAATTTTCGCAAATACTGCAAGTCCTACCAGCCGCTAAATGAATCGACTAAAACAGCTGTTCAAAAGTATTTCATGTTTACTTTTACGTTACGAGCGGAATTATTTTTTTTACAATTTTTATCATTTTGCATTTATTTTCAGGATTAAAAAAAAGTGATGCAAATTTTGTTCTTTTCTTTTGCATTCATATCTTATGATTTGTGTTCTGCGATTTTATTGTCGAAAGTCAATTTTCTTGCATGTTTGGCGAGATCAATAAAGTCAAAAGGTAAGCGAACTTAGATGTCATGCTTTTCTATTTCCAAAATGCAATTCCTGAAGAATGTAAATGAATTTCTGAAAAATGGAAAAGAATTTCTAGCAACTGAAAGTTAAAGTGATAGCTAGTTTACTATTAGACGTACAAAAACTCTTCAGCCAGCAAGTATGTCAATCCCTTTTGAGTAAAAATTTCAGTATATGTCAAATTATTTCCAACTCTTTTTATCGTTTTTGCCTTAAATACTCAATGTTAGAATTAGTCGTAGTAAATGTATCGGCATATTGTTGCTTTTTGTGTACTCTGTGCTTCTTTAAGGTTTAAAGTAATTTTTTTGAAAAATAACACAAATTGAAGTGGCTTTTTACAAGTTCCTTTTTGGTCCCGAATTCATGGTCTTTGCATCAAAATGCAGCAAAAGCTTATTTAAAACATTATATAATTATTTCACCGAATTTAGAACTGCGAAATCTGGTCACCTTAGCTCGCTGCATTTAGTTATAAAAGGGGTGATGAATGCAAAAGCTAAAAATAAAATACAAGTGAGGAAAAACAAGCACAGTGTTGTATTAACAGACGTTGTAAAAAAAGACGTTTTTTATAAAAATTATGTAACGATTAGGTAAAAATGACTAACAGAGCTTGCCTAGAAAATTATTTTAATAAATTAAGAATTAACTGCACAAATACACATATTTAACTTGAAGGTGAATTGTAATTCTACTTCTAATTTTTCAAACTTAGTAATTCATTTTTAGAAGCAATTGATGAAAAGCTAAAAAGATTAAGAAGTGATTTGTAGAATGAAGCAAGTTTTCTGCGCATATCTAACTATATGTATCTATACCCTCCTAACCTAAAACAAAGTTATTTAAAGCTTAGCAAATATTTGTTAATTAAAAAAACTCAGATGCTTTTCTCGCTTTTTGCTTAAGTTTGTCTTCATTTAAAACACAATTATAAGTTTGTTCAACGTTTTGTTTTTTTTATAACGATAGTAATTGTTATATTTGCACTTAAGTTAGAAGTACATGTTCTTTTCATTTTTTAAGTGATTTCAATATGAATGCAACAAGAAGCGCAAAAAGCAAAAATTATTGGTTTCGAGCACATTTAATGTTAAATTAAACATGAGTACATGAATTCTAAGGGATTTCTTTGCTTGCTATGCTCTCTCTCTCTCCCCCTCTCTCTCACGATCACTTGGCACTATTAAGGTGTTTGTTATTGTAAAATTTTAATTTACTTTCAAAGAGAGACTTAAATTCAATATGAATTCTTTACATAAATAAAGATTAAACATTTTTTATATTTCCTTAGTTCTGCGTATTAGCTTTATCATTTAACCTTTTTTTTATAATTTATAGTTCATCATCAACCAGCAATATCACATTCGTTTAAAAAATATTCGAAAAATCTCAAATGCATTAAGAAATGTACAAAAGGTTGACTTTACTCTCAGAAGTTGCGTTTCACATTCTCAGCCCTTTTTTTAGGGACTCGATAAGAAATGTAGCCCATTGTAAATTGTACTCAGAGTCTCTTAATTTTGTGTGTGTGTCGTAGCTTTAAATCCAGTGTATTTTATTGTTGCAAATTCTAATTTTTGTTTACATTTGCCATGCACGTGTTACTGTTTACATTTCAGTGGTAAGACGTATTTTGTTGCTGTAAAAGTAGTACCGAGTGTATCGAGTGTGGTTGTTGCTGTAAAACAAGTAATTCATCTTCATTACTTACAATTGAATTTTCCACTATTGCGTTTCCCTCTTCCGGGGACTGTATTGCATTTTGATGGTTTCCCTCTTCCGGAAACTGTATTGTATTTTCTGTATTTTCTGATATATTTGGGCTATTATAATCCAAGGTTTTCCCTAAGCTTTTTGATGTTGATGCAATATTGTTGTCGTCCTGTTCCATTACTTCCACTTTGCTTTTTAATGGGCTGTTCTTTTTATAAGTGTCTAGGTGGAGTGTTGGGACGGCATCTATGGCCAATACAGTATTACGGGCGGTATGTTTTATATATTGTTGTAAAAAATGCTTATCGCAAATATAATAGTTTTTTTTATCATTTGAAGCGTTTAATATGGTTAGCCAATTTTGTAATTTATTTGCAGGGATTTTAAATACACATCTGTTTTCAACAGATTTACCTCTATAATATTTGCATACTATGCACACTTTTCTCCCCACCATTATCAAACAATAATACTAAAAATATAGGAATACTAAAAATTATAAAGGCGTTGTAATACAAAATAATTGAAAACCTTTCTAAAAAGAAAAGAGTAAAAGGTTTTAATTTTCACTCTTCTCATTTCCGAAATAAATAATAAAAATTCTTTCTCACTTTGAAAAATTGAAATGCTTTAATCACTCTTTGAAAAATAATAAATGAAATTTGCTTAAACATATGTTTCAGAATCATGTGTTTCAGTTCTCTAGTTACAGGTGTGTGTTATGTTTTGTTCTTCTCCTGCTATTGAACGAATCAACAATCGAAGATTTTATTGCCATCTCTGTGTTCCGTGTGTTTTATGTTAAATAAAAAGAAATGATCGAAAAAAATAATTGCGAACAGCAGACGGCGTTAACGTTATTGTATTGCATTTTAAAAAATTTCCAGTTTATTTCTTGTTGTTGGCTTGGGCACATTGAAATCGGTAAAAGCGACTGCGGATGATTTCGTAATGAGAACTTGAAAAGAAAAAAAACTTGTGGAAAAAGTCATTTCTTCAGCAGATCGTCGTTGATCAGTAACGCAAAGTTCAGCGCATATTTTCTTTGATTGCTTAAATAACTTAGTAGAAATCTCACAGAAGGAAAGCTAAAATAGATTTGTTTAGAAGACAGAGATCGTTTCAAAAATATATATGTGCACACGATGCTACTACGCATATGTATAAATATATACATAAATGTATAAATATATAATTTCGTTCGTTATATTTTCTTGTTAAACCGGCGCTTATTAAGCTTCGAAGTGATTTTTTCCTGCTTTTCGATTCTTTTTTCCTTGCGGTTTTATAGCTGTGTGTGGTGTAATTTTCGCTTCGTTTATTATCATCATTATTTTCGATTTCAATATTATGAATACGTAATAGTTTTGAAAACGCGTAAATAAACGTTTCTATGCCCGAGCTTTTTGATTGTTACAAATGTGAATAAATTTTATTATCTGCGCACTCTATCTTCCTTTGAATTGATTGCAGAGCTGATAACGAACGCATGTCTCATGTTCAACACATCTAAACAGTGCCCTGCAATACCCTATATTTATATATAAATTGAACTAAGTAAAAATAAAAAAGAATAAATGGAATCTAACGACAATGCTCTAAAAATATAAACAATCAAATGATCACCAACTACATACGTACATATAACGCTGACAACTGCAGTACAAACTAATAAATTGTTATAAAAATAATAACAATAATAGAAATTATAAACAAATAACTGTAAAGTCTGTCAATTGTCTCTCGTATTTTTTTTCTTATTGTATTTGGTTTTATTTTTTCAATATTTAATAAATAATTAGATAATAAATTCTACGCGGTTTTAGATTAAAAGACGTTTACAATGAACAATTTGCTTTAACGAGAACTCGCCCTGGAATTATTACTTCGATGATAGGTAACCGTTGGCAATTTTCGTTTTCTTTTTGACCACTCTTTCGTATGACCGCGTAAAAGTTTAATCGATTGTTTTTGTGAGTAAACGACGTGATAAATTATAAATATTTCCGATAGGAAAGTGGCTGCGTGTGCGTGCATTTACGGATTCCAAACATTAATAAATAAAACAAACACTAAAAATTCCAATTTAATCCCTTTGAACGTAACCCGAGTCTAAAAGGTAAACATTCGTTGAATGGGTTTATGTAAATCTTCATTTTAATTTACACGTAAATGTCAAGTATTTCACTTATACTGTAGCGGCTGTTTCGAAAATACTTCTTCTGTTGCAATAACCGTATAATATATTATGTTAATGATTATTAAGTAGGTTGATCTTTACGAATATACATATGTACGTATATATATATATATATATATATATATAGATTATTTAAATTGTGAAACATACCACGTTCCAATAGCTTCATCGCAAGTTGCTTTGAAGCACACAACTTTAATTCCTGATAAGAGAAGATCTTGGGATTCAAACTATAAATAAAGTACTAAATTGAAAGTTTCCATTGTGAAGAATGCGTCTCCATTATGTCGGGTGTTGAGGAGAAAATTACCGAACGAATGCTTACAATTAAATTGAACGGACCCAATGTTAGAAGAAGCTAGCGTTTAAATTTTGGAACTCTCTATAAGCAGCAGAGCGTGTTAAAATGTCCACCTTTTTTTTTTGTGTAATATGTTTGTAAGTCCATGTGTCCGTTTTATGATGGGTGTGCCTTTTTACAATTTTGAAAAATTCCGAATGCGGGACAAACTGAAAACCTTCATTCTGAGCATTTTTACAAATGAAAGAGAATACAGAGGCTAGATAATAAACTCTTTGAAGAATTGCGCAGATTATCTATATTTTTCTCCGATTTGAATCAGAACAATTTTTTTTGTAACAAAGTTGAACCTATTTGGATTAACAAAATGATCACCGCAGTAATCCAAAAAATAAGCTTTAAAAAGCGTGATAGTAAACTTAGCAAAGGCAGTTAAGAATAGATGTAGGTTACAAAATTATAGATGCACTGCTTTGTTCCTGATGAGCCTTCATATGATACATTCTTAAACTTAAATACTTAGCATATGCGAAGAGCGCGATAAAAAATAGACTCTGGCAGGACTTTAACGATGATCGCTGAATGAAACGGCACAGAATTGAAGAATTAATGGAAATGTTCAGAGGGTAAAGGGTCCCGAAGTGAACATCCAAATATATAAAGATTAGCAGATGTATGGCAGATTATATAGTTGAAAGTGAAATCACAATGAACACACATGCGACTATTAATCACTCAGTCACTCATTTATAGTCAATAATAAGAAAAACAGCTGTTGTTGTTGACAAGCAAATGATTCGCTAAAACTAATTAATAATTTTTTTACATAAATGCATGTATAATATATAAGCATTTCTAAGCGTATTGGATGATTTAGCTAGGACGAGATTAATTCCAAGCCTGCATGGTTAGAGGCGAACGGAAAATCTTTTTAAAACTAACACTTTAAACGCATTTCTTTCGAACTCACGCTTTTTAACACTTTCTCGTTCAATTTTGCCCCGGTTGATGTAAAATATTAACTGGTGCATTAAATAAGGCTTCCTAACCTTCACTGTTTGCATTTTTCCAGTGAAATAAGATATTTCAGTTCTATGGCCGGCGGACTTACGTGTCATTTTTATGAAGTAATTTTTTTTTGAAAACGGTGATTACTTGATTTCGAATTATATTATAAAAAGTCTTGGCTCGCTGCTCTTGCAGAGGCAAGAGAGGCCGTCGAAAGAGAACAATTTTTTTTTTGATTTTACGAGATCTCTCACACTTTCATTTTATTTTTAAAATAATTGAAGAATATTTTTTTGCAATTTTAAGTTTCCATATGTAACACCAGCGAGTGGTAGATTTAGGAAATTTATTCTCATTTTTTTTAAATATTCCTTTACTAGATCGTCATAATAAACGCAAATCGCTAATTGTTTTGGGATTTATGAGCAAAATAATGCCGAATTACTTAAAAAAAAGCATTAAATTAAAAAAAAAAAACACGGAAAATATATTAGTTCGCGAACGAATCTTTTATACGCATCACCGTTATCTTAAGAAAGACTAAAGAAAAGGACGAAAGAACTAAATTTTTATACTTTATAATGTTGTGTGGGTGCGGCCGATTTTGTTTACCCATCACTGAATCACTGAATTATGATGGGAGACCTCACAAAGTATATATATATTCTTGATCCGAATCAACTTCTAAATCAATTTAAGGAAGTCCGTCTGTCCATCTGTGTAATGTCTGTTGTAAACATTGTCCTGACCGGAAAAATAAAGCCATCAATCTCAAATTTAGCAGAAACGTTGGAGGCCTTGCACGCAGAGTAATATTGAAAATGGCTTAAATTGGTGCAAGCACACGCGCGCAGTATCACGTAAACTGAGAATCTCTCTGTTTTTCAAAAGTACCAAAAAAGCGTTGTATCAGATAAATGTACAAAAATTTGATCGCACGTTCTCTGGACGATGCTTCAGCTCTCGTACAAAAATGGGGAAAATTGATCACACCGATCTAGTATCACAGTGTTGTTGTAGGAGTTGATTCTGATCAAGAGCACGTATATTTTGAGGGGTTTCTGATGCCTCCTTCTGCATGTCGCAAAAGTTTCAACAAAATCAACACACTCCGCATTCTTCACTGATGGGTGTAAAAAACAAAACAATAAAAACAGAACGGTATAAATGAAATTTCTATTTCCATATATTTTTGATCTTTTAAATGCTGGCGCTGTTGCTTGTCACTTTAGTAGAAGTATTTTTTAATTTTTACGTTAATTTGTATATCGAAGTGTTTTGCGGTTGTTAAGTCCATATCATAGTTCATGTGTATGAATTTTATCACTTCGTTTGAAGGATAGGCGTACTTGCTTAATAGATCTTACGAGGTACTCATGTTTTGTTTTGTTAAAATTCTAATTTGGTCTACTAATGTTCACCTATGCGGTCGCTTACTAATTTTGTCAAAACGTTTGCAACGCTCAGTAAGAAGCATCAAAGACGCCACAAAGTATATATATATTGTTATGAAATTCGCATTACTAAGCTACAGTCCGTATCATTGGATCGTGGATAATTTGATCAAGAGAAATACACTTCAAAGCTCTTTTATTTTACTATTTTGTCTTTCACAGCAGTAGGAATATTTATTTACATTATATTTCTTACATGTAGGATTATTTATAATTTCTTTTGGCCGTACTCTCAGCTCAAATGCTCTTGCCCGACTAACTCTCCCTTCCACAAATATTCTATTTATGTACATTTTTACAAGCATGTTACCCTACCTAAATTTATGGTTTTATTTCTAATCCCAGCCTGCTTTTCCGCTAATCGTTTTCACCGGCCTGCAGCTGCATGAGGCGCCTGCGAATGCTCATTTGGTTTTTCCTTCTTGAGCGAATTTATTATTACAAAAATTACTTAGCTGACATTAACTGGATTTGGGATTTTCGTAACAATCGTTTTGATTAGCATCAACGATTTGAACACATCCGTCTATCCGTCCAATCATCTGTCGGTAAATGCCGTAAAAATAAAGCTATCGACTTGAAATTTGTTAAAAGCAGTGATTGTTTTCGTACGCAGGCAGGCATTAAAAATAAGACAATTCGGTCGAAGGGCACGCCCACAGTACCACGTAAACTGAGAACACCTCTGTTTTTTAAAGGGAATAAAAAATTGGTTTTTTACTCATTATTCATAAACTAATGCAAATAAATGTACAAAAACTTGAACGGGTATTCTATGAGCGTTGCTGTAACATTTCTGCATAAAAATTTAACAAACTGACCACGCCTAATTTTATAGGGTATCAAAATTTAATTGTTTTTTCAATAGCTTTATAACGTGCAGAAACAAGCTTCAAAAGCCCCATAAATTGTGCAGATTTTTGGCCAGTTTCAAATTTGGAATGCATATAAACATGCCCGTCTATTCGTCTGCCCATTTGTCTGCGGGACTTTGTAGTATTTGTGGCAAATAATTTCCGGTTAGCGAAAATGAAAATATCGCGTAAAAATTTTCAAAAGAATGATCGAAGAACGGGCACATCTATTACGCCCACACCTATATCCGACAAAAACTTTTATTTCGAAAATAGAGAAAATCAGCCGCACCTACTACCGATTATAGAACATGAAAATTTATTTCTTTTACTTGTTCGTCTTTATTAGGATAACCATGATGGCTACAAAAGATTCGATCAGGACTGAATATAATTTTCTTACTTGTTAATATCTTCGCAAGAGCTAAAATTGAGATAAACCATTGAAATTAGTCGACGCCTGTTGCCCCCGACGATAGATATCTGCCTAGGAGCACAGTTAGTTACAAGGCCGTTTTATCTGACTTACACTACTTCTGACCCGTTGCTCATTTTATCTATTTAGGCTTTGCAAAGCTTACCTATCTATTCCCCGCGTCTTCTTATCTACTCCCCTGATCTTTTGCAAGCGTATTTAAATAAAATATATTTAACCTTAGAACAAGGGGTTTGGTAAGCGAAAAATAAACTTCAAATATATTTATATAATCTCTCTCATATATAAGGGGTAAGTTGAGGTTTTTTTGTTAATTTAAGAAATGCGTTTTAGTTTTTTTACAAAGTGCGGCTTAGCAAATACATCTCGTGTAAACAATGTTCTGGTGAACGTAATGTACTTGTTGCATTTTATATACATTGGAACTTCAATGATGGGTTTCCACGATTCATTATATTCAATATAGAATATGCGCTATCTTTAATATCTATTTAAAAGGTATATAGATATGGTTCGTAGTGTTCGTCATTAGCTAACATCGTTTTTAAAAATATAATTATATTGATTTAACGGCACTTTTTTATAACGATATGTCTTTGCATAGCGTTAGCTAATAATAATGTAAGCTCCGTGCAACTAATATTCAATAAAATTTACATGAAAGGAATTTGTGGAAAACTTGCACTCAACGGATTATGTACCCAACTAAATTCTACATACATACATACATACATACATACATACATACATAGAATATCAGCATAATTCTATGCTGATTGGTAAGTTTACGCTGATGTCCGTCCGTTGTTCCTGGCCTTGATCTCTTTAATAATATAAAAATGTCAAAAGTGGCCGGAGTCTGTTAAAAGTGGTCACAATGATGAAATCAATTAAAAAAAAAAAAAATGCTTGAAGTTATTATCAAATTTATTTATTAAGAACTGTAAGCCGAATGTAATTTTTTTGCATTCGTTGATTTTTCACACATTTTTAACATATTAAAATGAAATGAATGTGGAAGTGTGTCATATTGCTTTTGTTTCCTTATTGTTTACATAACTATTTTTAATACTTAATGGAGTTAGTGATTGGTTGACGCACAATCTTGTTCAATTTATATGCACATGTAGGGCTGGAATACAATATCAAATTGACATATTGTTTTAGGTAACTTTGTATCAATAATTGGGTGAAATTGTATTTAATAATTTTATAAATATTTACAAAACAGAAATTCTGAGGTTGTTCTAAGGTGCAGTAGGGCTAACGGGGAGTACACAGCGTAGCTGCAAAGCGGTTTAGTTGAAAAAGTTGCTCCAGCGGCTTGTCACCTGACTTGAAGAGTGCAGCAGTGTTCGACTGTAAGACAGTACGATGTTAAGAAGCACTCCGTCCAAGGAGAGGAGAGCATTGATGCATTAATAAAAACTGACATTTATCAGACAGACGTTCACTCAAACCCACTTATATGGGGCGGTGTCTCGCATGAAGGAAGTGAATAATATACGAAAGACATGAATTTCAAATGAAGAATCGAGAAACATTTCTTTTTACATCCATCACTCTAAGATGTGGGTATGGTCATTTTGTTTTTTTCCATACTTATAACTAACACCCAATAGGAAATTTCAGAGAATCTCTAAAGTATACTCTTATTCCTATGCATTCTTGATCAGCGTGAAGCTCTGAGTTGATTTAGCCATGTCTATCCGCCTGTGTATCTGCAAACAAGACTTCAAAACTATTTTTTTGTTCACTCCTTAAATGAAGATATATTATCTGCCGGTAAGGCTCCGCGATTAATTTTTCCTTAATAATACTAGCGACATGGGTTTCAAATAAAAGAACTTGGAGAGTACAATGCGAAAAAGAATCTTTTTTTATTTATTATTATTATTATTATTATTATAAATTTAGCCAGAGAATAAATTCTAAGACTAAAGTCTTAAAGCACTAGCATCTAGGGCTATCGGCTTCTTATTAAAAACTCTACCGCACTTGAGGTTTGAACCCACGACTATTGAGTTGCTCGTCGAGTCTCTCGCCTACTCGGCCACTCAGGCGGATGAATCTTTTTTTAAAATTGTTCTGTTTGTGTATGATTCCTTTCATCTTTACACATTTGACAAGTATCAACGCTTAAGGCCGTTGATGATTTCAATAGAGCGCTTGTTTCATGGCAAGGCTTTGAAATTTTTCAATTTTACCCAGCTTTTTTTTTTACTAATCCATAAGATCATTCATCTCTATTCAAAAGGTTCTTAGGTTCTTACGTATAGACTCGGATCAAACATGTTTTCCCTAAGCTGCCTTTAATATTCACCAGCAGCTTTCTGTAGAGTCTTTCGCAATTTCGCAAAACTGCAAACAAATTTATTCATTGGAATGTCGAAGCTTTCTGCCGGTGATAAAATCCAAGATATATATAAAATCCGATCAAAACGATCAAATAAAAGTAATAATATCATATACTCAATAAATTGGCTTTGAAGTGTTAGTTCCCGAAACTTGTAGCCCTCATGAGCAGAGATGAGATTCTAGAACTTATAGCTTATAACCTTACTCTCCGCATATGAAAATCAATTTCATATTTTTTATATTATTTTAAAAAATGCAAATTTTTGAAGTCTCGTTTATTTTACAATTATAATGTGATATACTTTATGTTAACATGACTAACAGGATTTTCTCGATTTGTTTAAGTACATTAGCCAAAGTGATTTCGCCTCCATGGCCTGACGTAGTAGATGTTTGGTATCTCTATTCTCTCCCTAAAATTTGGAAAAAAATTTCTTAAAAGAAATAAAAACTTTGTGGGCGGCAACAGTCCATCATTTCACGTAATACAGTTATTCATATATCGACTTTTCAAAACAAGACGTGACCCGAGCAATAGTTTTCGTCTTTGGGCCAAAATACGTCGGTGTACCAAATTACTTCAAAATATAGATGAGCAGTCATCAGACGGGCAGGTACGCTTAGACCGGTATAAGAAAAGATAGGTTTATCGCAAGTCGTTCTGATTGTTGCACATAATATGTATACATAATATAACATATATATATTTAAAACTGAAGAACATTGTCCAAAGACGTATGATGGTGCGTAGTCGTTATTTTAGTAACACAAACCAATCCTCAGCGCAAAGTCCTCAAGGTGGTTAGAGAAACGAGAAAAGTACTCTATAAGAACAGCCTCTCAAAGCGATTTGTAGATTAAGGTTTTCCATTACCGCAACTGAATCGAGTCGATAGTCATAATCTTGAAAAAGTTAACTTAAATAAAGTAAATATAAGTAAATCATAAATAGTTTGCATAGTCTGTAGCACATTTGAGATGCGAAAGAAAGTAAATAAATGCAATCGACTCTTGATGATGTATATGCAATATACGGATGTATAAGATTTAAGTTAGGAGATTTTTTGTGATCATCATCAACAATCCATTGATTGCTTGAATTCAGTACACACACATACTTCTGTAGGGTTTTAAATCGTCTCAGTCGCCTCAGTTAGGATTTCGGAATTCTCAAGGTCACAACGATCAATGTAAACGGTTAAATTTACGATCGTCAAAATTTGTTTAAAAAATAAACCAAAAATTATTTAAAAAAACATTGTTATCTTTATAGCTTGTAACCGATAGATATAGATATATATATATCGATTCAGAATTTGCCATTTATTTAATTTATAAAGTTTGGTAAACACAAATAGTTCCAACTAATGCGTTGATAAGGGGAAAATTATCAAATCCAAGCGATCTTGTAAATAAATAAAATTCGCTTCATATAGAGTTAAAAGTTTTTATTTTATTAGAAAATGTTGAGATTTCGAGTTTTCATTAATCTTTTAGATGAAAAAATACATCGATTTTCAAACATTTCACTTCCATTGGGCTGACTATTTAGTGTTTGCAGCAATGATTTTTTTATCAACTGGTACCGGTCTCTTCTTTGCATTTTACAAGTAAGTAACAAGGTCCATATCTATCGATCTATATATTAGGCATAAATATTTAATAGATATAGATATATATATACTTTCCCGATTTTTTGAATTTTAGAAAAGAAAAAGCTATTGAATTAGGACAGCAAGATATTGATAGCGGGGAGAAGAGAAGGAAAAATGATTTTGATACATCGAATATGAACGAATATTTATTGGGTTCAAGAAAATTAAAAATATTTCCGGTATCGATGAGTTTGGTCGGTAGGTAAGTAATTGAAATAATTCACCAGCATCTTACTGCAATAATGTATACATTTTCTTATCATTTGCATTGCAGTTATGTATCTGGTGTCACTATACTCGGTACCGTATCAGAAATTTATTATTTCGGCACTCAATATTGGATGATCGTGATTTCTATTGTATTTATGGCTGTAGCTGTATCAAAAATTTACTTACCAGTTTTTTCCGTTTTACGTGTGAATTCATCCTATGAGGTATGTATGTAAAAAAAAAAAAATTTTCTCTTTCAACGAATACAATATGTTAAGTAAATGAATGGTTTTTTTCAAACATGCTTGCAAGCAAGTGGTTTTTTCTTCACTTATCACATGTTTAATTAAATGGTTATCAATCATTCTAAATGACCAAGTAAAATTTCTAACTGAATCTAATATGATTACAAACATTTTTTTGGACTCACCGTAAAATATTAATAACTATTTTGTTATTATTTTTACGAACTTGGTTAAGCAAAGTGCGTTGTGTGACATGTCTAACGGTAAATTTAATTTGCCCCAACCATTGAAAATAGGTGGAAGGCTGTTCAGCAGCTAGAGCTAGCTATTGTTTAACAACTATGTCATTATAGGAAATTATACGCTTAATACGCTTCACATAATGAAAACAGAGTATATTATAGCATGCTAGCAATAGAGTGCATCAAGACCAGCACGCTTGCAGTTGCTATCCAATTATATCCCAAATATGTGCACTGGCACTATATATGAGAGCGTATTGTCAAGTTGAAACCGCAAGATCATTCATTCAATCAACAGAGGAGATGAATGTTGAAGTTCTTACTTTAAACGAATTTCTTCTTTACTTGCTTTCATGAAATTCATATATTGTATGTCAATTTTGCGCAAATTTTTTATCTCTTCATAGCTCCAATGTATTGTATGGCCAACCATATGTATTATATAGATAGGGAAAAGTAGCTCAGCACTACTGCATTCATACGACAAAATAGGCAAACCCTTCTTAGGCAAACCCTTCTTTGGTCACTTTGAAGGAATTCATATGTCGTACGTTGGCCTTGTTTAACCTTTGATTCTTTGACAAACCACGTGTGCAATCATATAAGAGAAACTATTGTGTTGCCAATCATTGATTCCAAAAGAATTTTGCGTTTCGAGTTATATCTGAAGCAACCACGGCATACAAAAACCAGATCTCTTCCTAAGCTTATCAATCTTTGCGTCGAAATAGCACCAGAACAGCCTCGACATATTGCCTGAAATATCAATTTTGATATTGAAAGTTTCTCTTGATTCTCTTACATCCCCTAGGATTGATGTTAATTTGTCGCAGTTTAGTGTTCTCTCCTCAAAATACTTTGTCCTATGTTATTACATTTGTTTTTTTGAATGTTCAAGATAAAATGTGTGATCTCTCGCTTATATACATATACCGCATATTCACGCCGTTACACAGCACGTTACTATTGAATTGTTCGCGAATCTATTTGATAAGACAAACGGTTTCACGTTATGCGATATTTAGAAAAAAAAAAATAAATAAATGAACAAAAATAAAAGTAAAAAAACAACAACAAGAGAGCGATGATTACCAAAAGGTTTGGTCTAAGCCGTGATGTAATTTGTTTTTCCCCTTCTTCTTTTTATTGTAAATTGTCACTTATTGTTGCTAATAAATGGACTGGACTTTGTCCAAGCACTCGGCAAAGATATCATTTCCATTGCCAATCAATTTACGTACTTGTTATTAGCAATTCTTTAATTGAGTGTTGATAAATGAAAAAAAAAAAAAAAATATCAACTAAGAAATTTATACTCGGCTGTGGTCGAAACTTTTATATCCACCACTTATATCTTCGAGCCTTTGGAATAATGCGTGGGCACAGACCGGTTTTTCATTTTTTTTTTTTTTTTTTCTTGCATATCATTTATCTGTCCTTTTATATCTTGTAGTTTATGAGCAAAGAGCCGAAGACTTGAGCTTTTTTTCTTCTTGTTTTTGAAAAGAAATGTATTCTTAGTTTATTTCGCACTGCATGCATTCATCCATGTTCATTTTGACATGTTCTCAATAGCAATCTGCGTGTAAGAAATCTTAGTATTTTTGCCAAATTTCGAGTCCTTACAAAAATGGCAAAATGAACAGAGAGTGATGCATGGATTGATTCAGAATATGATAATTAATATAAATATATAGGCTTTATAGGGTCTCTGAAGCTTCCTCCCGATGTTGCAAATTTTACTCTTTCACTTACTTATGCCTACGTACATACTTGCTAGCTTGCATACAAACCAAATTTTCATCGGTTTGAACCTGTAGGCTGCTATTCATAATTCTCAATCTGGATTTCTTTTCTTTTTTTTTTTTTTTTAGTACTTGGAAATGCGATTTAGTCCTGCAATACGAAGCCTGGCTTCAATCATGTTTGTAATGGACGAGGTAAGTAATGCGGCGGGAAAAATTATACTTTCCTTGGATATTATTCTTAAACTATCCTACATCTCAAAACCCCATATACGAAAAAAATTGTTAAATGCTTTAAAAATTTTCAATTTCTCTCAATAAGTCCCTGAAGCGAGTTTTACATTAGCATTCTCTGTAGATGAAAAGTTTCATATTTGTCGCTCCCGTTTGACTGGTTATGCACTGGCTTATGCGTCCAACTATGGACAACTGGACGTAATTTGGAGTCACGACACGAAGTTTCGTTCTTGTCTTTCAATTTTTACAAGGACACGAGCATTAAAACGACAGTCGACGGGGTTGAAAAGCCGAGTAAATCGAAACAAAGTCTTACGCTAACCATGAGTATGTTTGTTTTGTAAAGTTACTAATATTAACCTATATAGGCCGTTTGGGTGGTCCTAAAAAATATTATTTATGCAATTGTTTATAAAACTTCTTCATGACGTTTTCATGTAATATTCTCGCATTTTACGGGTGGCCTGTCATTTAGAATCAATAGAACTTTCATCTCTACATTTTTAACACCTTACACACTAAATACATATAAGTTTTAATTTTAAATTGTTTCTAACGTTTCTTCCTCAAAATGGTTGCATTCTATATTTTTTCTACTAATGTTACTATGAAATTCGTCGATCGCTAGAATGATTGCTTCAGACTTCAGTGAACATCGAATTAATTATACTGAGTAACATGATGATAGAAAGTGATTCAATAGAATGCGTTTAGAACGATTTTCGAAGGTAGGAAAAAAAATGCTAAAGTGAGACGCGCCCCAAGCTTAAATACCTCACATCAGTTCGCTTAATTTCATTTTCAATAGAGTTTGCCACTGGGCCAAAACATGCAAGTGTATAAAATTTGATCGAAATATGTCAAAAATAGTGATCGGCAGATTGAAACGAAGAAACAAGGCAGACAGACAGACGGACAGACAGACAGACAAACTGAGAATTATATCGAGAATCGATCGATATAATAAAAAAATCTCAAGTTTTTCAAAATCTTAACATATCCGCGTACCACAAATGGTATCAGATATAATGGCAGATGAGGGACGTTTTGTAGGTGAGAGCTTACTCTTCCTATATTAGTTTTCCTTGAGATCGTCTTCCGCTATCTCCGGCTAACTGTAGTTCTTCATGGTCTTTTTCCTTCTTTCGATTTTCCTTGCAGATGTTCTTCTTACCAATCGTTCTCTACGTGCCTTCGATAGCCTTCAACCAAGGTAAAGCGCTTTGTCAATTTTTTTCGCTTTATACCAATTCACAATGTCTCGTCTGTATATTCTTTCAGTTACTGGCATCAATGTGCACGTAATCAGCACAGTAATCTGCATCATATGTGTGATTTATACAATATTGGTAGGTATATTGTAAAGATCCTTCGACCTAAATTGTTGTTGAATTTCCTTGATATGTTATGCTATTTATGGGCGTAGGGCGGCATTAAGGCAGTCGTTCATACGGATGCCTGGCAAATTTTAGTAATGTTTGTGTCTGTGATGGTAGTCGTGACAATTGGTTGCTTCAAAGCGGGCAGCATTGGGGACGTCTTTCAAACGGCCTCCGAGGGTGGTCGTCTAATATTTGCCGAGTAAGTGTATTCATTTCATTAATATTAATTAATTGATTTCAATTTTTGAAGTTTTACTATAGCATTAATCCGTCCATGTATCAGCGGCAAACGTTATGGGGTGTTCTGATTGGTGGCTTTTTTTATTGGACCTCTTTCAATGCGGTAAATCAAACTATGGTCCAACGTTATATGTCATTACCATCCTTGAGAAAGGCTCAATGGTCCATATTTATTTTTACTATAGGCATAATAGCTTTCATATCAGTCTGTTGTTTTGCCGGCCTCTTGGTGTATGAGTTCTATACCAAATGTGATCCCATGAGCGCTGGTTTAATAACGGTAGGTGGTCTTATGTTAAAGAAATGTTTATAAATTTTTGGAATTACTTAGCGAACGACTATTTTGCAGCACGATGATCAACTTTTGCCGGTTTTTGTAATGCAAACCGTTGGCCATTATTATGGTGTGCCGGGACTTTTTATAGCTGGTGTGTTCGGTGCTGCTCTAAGCTCGCTGTCAGTTGTGTTAAATTCTACCGCCTTGGTGATGCTGGAGGATATAGTGAAAGGTTGTTTACGTCTGAAATTAACGGAACGTAGCTCGACTATTCTAGTCAAGGGCTGTATTTTGATATTGGGAGTTGTAGCCGTCGCTTTGGTATTCGTGTTGGAGCAATTAAGTGGCATATTGAGCGTAGCCACATCCGTCACTGCAATTGCGGCCGGTACTACTTGCGGTCTATTCACATTAGGCATGTTGGTGCCGTGGAGCAACAGTATTGGTGCACTAGTGGGTGCTATTGCTGGTGCGTGTATATCTGGTTGGATATCTTTCGGCTCGCAAATCGCTTTTGCTAACGGCTATGTAACACCCCATAAACTAGAAATATCAGTGGAAGATTGCCCGGGAAACGTCACTATGCCCGACAATGTTTACATTGACGAATCGGACGTATTCCCATTGCATAGGCTCTCTTTTCATTGGATTAATCCTATTGGAGTTCTCACTACTGTTCTGGTAGGGACTATAGTATCATTTATATCCGGACCGACGGTACTCAAAAAACTAGATGCTGAACTAATATCTCCCGTTCTACATAGGTGGCTGGTTAAATAAGTCATTTAAAGCATTAATTATGATTGAGTTTTTTTTGCAGGTATTTGCCAAAAGAATGCTTCCCGCCATCTAGTATTACTAACGAGATGACAAGAGAAAATACCGCTACTCATCTGTTAAATGATGGTCGCGGAAAAGGCGGTAGTGAAACTGGTGAGAGCAGTGATAATAGTGGAAAATATTAATGTAATTTAAATGTTGAATAGAAACAAAAAATTCCTAAATAAAGTGTTTTGCCAAACGTAGTCTGAATCTGTACAATCCGCCAGTTTAAGCGGCGATAATTAAGTCAGTTCAAATTCATGCACTTTACCTTATTGATTAGTTTATCAAAACAAACTATAGGTTAATGTTATTACTGATTAGTTACTGATAAGTTTAAATAATTTTGTTTTATAGACAAATAAAAAACCAACGATTATGCTTAAAAACGAAACTAAAAAAAAAAAATTTTTTTTGTAAAGTTTCACAATTTTCTAATTTACATACATTTCATAACGTATATATATATATGTTGCCACTAAATTTTGAAAACACATTTCACAGCTCATTAAGAATTTATTTTTATCACATAAAATAGTTCTGTAGTATTTATAGATTATGATTAAATAATTCTTTCCTAATTTAAAAGAAATGTGGTTGGATGCTATTAAGAGATGATGTATATACAAAATTATATTAAAACGTGTAAGGTTATTTTGTAAGAATGGCATTATTCTTACAGTAGTGTTTGTAGACAGGTCAACGCAAGAAAATTCAATCAATTGACCTGAAATCGATTTATTTTATGCAAATACCTGTGAGGTACTGTTAACTGTTGGTACTTTTTTGTTCAAAAAAATCAAACTCTAATAAAAGGGGCGAACATACGTCATTTTTCGTTGATAAGAGTTTTATTATTAAAACAACAAAATTTGTAAAGATAACACTGCTCTGCCCCGCAAGTAAGATGATAGATAGATAACTACCTGCTAAGTCTATTTAAAAAAAAAAAAAAACCTAATTATACGAGAAATTTCATATCTTCATATGCGGAACGTGTCTAATCATATGCAAAATAAATAGTTTGATACGCGTGGGTTCGAATCTCATGTGCGATAGAGTTTTTAATAAAGTCGGTAGTCTCAGATGTTGGTGAAATCCTTGGCTTTCTATCTAAGAACAATGCAGTCCAACGAAAACGAGCCTTGGCTTTCACAAAAACGACTCCTAAGGCGAAAGAAAATTTTGTTGCTTAATATTTAAAATTATAAGAATAGAATAACATAATTTTAGGATTGGTAAATTACATTTTTTTAAACAGAATTGAATCTGTTTTGTCTGTTATGTAACAGAATTGAATCTGTTTTCTCTGTTATTTAACAGAATTGAATCTTTGTTTCCTGTTAAGTTGGTCATTTAACATAGCTGATTGATATTACCGTTTAAGTTATTAAGTTAGGCTTTTAACCATTTATTTATTATAAGCGATTCTGTGCTTTGACTTTCAACAGGGAATTTAGCGAGGGCGTTGTTTAATTTGATAATAAAAATTATGGCAGTCTAATTTTAGGCTAACTTGTAAAATTATTATTATTATTATTATTATAAATTTGGCCAGAGAATAAATTTTTTTCTCTTAAAGCGCTAGCATCAAAAAAAACTCTACTGTACTTAAGATTTGAAAATGCAATGAAAATGCAAAATTTCGCGGAAAAAAAAAACTTATAGATAACAAAGATTGGGACAAAAAACCAGATTGAATTTTTTAAACTTACGTTTCCATTTTCGAAGGAAGTTACTTCATCACTTACGCGTGCTAATGATAAACCGACTCATCTTTGTTTGATTGATTCATTGTGGGAGATGATAATATTACCGTTGTTATTGGTAATTTGTTTGTCCCTAAGGATAACTGATGAATTATTATTTATAGTTGGGCAGCTGGTTGATGGTTTTGGTTTTTACTTTCAATTTGATCCCTATTTGCTATATTTCTATTTTTTTTTTTTTTTCTAATGACATCGCCACTTAAAAGCTGCACGGAAGGTATTCCCGACTTGCCTCCCTTATTATAATTTGTATTCATATTTCTAAATTTTAATTTGTAAATTTAATTTATAATTTGATCCAATGTATTTATAATTTCAATTATAATTTGCTTTAATTTTATTTATAATTTGTTTGTTAATAAAGTAGTTGCTTTTCTTATCTCTAATTGTCCTTTCTACTTTTTTTTCCATTTCGCTTTCTACCTTTTCTTGTCGTTTTTGAGAATATAATTTAAAAAGAATCGTTGTAAAGAGGATTGCCTGTCTGATAGACAGAAGTTCAATGAAGATGGATGATAACTCTTGCAGAACTTTGAATTTTCCTAAAAGTAAATTTGGATACTCTATAAATGAGAAGCTAGAAATGTCATCATGTCATGTTAGTCATCCAGCGATCATTTATAGTCGAAAGGCTTGAAGTGGAAAGAACTTTTACCATTTCGTATTTAATACCATCATGACCAGCTGCCGTAGATTTCTTTTTTGATTTAAGAATATGTAAAAGTTCTTCCAATGAAAATGCAGAGATGTCTTCCACCTGCAAGTTAAGCGAGAGAATATTGAGAGCATTTGTTGTGTGTTGTCTTGGCTTTTCTAACCGCGTTTTCCATACTTTTTGGGATAGCTTAAATTCGTCGAAATTAGATATGTTAGGAGGGTATTTAGCAAATTTTTGATTTTTAACTAAAATATTGTTTGACTTTAGAGTCGAATCTCTTATTCATTCAGTCTTCATTGCCGGGAAATCTTTATCGTAATTGCTGTCTATTAGATTGAATGGATTGGTAGATAATTTTTCTTTGTATTCTCTAAAAAAAAAGAGAGACTTTTTACTTAAGCTCTTTTAAGAAAATGTTGCTTTTTCCTCACGCCATCCTGACGATGTTTTCTCCTTTACATGAGGCCAAAAACAAGCCGCGAAGAAACAAAACGTGCATTTGTGGAAAAATGTTGCATAAATCGTGATATTTTTGGGAAAAAATTTTGTTTTTTAAAATATTGCATATTTTCGGCCAATCGTTATAATTGCGTATAATTGTAATAAGCGAGTACTCATCCTCAAGAGAAATTCCTTACAGTGTCAGACAGTAAATCGGTCTTATTCGCTTTACAATCATTTTTTTTTCGTTTCATTTATTTCCACAAATAAATAAAAATTGATGTGACAGTATTTGCCTTACTAACATGTTGATGTTTAATTACACGAGATGTAATGATTACTTATTCAAAATTAATACAGTGAATAGCTCTTTATATATCTGTGGGGTCTTGCAATCTCTCAATGATTAGAAGATGATTAGAAAATATATCCCTTTTTATGTGGTTTTTTTGCATAAGACAGTAAAAAATACTGAATTCCATACTTCCGCACAAAAAGCTTTGCCTTTATTATTTATTTTTAACTTTAGTGGACACAAAACGTGCAAAACGTGCTTTGCAACACAGGCAGGATGATGATGATGATGATGATGATAAGAAAGATGATGCTTCGATACATGGATAAAAATTTTCATCTCTTTTCCTATGGGTGATCTTGTAGCAACAAAAGGGAAAAGGTCGGCAGTACGCATATATTCTTGATCGGCGTGAAATTCGGAGTTGATATGGCCATTGATCTGTCCATCTGTGTGGTGTGGATTCTTAGCAATCTCCTGGTCGCAAAAATGAAGCTATCGACTTCAAATTTGGTAGAAATATTGGAAGTTTCTGCACGCAGATTGATATTGAAAATGCGCCAAATTGGTCTGAGCAGAAGCGCGCAGTGGAGGGTAAACTGAACGCAACTCCGGTTTTTTAAAGAAAAATTTTTGGATTTTTGCTCGTTACTTGCACTTGCACTTTACTCTCTAGCCCCAAAAAGTTACGAATAATTAAATTTAATTTTTTTCACTTTATTGAAAACGCAAAACGTTTAACACTATTTTGTATACTCCTCAAAGGAAGATATATTATCTGCCTAAACATAGGTTAATTCTAAAATGAATATGGTAGACACCGTGGTTAATTTTTTCTTAACAATGCCAGAGATATGGGTATCAAGTAAAATAATTTGGAGAGTAGAATGCGAAAAGCATAGTGGCGGGTATGCGAGATTCGGCCCCCGCCGCATATAACTTTCTTACTTATTTTCTGTTACTCCATGAGGTTATACTGTTAAATTACTTTAAAATATTTGTCGGAGGTGGAGCAAGAGTTTGTTATTAAATTACATTAATATGTTTGTCGGAGGTGCACAAATGTTGTTGGACATTTAATATAGCCCTTGATTTTATTTTTGATTTAATTTACTAACTCTCATTTAAACAAAAACTGTGAATTACAGCAAGTTACTGCATAGAACAGCAAATCCAGGGCAACACGCAGCGGTATGTTTTTTCCGTCTCCTAAGTAACGCATCAAATGTATCATGAAATGTGCGCGGATTTACGTTAAGCTAGCAATTAAATGGACATTATTAAAGAAATACATTCAAAATATTCAGCACTAGAGTCAGAGGTCGATAAACAATTGGATATAATGTAAGTTAGTAAGTTAGTAATGCACTTACAGTGCTGCGTGTAACGGTCGCTTCGATTTGAAAAAATCTTTCAAGAAGTCTTCAGACAATACATGTGTGCACATAGATGTGTGTGCTTATTAGAATGAACCTTTAGAATTTCAAAGAAAAAAAAAACATACTAAAAGACTTTCCTTCTTTCCATATTAAGAAAACGTGAAGAGAATAAGTTGGCTAAACAAAATGCATGCAGTCTGGAAAAATCATCAGCGCAGCAAACAATTAAAATATTATCCTATGAGGAGGCTTTGGCTCGTAACAACAACTTATTAAAGGTTTCGAAAAAATGAATTCTTCATCTTTTTACGCGTATGTATTACTTATGCATTTGTAGTCTTTGGAAATAGCGAAAGCACGTTTACGATCACGTTCGACTTATTCGCCAGTTGAAGGAATTTTGAGAAAGGCTCTCGAAAATTTCGAAAGAGAATTTCAAATGTCTTTCGATGCCAATAACACAAACGAAACCGGGGAAACTTTAAATGATGATACTTATGATCACATGAACTAAACATACTTGGGAAAAACTTCAAGAACATAAATTTTTCATCTTCAAGGAAATAGTCGACACATCAAATCAAGATCTGGCAGCTTCACTACTTTTCATTCATCAATTTTTTTCTCTAAATAGTTTAGTTATTCTTGTAATAAAATTTCCGTATTTAAAATTAAAGAGTTATATATAAATTTGATATAAAGAGATATATAGATTTGATATATATAGTGGGCTAAAGAATAATTCCAAATTTCTAAAAGGTATTCAGAAGCGCTTAGAAGCCTTAGAAAGTAGAATATCGTCATGAAAATGGATTCAGACGTTTCATTGACACGTTTAATCAGAGCCTAACCCAGCCAGGATTCACCCGTATACGACTATGGTTTCCTCATTTGCTCACTATTTCGATTTTTCTCTTTCTCTCATATTTCTTTATCTTCTCTTCGTTTTCCATAGGCTTCATCATTTTTATATTTTGTCTGCATGAGTTGATGTGCTTGCCACTTGCGCCGCCTATATCTAGCCAAAATTAGAGTATAACTCGCACGTCTGGTTGGTAGGATTCTAAGGTTCCGGTGTTCATGGGCGACGGGTGTCCAAAACTCTGGACACCTTTGATCATCGACGTAATGTCGGTTGTGTTGAGCGCAAGCGTTCTACGGATATAAAAAAGATATGCGCACCAATCAGATCTTTCAACGGGCCTGTGTCTTTCTTAGCGTCTTCACCCACACACCAGCAATGCTCTCATCAACATGTGTTTAATTACATTTTGGAATTTTTGATTAATTTTGCGCACTTGAGTTTGGTGAGGCTTGCTTTTAAGCAATCCAACTTAATGTCTAATATAAATGTATAGCATAATTCTCATCTAAAAAAAAAACGCAATCTCGATTTCTCACACTTTAACAGACTTGCGTGCTTGATATCTCTCACTTCAATAGAAGTGTAACTGTGTGACTTTAATTAAAGTCGTTGTCTCTCCTCTTATTTATTGTTATATAACTGGGGTCTGTGATATTTCTATTTTCAAGTCGAATGTTCGCAAACACTACTCCCCTTCTTCACCTCACTCTTTCTATAACCCTTCCTGATCATCACCATCCCTTCGTGGCTGATCATAGAAAAGTTATGACACGCGGCACATTAAGCTTACTTGAATGTGTGTAACATCAAGAGCGACATATGGCGGACCCATCTTTTATTACACCAATGATTGAAAATCGTTTTCTGTATCGATTTAATTCTGTCAGTCTACCTATCCATCTGACCAATGAGTTGTGTTCAACTCAAAAATCGAAAGCTTTTGGGACATTTTAATGAAATATACTACAGTAACAGATTTTCACATAAATGAAAATGATTTTCACCACCATTGATTGCCCTTATAACCTCTTTCTTTGGAAGAATCGTTATATGAAAGAAAGATTGAAATATTTAAAGTTTCTCGAGAAAGAGCGTTGAGTATAAGCATTAGATATACTAAATGAAGGTGAACGTGTACCATCGGAGAGACCAATTTTGGGAGTCCGCTCCTATATGACTACTGGTGGGAGAAGTAACCCTTAATGCGGCGGTAAATTTCCATTTTTAATGTCTTACCAACTAAGCTTGACTCATAACAGTAATTTGACATAACAAATGACGATGAACTTGGATTTTATTTCTCACTACCAGGGATATAGACAAAGCTATGCTGAGGGTTTTTATGATTTATTATCACAAAAAGTCCAAATTTCTTGTATTTCTCTAAATAAATGAAAATAATTTATCGAATTTATCTTTAATGTGTTGATGTGTTGTTGATTCACAGCAGCTCTAGAATTCAGCGGTGAACCAGTGCTATTAATGTTAGTTTATAAACTTATACGTGGACCACGTAGACCATATTTTTGAACTCCACCTCACATAAGGATTCTCATGAAAAGTGACCTTGTAGATGGCAAAAAATACTATTTAGCAACAGTTCAGAACGCAAACCGATGAAGAGTTACAAGATCTATGAGAAAAAAATTAAATTCCGCTATATTTGTATTGCACCAGTTCAGGCCTTGGGTCGCTTCCCTTAGTAAGGCTTCCATGAATGGTTTGTATTTACAGGGAAACAAAGTACCATTTTGAGACTTGATCGTGAAAATAAATGACGGAATGCCTTTGGAGGAAGTGGTTGCCCTTGCCCTACTACAATGTTTATGCTTGTTTTTTTTTTTTGCTTCGTAGTCATATGCATGTACGCGGCTGCTGTCAATTTTATTATTCGCTCTTTTCCGTGAAAATGCAAGATTTTCGATGATAAGTGAATGACTGATGAGATTTACTTAGCATCGCTTGCGTTTGCATTTCCCATATTCCGATGAGAACCGTAACACTAAACAAGCATTCTATGCACAGATGTGCTCTTTTTCCTCTTTAACAAAGTTTAGTTAATTTTAGATAAAACCGAATATTGAATCGTCTGTAGCTTACATCGATTCCAATGCATTGAGACGTACCGTACAATTCATGGTTATAGTGAGAAACAATTGTGCAAACAACGAGTGACAAAAGTAAACGAATTATGAAATGTTACCCTTTAGGCAGGGAGAGTTTGAGCGCTATTTAAAGTGAATAATTTGATCTGTAGCGAGTAAGCATATTCGTTGATTCAGAACAAGTGTCATTGCAAATTTCACACTCCCATAAGATAGAGGAGAGTTCGCTGTCACTTCACCTTTCTTGATGCTGAGAAGTGCACTTTACCTATCCCACAGAGTTTATATATTTTTAAAAAGCGTAAGATTCGAAGCCATTTTACCGATAATCATCCGACCGTCCACCCGTCCATTTAAATGTTTCGCGCTTATTATTCGAAAGCGCACACTGCGCCCGCTTATCCGTCAGCCTGAATAACGAGTGCAATTAAAGCCGTCACGGTCGACAATTATTCTTCTTTTTACTGTTGAGCAACTACTGTGGAGATGTGTTATACGTAATGAGGTTGGTGGCCGAGAAGAATCATAGCTAGATGAGCGAGGAAACACTAAGTACTCTTTTTATGCGGTTGACTTGAAAGTGGATACGTTCGGGGAAGATCGCTGCCAGCAAATTGTTTCAAAGGCGTATATAGGGACGAGGAAAAGGGACGGAGAGTCATGATAGAATGTTGGGAAATGTGTGAAACAGATCTAGGACGAATGTCTTGAAGCGCTGAGAAAGCCGAGCGGTTCAATTAAAGTGCTTGATTAGTGGACAAATCTCCTTTATTTTTGGAGAATTCTTTTTGTATGCTATGGCATAGCACGTCTGGTGATACGTAGTATCTACGATGCTGAAAACACTCTCGTCACTCACCAGAATCCGAAATCTTCGCTTTGCGCAGTCGAGGGCTCGCGTTTAAACATGCAAATTGCACTTTGATTTTGGACGGATATGTGAAGGATCCAAATAAGCGACAAAATCGACGTATATGGCTTTAAGCATTAATCCAAGCTTACACCCTTTACTGCTTCTTTCATACGTACACATTCTACTCAATGTACATTACTTTGCGCTCTCGTACCGAAAACATCAACGTGTGCTGATTCTTCTTCTTCTTCTTCTTTCTTTGATCTTGCCAAAGGAGGGTGGGATGTTCCCTATTTATCCAAATACGAAAAGATATTTTAGCATTTAGCTGCGTACGTTCCTTCATTAGGCTGAATAGCGCGTGTTATTGGAACACACAGGGTCGCAAAAGTTCAAAGCAAAACCTTGGATGCAAACGTTTTTGACGGCTATCGAAACTGCACCCGCGATCATTTGCTTATCTACCAGGGGAATGTCTGTTAGTGAAAGTCACGAAGTGGTAAACAAGGACAAGGAAAATTGAAGCTTGCTACCTAGGTACAGTCACGGACAAATAAATAGAATACTCTTTCTTACAAGACACCAAAGCTCTAATAATATAATATTTTTACTTTTATTTTCTTATTTCTAATTACTTTAACATCTAAGAGAGACATATTATTGAAAAATTAAGTTTAAATATTTTACGCTTTTCCTTTCACCAAACAACTTTCATAACTTTCAGATCTTCTTTCTTCTTTCGGTTTCAGCTATTTAAAATTGTTATTGTTAAAATTTGTTAATTTTGATTAAGACAAATTTTTAAAATTAAAATAAATTTTTTATATTCTTGCGTTTTTTTTTTTCAAAAATCTCTTATCATTATGTTGCAATATCTGACATATGCATATTCATCTGTCTCCTATCTCTCTCATCAATACTATGTTGCAATGCCTGATATATGTATACTGATTTCAATTCTAATTAGATTGTCATAATGTTAAGTAATTAAGTGTCAAAAGATTCGACTTTAATCGTAAATTAATATATTTTGGTTGAAGACTTTTGTTTTTAGCGAATTATTTACGCTTAATAGCTTTTCTCCATTTACCGAGTCTTATATGCGTTCATTAATTTGACATAAAATTTTTCAAAGTTTTCAACTGATCGTAACACACTTTCGTGGTTGTAGTTATTGTTGAAAGTGGTATGTTTTCATTGTTGTTATTGTTGTTGTTAACAAAACCGTCATATCTCGAAAATGTTTTCTTAACAACGTTACCATGATATATACATGTAACCATCTGATGATGGTTCACGCTCCATATTCAATATTAATTTTTATAATTTTTTTTTTTTTTGTTTTCATTTATTTTACTCGATGAGTTTTTCATTTTTTTTTTTTTTTTTCTTTTCTGTGTTTATTATTTATTATTATGTATGTTCTATTGTTGCTATACTTATTGTTTTTTAAAGAAAAATAAAAGGTTCTATCTACTTACACATGTGTTTATACATATAGAGGTATATTTGTGATATTAGTTCTAGTTTTTATTGTATTTGTATGTAATGCATGCTTTTTTTCTACTGATATCGTCTAACTCTACCGAAGTGTTTTCAACTTTACCCGAAAAAAATTCAAGCATTCAGTTACGATTTGTTACGCGACAGGTGAATATTACTAATTGATAATCGTTCTTCCGATCGAGTAGTCACCTTAGTCTGTTTCTCGAACTGAATCGATCAATATTGTGTTCACTTGCAGTACATTTTTCATATATGTTTTCTCTTTCCTTTTATTTTCAATTTTCAATACAGTGTAAAATGCCACGAAGCATTTATTATCGGGGCGCGTACGAGTTTTCTCTTTTCGTCATCTGAATATGAAAACTATGCTTCAATGCTTGAGAAGGGTGCTTTCATTTTTTTTTTTTTTTGTTTCTATATCTAATAATTTATGCGTAATGAGCGGTAGATTACTTAAGCCAAGTGAATACAAACACATAAAAATTGATTCCATACGGTTTGTTCGTTTGGCTTAAGTTATTTATTAGCTTAAGTAACAGCAACATTTTATAATCAAAAGCAATTATTAGCATTCCTTGCAGTCAACAAAGGACTTAATTCAATTGCTTCGAAATTGATAGGAAAATCCATGAAGAAGAAGGAAAGTATGTATAAATTTTATTGAGATGTAAGAGTAAGAAGTAAGGAAGAAAATCGGTTTTATCCCTACACTTGAGGATGGAGGTACGGTATTTTTCAAAATTTTTCGAAAATACGGGTCGGTTCAGTCAGTGACTTTAAGACGCTTTACTTATTTCTGTCTACCTGTCGGATTTTCATTTTCATTTTTTTTTTTTTTTGTTTCCCTTTAAGATTGCATTTGAAAAATATGAAAAATGGCAATTCTGTCAAAATCCAACAGCTGATAGCTGAAGTTTCGCTCGTCTATTATTGGAAATCGAGGCAACTTGCAATTATCAAGCAAGGAAAAGATAAAAGCGCTATTTTAGTCAAAAATGATGTTAGGCAACAATCGTGAAGAAGTAGTGAAACTATAGATTGTAACTGTAACATTATGCCGGCAGGTTTTTTACACCAAATTTCGCGCCATACGAACCATTAGTGCATGAAAACGCAAGTTGAACTGAATCTGAAAATAATCCTAAGTAAGAATTTCTTATTTTCATATTTGCTTTAATTATGAGCACAATTACGGGCGCAGATGCAAGTAGCTCTTTGTCGAAATGTGAGTAGTTGGAAAATGGCGGACATCGAAGTAGTTCCCATTGAAGACCTCCGCCCGTTAGTTGTAGGTTTTGGGGCAGGGAGAAAGTTATTAGGAATTTACACTCTACTAATTGGAAGCGAGGCATGAAGTTTTTGTTGAGTGATCTCGTCTTTTTTTGAAACTCCTAGAAGACTTGTTGTTATCTCCAACTAAACTAAACTGACTCCAACCTTGCTAGAGATCCATCTTACTGTGCTTCGATCGCAGATCGAGGCGAATGAATTTAAGTTTACTAAAGAATACTTTATCGAAATTCCGTCGGAGTTTTTTAAGTTTTGCAAACTCAACATAAGTAAAAATTACTTCTTTTTTGACTGAAGTGATGAAGTTTACGAACATTGCCTTGGGTATCTTTTAAGTGAAAATAGTCTTAACAAAGTCTTGTAACATTTCCGTCTTTCAAATATCGATCTGATGTGTAACGAAATAAATCAAAAATATTTGTAAATATCAGAATGTATGCTTATGCATGCCCGAGCATACTCGTAGCGTAATAATATTTTTGCTTGAGTTAAGGTCATCAGTTTTGTTTAGCTTTCATGCTTATTTGGTGTTGTGTATTTTGTTATCTGAAATAATTTGAATACCGAAGTGTGTCGCATGCCGTTTTTTTTTTTTTTGTGTATACAGTTCTTTGGAAAGGAATGCAGGCTAGTTGAGTTCTCCTCCTTTTTCCTTGATTTGCTTGCACATATGCAAGCAGATACGTGTACGTAGGTAGATAGGCAATAGGTACGTGTGTACGCGCGAAGATAAGAAAGAATATTTCAATATAATTTATGACTTAACCATGATTCCTGATAGCCACGATTAATGCTGGTATGTAAGCGAAGCTGATTAAGTTTCGCACGATTTGTAAAATAAGAAAAAAAGAAGAAAAATGAAAGAAAATAAAAATCAATTGAAAGTGATTGCAAAGGCAAATGAAAACTTCAAGTTTTACTTACCAACACAAATGAACTGTAATTCAAATTTTTTGTGGAGTGCTATAGATTGCTCTAACCATTAATAAAACTTTTCATTAATTTAGCATAAAAAAACAATTAAAATTGTTTTAATAAAATATTTTTATTTTACCATAAAATTTTGTATCTTGATATTTTTTCCGTTCTTGAGGCATTGTTTCTGGAAATACTGTATGAATTTTTGATTTGTTTAACTCCAGATCGCAGAAGTTGTCACTGTCATAGGTCTGTTTATTTTTTACAGGACAATGATAACTCATTGCATGATAGGATTTCGTTATAATTTAAATTGAACATTTCAAAGTATATGTATATATAATTTATATATATTTTATATTTTAAAATAAATATTTTCTTTTGTGGCACTTTTCTTCATAAATCTTTATGTCTAGTCTCATGGCAAAGTGGGGGCTGTTTATATGTCCACGACGGTATACATGTACATATATATGCGTACTTATGTCTATTTATAAACTAATTCACTTACAGTTATTACATGATTATGCATTTAGTGCTATTAACAGTGATTTGTGCCGAGAGAGACATACAGACGCATTTTGACACAATCTAATCAATCGATATCAAAAAACTACTTGCGTTCTAAATATGCAGTATTTCCGGATTGTCCAATTCGTGGCTCATAAATGGCTCAAATTAAGCTTTTCAAGCCCTTGTCTTTATGACTCACCAAAATTTTATGGACATAACCGGTGAGCTTTATTTGAAGGTAAAATACCAAAAACGCTGAAAGTCGGATAACGAAGACATAAAATCACAAAGAGTTGCGTATTTAACTTTTTAGACTTTTGCTAAACTTGATGACAGACAAAAATTGTCAAGGTCATAATTAGAATTTCAAAATATATTAAGAGCGCGAGTAAGTTTCATGCCCCTTTTAAGCTGAGGCTTAACTAGTACAATATATATGTAATGACTCCTTCCCCGTATGAGAGAACAAATTACCTCCGCGAACTTCACTTTACTTTATCGTTGAATATTGGAGCAAAAGGAAAGTCCTTACGCTTTTTCTGCCTAATTTGAAGCGAAGTGTTGCTAGTGGGTACTGCATTAAATCATGTTAACAGCCAAGTGAATTCTAACACCGACAATATGGCTGAAGATTCATAGCGACTCTATTTACGGAGATCAGCTGAGTAACAACAGTGGTCCACTCATTGTTCCAAATCCAACAAAATTGTCCTTATGTAAAACTACTGACCGTCACTGATACAACTGATAAGCTGCTTGTTAAAGGAAAGAGAGTCGAAGCGTGGGAGAATATATGAAGATCTACGGCCCTAGGAATAGGCTACTCTTTCTGACTAACTTTTATTTTAATTGATGACTAATTAGCTCTCTACTAAGAGAAGAAAAAGCAAAGGGGTTCTATAGAAAAGTTTCTTCTTTTCTCTACCGCACTGCTCGAAAAGTCTTCATAGGAATGCCAGCCAAGCTTAAGAGCGTGATAAGTGGTCGATATATTTTTCTCGGTCATTGAAAAGCCTATGAAGCCTTCTCTGTCGGTACTGATGTATAAGGAAATCTCTGCGTAACTTTCGTGGTGAGCTACGTTGTATCCAAATATACGTGAAATGGGTCAAGTGCCTAACCATGGACTTGGAGAGTTAAAGCAATCAAAGGCAGAAATTTTGGACAGACCTCATCTTCTTGCGCAGAATGTTATGTATACGCCATGCCTGCATCATATTATCTGCGTTCTAGAATCCCAGGGCCGAGAAAGTGACGCACACTGTGGACGTGATAGCTGAAGCAATAAGCTATCGAGTGCTGTGTGCCCATATTAATATAATAAAATCATGATCATTTTTTCTTCATTCGTTATATTAATTTTAATACATAAGTAATAAAATAAATATTAGTTAATGTCTGATAAGAAGAAACGTGACACTGACATAAAATTATTGAAAGTATATCTAGAAAAAGGGGCAAAAGAACGTCGTGCAAAGACAACTGTTAGGAAAAGTGTACACGTGTGTACTTAAAAATTGAAAAAAAGAGAAACAAATGAAAAGATTGTATGAATAACTGGTGCGATTATATGATTCTTTTCAAACTGAACGCTGAAGCGTATTCAGGCGTGCTCATCCATCCCCAAGCGTAGGAAAGTGAACTGCATTTTCGAGCTTTGTTTTTTTTTCGCGACATATAATAAAATCTATTTATCTTTTTTGAGTTTGCTTTCGAAGTGTTTGACTTAAATATGAACACTTTATATACAGGAAAAAACTGCAATCGTAGCTTACTTCGACGCAAATTATAACGTACGAGTTAACCAATTGTCTAAGCTCGGATTTGTCTTAAGAAGACCGATGTCTTGCCGAAATTTCATTTTCTTTACCAAGACATTATCGAGTTTAAATTTTTTTTTTTTTTTCAATTTTTTTATTTACTATCAGATAGAAGGAACACTTTGTGACGTTCTACGAAATGATAGCTTTAGAATTACGTAACTTTGTAGGAAAAAATGCATTATATTGCTGATACAAGGGATAACACTTCGCTAGCTTCTTGCAATCAGCAGTAAGCGAATGATTCGTTCGACTCCGCTCCAGGAATATTGTCGTGTCCTCTTTGATCATTAATATTTATAAAGTCGATGAAAGTCTTCCAACAAATTCGAGGGAAACCGGCTTATTTCCTCTTAAGGCATCGTCGCGGAACTAAACTTTGATCAAAAAACAATTTTGAACCGTTTCCATTGTAGTTGTATTTGAGTACCAGTATAAACAGTGAATAACTTAAAAAGCTGAATGTATGTCTGCGCACGGTTGCTGAAACTGCTGAAAGGAAATCGAAGTATATAATCGTCGATGGAAAGCTGATCACATACGGAAATTACATTGCGCAGAAAATCAGGCAAATTCAGTTAACGGTACGTAGAGCAATGCTTTCATCTTGCATTCGGCAGAACTCTCTTAATGACGTAGATTTTCTTTTAAGGGGACTTCAAAAGAAGCTTTCGAGAATTACTTCAGCTGCAGAGTTCGCCCGTAAGGCCTTTTAGCACACAAGTGTCAAAAGTTATCGGTCACAATGGCGTATACCTAACCTAAAAAAGTATGTATTGGTATTTTGGAGAAAATTTTTTTCTTTCATTTTCGTTACACTCTTTCTTCGCCGACTTATTAAAACCAAGTGAAAGAAATAACGGGCGGACATGCGATGGACAATAAGATTAAATCGAGCCAGAATCTTACATCGATTAAACGTAATAAGTTTTTATGAGTTCTTTAATGCGTAAATGCGTGAAAATAAATTCTTTCACATCTCTGCAGGGAGCGCATTGACTTGTCAACGTTGTAGGAGGTAAAGCAATATTGAATAAAAGCATATTTAAGTAGAAAAAGGAATCAATTTGTGTTCTTTTTATATCTTGTTGTTGTTGTTATTGCTTATTTGTTAGTTGTTTTTTTTTTTTGTTATTTCTTTTTTTCCCAAAACACGCAACACGTAAAGCTCCAGAGTTGCTTAATATGTTTATGAAATACTTTTCATCAGGCGACTTCGTCATGTTTAATGTAACATTTTGGAAAATGAATGAAAAAGGAAACCGAGAGCGATAAAGCATTTGATGAACCGAACGATAGGTTCGATTCGAATAAGCAAGCGTGGCGGGCCAAACTATTTCTTACTAGTTTATGTTTTATTTTTTGTTAAGTAATTACTTTTGAATTTAAAAATTAAAAAAAAAAAAAATTAATTAAAAAAATTAAATTAATCTAATATTAGGGCACATAAATTTTAATAGTTTATAAAATAATTGCTTTCGATTCAAATCATCTGTAAGCGGGGAAACTTCTCGGCGGGAAGGATCAAGCCTACATATGAACATGTTAACAGCAGAGATGGCGGTTTCTTTTATTATACAAAAAAAAAAAAAAAAAAAAACCATTTTCCTACATAATTTCTTTCGAGAACAACTTCTCCAAATTCTTCAAATAACCTAACGATAGAGAGTTTCTGATTTGCAGCAACAACTAAATAGAAAGTTTTAAATATAACAACAAACTTTTTTTTTACCCAAATGCCCATGAAACAACAAAACTATGACAGTTGTAAGTTCCTAAGTCAATGAGTGAAAAAAGAAGCATTGAATTCATATTAAATTAAAATAACAGTGGAGCATATACGGGTAAAAATGAAATCAATAGTTTGTTGTTGTTGTCGAAATTAAAATCAATTAATTAATTTGTTTTCATTATAATAAAAATTAAAAAAAAAAAAAAATATAAAAAAAAATCTCAATCTTTTTTAATATTTAAAAATTTTAATGAATGAAATTAAAAGAAAGTCAATTTGAAATTAATGAAATAATTTTTATCATTAAAAAAAAA